GTGTCCAAACTTTTGACTGATACTGTATATATATATTTCAGTGGAGGCTGCTGAGTAAATGGAATGGCATCGAACACATGGAAACCATGTGTTTGATGTATTTGATACCATTCCACTAATTCCGCTCCAGCCATTACCACGAGCCCGTCCTCCCCAATTAAGGTGCCACCAACCTCCTGTGATATATTTATATTTCGGACTCTGACATTGCTTGTTTGGATATTTCTTATTCTTTTATTTTTTTTACCATTTGGATTATTTGTGTATTGTTATTGTATTATATGATATTACTACACTGTTGGAGCTAGAAACATAAGCATTTCTCTTCACCTGCGATAACGTCTGCAAATCTGTGTACGCAACCAATAAACTTTGATTTAAACTTCTTGTCTTTCTCTGCCATAACACGCGACAGTGAAATCTGGTTTCACCATGTAATTTACTATACTCCCATATTATGATGGTATAACAACCAGTTTAATGACACTGCATAGCTTATTACTGTGTAAAAGTATGATTTACTGTACGGGTAATTGCACAATTGACATGGATTTTCCCTTGACCTTCTCAGGAAAACATCTGTAACTACATGTTTTGAAGGAGTGTCTCATATCACGTCTTAAACACTCATCTTTGCTCTTTGCTGACTGTCTCTATGTGATAATGTAATTGGTGTATGGACTCTGTCAGTGATTCCAATTGAACTGAGGCGATACCATGTCAGTTGGAAAAAGAGCCAATGCTCCAGAACCAAGTTGAGTTATTCAGTTATTTTGAACTCCAGGTGCTCATCCTCTGATTCCGCATTGGAATCCTCTATTGGAATGTAAGCAAACAGAGGAGAGGGTGAAAGGAAGGAATGGAAACCTCATCATAACAGAGATGTGTGATCATCTCTGTGGGGGTGGTGAGGGAGGCAGATGAAGCAGCTATCAGGAAATTGAGTGGCTGCTCAAGAAACACCTCATGTTGTGCAGACGAGCCCCTCTGACAGACTAACATCGCCTAGCTGTTGCTGACTCTTTATCCATGAGGTCATCCCTAGCCAAGGAGATTCTATGTGTTTATAGTTCTGCTAAGTGCCTTCAAAAGCCAGACAGAAGATGGGTTTTTATTGCACTTCACAGCAACATATAAACAATGGTCTCTACATTTTGTTGAAAGCTGCTCTCCTGTGACTCTGAATGGTTTGAATGTTAACTTCTTTGCTAAAAGCAATAAGGTCCAATCGTATGGATTCAATATTGTTTTTCACACATGACTAGGTGAAGGGAGGTAACTTCCTACTTTTGTTCATTTCTCCATCCACACTCGAGTCATTGTGATACAAAGGTATTAATCACATTTAAACAGATTTAAGCCCTGTGTGTATGCAACACTAAAGTACCCGAGTTCCATTAATCAGAGAAGTCCGCATTGACAAATGAGGCTTCAAGTGTTTGATTAGATTCTGCAGATGTGAAAGCCCCAGTTCCAGCCCAGTTGCAGACCCCATAGTCCATCAGACATGGGAATGCATCCGAAATGGCACCCTATTCTTTATATAGTGCACTACTTTTCACCAGAGCCCTATGGGCCCTGGTCAAAAGGAGTGCACTATAAAGGAAATAGGGTGCCATTTGGGATGCACACACTGCATCAGGAATGGTTTGCAAATGTGCAAACGGCTTCTCCTTCATCTGCCTGGCGTCTGTGAGACAACGTGCTGCACTCACAGTCAGAGCACCTGTGCCAATAGTATCGTCTCTGACCCCAAAAGGTGAGTCACCCCTGGCTTTGAGAGGTGGACTACTTTTTATAGAGTCAGTAATATTATGCATCTATGACACAATGATGATGACACCCTCTTTTCCTACCATGTAGTCCTACCATGTAGTAATGACAGATCGACCATAAATCATTAATACTTCAAGGACCAAGGATACTGTTTAAACAATTGGATTTGACGTCGAGTTTTCCCTTTGATCAACTTTTTGATGGACGGGTTTAAGGAAAGGGCACATGATATTGCTATTATACTCACTGACCTTAGCTATATCATCTATCAGAGAAAATGGTGACTTGAAACTATTTCTGCAGGGATTCTGTTTATAATTTTACAACCATCAAAGAGCAGCATCTTAATCTGCATACCTCTCTAGGGAAGGTCTAAGTCAGGGATTCACTTAAAGGTTCCTTATTGATAAGAGTGGTACAAAAGGAACAAGCCCACTCCTCTTCCCTCCCTGCTCATCCCTTTTCAATAAAGTACCAGAACTGTGCTGATGAAAAATGCCAGAGCTGCATATAGACGTAGTGAACCTCCTTAAATATTTTCTGTGTATCCCTAGGAAATACCTTTTAGTCCAAAAGTTTGAACTACATCTAATGGAATGGTGCAGTGCACATCCATGTCATCTAACCATCAGATATAACTGGGATACATTGCATCCAGTTGAAAAAAATTACATATATATATAGCAAAAACCAAGCCATGAGGTTGAAGGAATTGTCAATAGAGCTCCGAGACAGAATTGTGTCGAGGCACAGATCTGGGGAAGGGTACGAAAACATTTCTGGAGCATTGAAGGTCCCCCAAGAACACAGTGGCCTCCATCATTCTTAAATGGAAGAAGTTTGGAACCACCAAGACTCTTCCTAGAGCTGGCTGCCTGGCCAAACTGAGCAATGGGGGGAGAAGGGCCTTGGTCAGGGAAGTGACCAAGAACCCGATGGTCACTCTGACAGAGGTCTCGAGTTCCTCTGTGGAGATGGGTGAACCTTCCAGAAGGACAACCATCTCTGCAGCACTCCATCAATCAGGCCTTTATGTTAGAGTGGCCAAACGGAAGCCACTCCTCAGTAAAAGGCACATGACAGCCTGCTTGGAGTTTGCCAAGATTCTCTGGTCTGATGAAACCAAGATTGAACTATTTGACCTGAATGCCAAGCATCACGTCTGTAGGAAACCTGGCACCATCCCTATGGTGAAGCATGGTGGTGGCAGCATCATGCTATGGGGTTGTATTTCAGCGGCAGGGACTGGGAGACTAGTCAGGATCGAGCCAAAGATGAACGGAGCAAAGTACAGAGAGATCCTTGATGAGAACCTGCTCCAGAGCTCTCAGGACGTCAGACTGGGGCGAAGGACACAGCAAAGACAACACAGGAGTGGCTTCAGGACAAGTCTCTGAATGTCCTTGAGTGGCCCAGCCAGAGCCCGGACTCGAACCCGATCTAACATCTCTGGAGAGACCTGGAAATAGCTGTGCAGCAACGCTCCCCATCCAACCTGACAGAGCTTGAGAGGATCTGCAGAGAAGAATGGGAGAAACTCCCCAAATACAGATGTGCCAAGCTTATAGCGTCATACCCAAGAAGAGTCAAGGCTGTAATCACTATCAAAGTACTCAGTAAAGGGTCTGAATACTTATGTAAATGTGATATTTCAGTTTATTTTAATTTTATAAATGATGCTTCGTCATTATGGGGTATTGTGTGTAGATTGATGAGGGGAAAAAATATTCAATCAATTTTAGAATAAGGCTGTAGCGTAACAAAATGTGGAAAAAGTCAAGGGGTCTGAATACTTTCCAAAGGCACAGTAAGTGACATATAAAATAAAATACTCAGAGTAGCATGCTCATTTTCTCTTGACTACACCCCCACCATTGATAAGTTAAGTACCTTTCCAGATTCTTCTTATCTGTTCCTAGTCCCCTCATTCCTTCCATATTTAAATCGCAGGGCAAAGAAGTAGCTCAATTTGCTAAACTTGTCCTCTCGTTCCAAATTCCCGTCAGACACTTATTCTCTGTTAATTTGTCTGAAAAAACATGGTTAGAAATGAATAACTTGATGGTTTAACAATTTAGACATTAACTGGACATTGAATCTTGCTGCCATTTTCTCTCTCACCTCTTGACTTTTGCTTTGTTCACACTAAACCACACCTCTCATGACCTTTGTCTTTAGTTGTACCAATCAAAATAGTTCTGCCTTCAGGGCATCCAATCAAAATTAGTTTACATCCTGTCCTCATAGGCAGATCTGCCCCAGAACAAAGTTCATGTTATTACAGTTTCCTAGATTTGATTGTTGTAGATGTTTTAATACATACCCCTGAAAACAATCCCTATCTAAATCATCTATTTAGCTGCTGTGATATAATGATTGACACAACAGTACATTTTCAGTAGTTTTATTGAAAAATGCCTCTTGAGTTTCAGAAATAAATAAGAAAATAAGGCTGTGGAATTCACAATTTGCAGTTAAAACATGAAGCAGAAATACCATATCCATAGTCTTGCACACAAATTCCAACTGCATTCGATATTGTTAAAACAACAATGACAACAACTATATTCTGATTAACAAACCGTACTAAATATACACCACAGACATGCAATTCCACCTTTGGTAAAATCAGCTGTGAGTTGATATAAGAAAACTGATAAATATTTTGTCTAAAGATACAAAATGGAAGCCATGTTTAACTGCAGTACTGAAGATGAAAACTGTAGGTAGATGGTGAACAAATGGCCATCTTTCAAGTGAGAAAAAACGTAAAAGTATAAAATAGGAAGAAAAAAAACATTTGATAATCAGAAATGTTGGATGAACCTTAATTGATAAGAGGCGTTTTTCATTGGATGCCCCAAAACTGTGTGAACAAACATTTGCTTTCCTTTAATACCTTTGAATGTTGGTTTTGTCATGAAGAGTGCATTGTCTAACACTGCAATTCAATAACACTTAATGCAGATATGTTACAAGCAAAATACACAATAGGGAAAACAGCAAGCTCACAGATTGTCATGGAATAATTTCTTGGATTTTGTTTTTGCCTCCCCTCCCCCAACAAAAGATGAATTTACATATGATTTAAGGTACTTCCAAATATAGAGGTATCAAACCCCTTTTTAGTGAAATGTGCATAGCCCTTAATGACACCACATGTGAACACAGCAACAACAAAAACAAGAAGAACAAAAAAATAACATCCTCTTTTTATGAACCTATACTTTTGGATTCCATTCTTGATAGTGACCTCTTTCGACGCTCGTTTTGTGAGTCATCTTCTTCTTCAGGTATTGGGACTACGTAGGTTTCAGGCTCAGGTGGATATGGGTCTGGTTGGAAATAGTGTTTTATGCCAATTGAACATGAGTGTAATTTGCAGAGTATGTCAGGCTCAACATGCACAAAATGAATTGTTGTGTTAGGTTTTCTTTTCAGGCTTGGACTTACAGTATACTGGTGAAATGACAATTGAGTGGATGTGGTAATTTACCTCTACATGTTGTTATTTTCAAAGGCACTGATAGAAAGGGTTTGTAAACAATTCAGTGTGTTTTCTGTTAGTACAGTTTGAGTGGTGGGTGGATTCAATCATTTAACAGAATCATCATTGCCATTTGCTGCAACTCATTCATTTACAAAATATCAACACAAAATATAAAAAATAAAGTAAGAGTTCTACCACCAGTCTATTCATACGTTTTGGAATTGAGAGGTTATTCCTCATAACATAACAGAGGTAACCATCTGGTACTGGAAGAATATCAATTATTACTACAGCATGAATGAATGATGATTCTTAGAATGCTACTACCGTGTACATAGATAGAAAAGCTAAACCTCCAAGGTCACATGGTACAAAAGGCACGTGGTTCAATATGGCCCTGAGCAGTCTGTGTGTGTTTAGGCTACAGAAACATCACTTTTAGGGACGTGGTAGAAAAAGAAGCATTCATGTTGGCATTCACTAAGCAGCAGGTTACAAGGCAAAAGCATAACTACAGGTGTTAAAAACTACATTTAGTGGATGTGATTTAAACATCATTTACAAGGCATCATTAGTTTATTTACAGATATCACCTCAAGAGTAACCATGTTAATGTTGTTGTATTGTTTTTGTTTGTTTGTACATGCTTTTCCACCCGATAGAAGGTCTTTGTCTGCTCGTTCTTTGGCTTCAAGATGCAAACAGGCAAGTATGTTGTTGCCATCACCGGTGCTTGTTTGATCTAGTTGTTCTACAATGTTGTTAGTACCGGTCCTCGTTGTGGTTCTTGTCTTTCTCAACATAGTTTGTTAATCTTATCCTTTGGTGGTTATCCTCAAACAGCTCTAGAGCACGTGAGCAAGTATCTCAGTAACAGGACTTTTTTTCAGGAATTCAAAGTGAAAGCAGCACAGGCGATTTAGAAAGTTTACTATGGTGAACCTGAAATAGGTCAAACGGGGTGTTAGTCTTCAGTTGGTATGGGAATATTTACTTTCTCTCCAAATGTTAATAAATGAATTATCACAATATATATATAGTCGTTTCTGGAATATATCAATTTTGTCATCAGTCTGTACTGTACTCACTTATGTTACGTAATAACTATGTAGTAACTACTCGTGCTTTTCACTCATGTTTCATGCTTCGGTGACATGCAGTCATTGAGGATGTCATGCCCATCAACCTTTCCATTTATGTACCTCTGTATCCTTGTCCATTGTAAGGAATGCCGACACACTGGGAGGAGTCACAGTAGCCAGGAGTGCCGGGTTGGCCCCTAATACCTGCGAACCCTTGGCGCCCAGGAGGACCGCGGGGCCCAGAGGAGCCTGTGGGGCCTGGAGGGCCGGTCCGAGCTTCGCCTGTTGGGCCTGTGGAGAGAAAAATCACAATCGACCAATCAGAAGGCATCGGCATGTCATCACCCTGTGACATCAGTGGGAACTATAAGTGTAGTAACTGTTTCTGTAACAGTTTGGAACATAGTTTTTTTCTTTTCTTTTTTTTACTTAAGAAGGAAAACCCTGGATTTATTCGTTGATCCTTTTTCCCCCTCTGTTTCGTCTAGACGTTTATAAAAGCTAAGCTTGGAATTTTTCTCAGTCTCGCATCCATGGTCCTCAAAGTCCTTTAAACATGTGTTGTGAATGAGACCACGAGAGGAAGACCTCAGCACATCGATCTGATGCCCCTGAACAATGACTCACCATCAGCTAGCTTCCCCAGTAATCTGGGCATATCCTTTTCCCTGATTCAAGACCACTTTCCAAGTCTTGAACTTGTAGACCTTGAAGCCCAATGCTTTATAGTGAAGTGTGCTGTATTACAGAGGGAGTGGGTGGCTATAGTGAAGCGTGCTGAATTACAATGGGAATGGATGGCTGTATTACCTGTATTGCTACTCTACGGCCCCTGGCAAGACAAGCTTATATTATTGTTGGATGGCCTGGCAGGCGGTTTGGCTGGAGTCTGTTGCTGTAGCTCCATTACACGGTTAAACCAATGGGAATCCCGCTGTCTGATCTCTGGTTTCAGAACTCAATCTATGATCTCTGCGCACTGGTCCTATCAGTGACAGCTTGTAATGACTGTGGTACTGCTCAAGCCATTAGAATGGATGAAGACTAAGGAGAGCACATCATCTGAAATGGACCAACTCTGGTTAGTATCCATATGAAGTTTGATGTTGCTTATCTGTTTGGTACATGAAATCTGTGATGTACATAAACCCGTGGTGTAAAGTACTTAAGTAAAAAATAATTTTAAGTTTTCGGGGGGTAACTGTACTTTACTATTTATAATTTTGACAGGTTTTACTCCACTATATTTCTAAAGGAAATATGTACTTTTTTCTCCCAGACATTTTCCCTGACACATTTAGAATGCTCAGGCAGGACAGCAATATGGTCCAATTCAGGAACCTACCAATATAACGCGTTTTCATCCCTACTGCCTCTGATCTGGTGGACTCACTAAACACAAATACTGCACTTGTAAATGATGTCTGTGTTGGAGTGTGCCCCTGTCTGTCTGTAAAAATGGTGCTGTCTGGTTTGCATAATATAAGGAATTTGATGTATAGCATTTACTTTTGCTTTTTACTTTTACTCAAGTATGACAATTGTACTCGAGTACATTTAAAACCAGATAATTTTAGACTTTTTCTCAAGTAATATTTTACTGGGTGACTTTCACTTTGACTTAAGTCATTTTCTATTAAGGTATCTTTACTTTTACTCAAGTATGACAATTGAGTACTTTTTCCACCACTGCATAAACCTCTCTCACTCTTTTGGTCTGTAACTGCCGTCCTTTGCTTTCACTTTGAACTGACACTGTTCGAAACCATGAGGTGTTATAGAGTTTGGATGTTGCCTATCTTCAGGTGCTGCAATTCATGTTTACCGCAGTGTGAATAGAAAATGTATTTCAACATCTGTGTGTACGAACACCTCATACACAAAGGCAACATAAAACCCCTAGAAGGTAGAGTGTTCAACTGGGAAAATGCTGGATGGCAGTGTTGGTAAACACAGCTGCCCCAGCATTGCTTCAGGCAACACCTCTGAGCTGAGCAACGCTTGGTTTAGCAGCCTGTAGTTACAGCTAAGGAGATTTGAACTGGGAGAAATGGTTCAATTCATAGTGACACATCCAGCTTACAAAGAGAGACGTGGCCAGAATGACCCCCCATTACTTCAGCTAAAGTAAAGTAATGATTGATTTCCCCAGATTCTACCAAAGAATATGACGCAATGCCAATCACTCTGAGAGATTAACCTTAATGAATGAGCACCCTCATGGAATGGGATAGGTATTGCTATTAAGACTCAGATGGGGCGCAATGCAGGACAAAAGACAAAGACTGGATTGTTGTAGATCTGGAGCAAAAATGTGAAACTAACCAGGTGGTCCTCTTTGTCCTCTCTGTCCGACTGCTGCTGTCCCTCGATCACCCTTCTCTCCTGCAGGGCCTGGGAAACAAACATAGATAATCACTCACAGCAGACAAAGACAAGGACACACACTAAAAGAGAAAAGCCTAATGCAACCACTATGAGTGCACAGGAATTTAAATATTCATGTATTCAAGCCACTGAAAACAGTCTGAGAAAGGCCTATGTAAAGACACACAGAAATACAGGCAGAACCACTGAGATGAATGGAATATTTTGTGAACATGAGACTTTGGAAAAGTCTGTGAAGGCTTCATTCCATTGTTATCGCAGCAATTCTAAGACAGAATTGTATGTCTATGGAAAAATGTCCAGTCTTTGTTCCAACCGTGACAATATGATCGATTATCTTCTGATTCCACACAGCAAGACACTCTAGTTAGGCCTACTGATATTGAACAGCTGGGCCAGGGGTGCCAATTCCTGGAGACCCATGTGTATGTTGGTTTTTGTTGCTTCCTTTCAATTCGTGTCCAAGTAAGACCTAGGTGACAACTAGGTGAGGGGAGTTCCTAACTATTCAATGATTAATCAATTACTTGACCAATGAAGTACAAGGGAGAGAAAATCCGCAGACATACTGCCGTCCAGGAATTGAGATTGACACACCAGAGCTAGACCTATTGATAAACAGCATTATTAGTCAAACATAGGGGAAATCTTGGGCTGCTGACAGTCATGGACATCCGGACGACGTACCTCTCTCGCCTTGCTGGCCAGGTTGTCCTGGACTTCCTGGGAATCCATTCCTGCCTGTCTGTCCGGGCTCTCCAATGGGACCCTGGTTACCGCTGGGCCCAGGGGGTCCGGGGGGACCTGGGTTGTTGCTGCTACGGTAACCGCTAGGAATCTGGTTCAGCATGGAATTGACTCTACTCATTTGTCCTGAAAAACAATGATAAACACAAACATTGAGTAGGCAACAGACATTTCATGAAAGGCAGACTCTGCTAGGACTTTGATTTCTCTCTGGTGAAAGAGCTACTTACACATTTAGTGCTGAAAAAAGGCCCACTCACCATTTATTATCTGCTCACACACTTGTCTGGCAATGGATCGCATCATGTTCTGAGGAGCAAAGTCACCCTAGAAACAAACAGAGAGGAAGGCTTGTGATGAATATGCATGACTTACTGAGATTTACTCAGGTTCAAAACATGAAGCTAGAACCATGGAGATGTCACTCACTCTCTCTCCTCTGTCCCCTTTAATACCATTGGCTCCCTGAAATAAAATGTAAATACAAGGCCGTTACATCTCACTGCACACAGATGTATGTACTGTGTGACGCAACAACTTTGCCTTTCAGTGGTTTGCATGACATACAGATCTGTATATGAGATTTGGTGAGATAGATGCTTACCGGAACACCTGTGTCACCAGGCTTTCCTGGTTTTCCTGAAGCCCCAGGCATTCCAGGAGATCCAGGAGGTCCCTGAATAGTGACAAGAACAAAATAACCAATCAAATACATGTATTGCACCATGCACTTGAAGGGACCACAATGGGAAGTCATTTACTTTGTTTTATCCCTATTTTTAAAATGTATGTACATTGTGTATGTATATTTTTTTACTTGCAAATAAAACAATCAATCAATACAGTGACACAAACAACGGAACAAATCAGATACAGTGAAACAAACAAAATAACCACTCAGATTACACTCAAGAAACTTCTTTAGTTTAGGAGAGGCTGAGTTTGACAGTTACATTTATTTATCTCCCTGACTGTATTTTGTCTGAGCATACCATTGGTCCTGTTGGACCTCTGGATCCGGCCTGTCCTTCCTTTCCTTGGGGTCCCTGCATTCACAACACACAGACAATAGAGTTAAACAAGTTGAGCTGATGGGATCTAGTTCATTTGACAGACATTGTGTAATCTTTAGACAATGGCCCATTGATTTGACTCACCCTCGGTCCAGCAGGTCCGATTGGGCCGATGGTCCCAGCTACCCCAGGTGGACCCTGGGAAAAAAGGCGGAAACACAACCCACGTCAGAGCTGGACTTTCTTTTTTCCTCACAGCTCACATTAACACAGGTCACGTACCTTTGACCAACCAACTCAAACCAGTTTGTTTAACCGCTAGTTTTCTGTGTGTCAAACAGTAAATCTCCTTTTTATTTCTAATTTTCTCTGAAACCCTGCTCACTTTTATTTATTGTCAATCCTCTCTCGCCTTTGATGCTTTGGCAAACGATTTACAGGGAACATAATATATTCCAGATCCGTTTTATTGGCCATTATAAACCAGGACTGCATACTCTGCAAGTCATTAAATGCATGTTGCTATTTCTTCTGTTCTATCACGGTCACCTGCAAACACTACCCACAATCCATTTTAGCGATGGGTTGTGGGTTCACATTTTTCACATTTTTGTCATTTAGCAGACACTTACAGTAGTGAGCTCATACATTTTCATACATTTTTTTTTTTTTTTGTACTGGTCCCCCGTGGGAATCGAACCCACAACCCTGGTGTTGCAAGCGCCATGCTCTACCAACTGAGCCACACGGGACCAAGTTCACCACTTGGTAATTCATTCTCCAGTGTCTTGTGGCATCAACAAACCTGCATGAATTCTGAACTGAGGTAACATTTTTGTAGGGAGGGGGAAGGCTTGCTTTCCATTTGACTCTGCATAGAAGTACTCTGAGTTTACTTGTAGACACAAAAGAGGCTTCTCCTTTTTATCAGTAAATAAAAGGGGCAGGCTTTTTCTAGAAATACAAAAGATGCCATTTTATGTATGAGGACTGGAGGGGGCTATTTGTTTGTGGCGTTATGTTTCACACTTATGTTGTGAAATTGTTAGCTTTTACTTGTTAGATATTACTGCACTGTCAGAGCTAGAAACACAAGCATTTCGCTACGCCCGCAATAACGTCTGCTAAACACGTGTATGTGACCAATACAATTTGATTTGATTTGTGAGTTTAATGGAAACCATCTCAGAGGATCTCTCTTTCCATTCTTCCATTCTATATCACCTCATCAGCTTTGTATGCACCATAGTTCAACTGACACAAAGAGGAAGGCCTAATGTGCACGGCCTAACCAGAAGCCTCTGGTGAAGAGGCATTGTATATCAAGGTGATTTGTTTTCCACTTGACTACAAGAAAGATTAAATCCAAATTTGGGAATCTCAACCTGTTTTTAGTTACTGCCTCTTTGTGAGTTCTCCTCATATGAAATATTGTCTGTGGCTTGCCACATGGAGAGAGGGCAGAGTAGCAGCATATCTGTACCCTGTGAATTATCCCTGATTTCCTGTTCTAAACCACAGCCGGGGCGGTGAGCCAAAGCAGCACTCACTTTCTGTCCAGGTAGCCCAGAATCACCAGCTTCTCCTTTGGGTCCTTGGCGGCCCTGAAACAGTGGAGGGAAAAACACATTCACACTCAGTGGATAACAACATAATACTTCCTCCAAACTCAACACTCACTAACCTTTGGGTGACAGATCTAAGAAAATGTGTTGTGCCAATCTGTCTTTAACCCAAGGTAAACACGCTGTGATGAGAGTTCTGTGCGAGATGTGTCGAAGTGTATTGTTGATGTCTGAACAGTCTAATGGTAATGCCCTTTTTTAGCGAAGAAGTGGAGAAACATTTATATTGAGTTTGGGTGCTTTTCAGCGAAGGAAATCCCAGTGGAGATTTATGTAGCTGCATTGAGATTAGGCTGGTTTAAAGGAGTCAGATATCACGTATCCCTAGACATGAAGAAATGCAGGCTCAACAGGCCTCTGCCACAATTACTCCGCAGCTTGTAAATTCCTTACATAATAATTGGACAAAATGATCCCTATTTGGTGTGTGGGGGCATCGTGGGATTTACGTGTAACTGCTGGAAATGAGCCATGCGCAGCAGCATTGCCTGTGGCTGGGGAGAAGGGAGTGTATGTGGCATGTGGAATGTGTGAGCGTGGAGTGTTCAGTGTAAGAGTGAGACTCACGGCTTCTCCTGGAATAGACAGCCCGCTAGGTCCTTGAGGGCCGGGCAGACCCATAGGTCCTGGCAATCCTGTATCTCCACGCGGTCCAATTGGACCCTATCAGAGAAACAAAGACAAGAGATAAGAATCAATTAGAGCTGGAAAGAATGTTGCTATTGAGATCTCCAGACTGAAAATCTGCTACTGTTGCAATCTCTGGAAGAAGGCACCAGAAACCGTGGAATGCCTACACTGTCAAACAGAGCCTCCCTCAATTGTTGAGAAGACTAACATACTCCTAATAAGTGAATTCAGATGTGTTTCTTCCCCTTCAAAGCCATGAAACTGTAAACAGTTCTCAGTTTTCATCAAGAGCAGAAAAGCTTTAAGGAGACTCCAATTTCCCACATTCTCCAAATGGTGTCAAATGCCTTGACCACTTTATGACTTGCCTGCCGTCGGTTATGACTTTAAAAGGTAACCCTGCAGTCACTAGTTTACTCCAATTAGGGGAGGGGTTGTGGGGTTGGAAAGTAATAAAGGAAAATATATATTTTTTAAGGATATGTACTGTATATATATATGTATGTATGTGTATGTATGTATATGTATATATATATATATTTGTGGGGAAAAAACATATGGGGGATTGGAAGTGATGCAGACAATTACATTGATGGAAGTTACAATCTATCTGCAATATTAAAGCTGATCTACCCCCTAAACAAAAAAGGAAAAAAAAGAAAACTTCTGTCCTAAAGAGGGAATCTGAGAGGTGAGGTTAGTGAGGTACTTACAGCCGGGCCAGTCTCTCCTCTTTCACCCCGGGGACCTTTGCTACCGGGTGCGCCCTGGTGAAGAAAGATCATTTGTCAAGTTAACACAGTGACAGAGAGGAGTGTCCAGAAGACCAGACCCATACTCAGGATGGATGCTCCCTCCCTGGGGGCTTCATAATCATAACTGTAGTTTCCTTCTGGTTTGCCCTTTTAAAATGAAATACAAGCCAACTTTTACTGTGCAGTGTACAGTCAGTCCTACATAATGAATGAACGTTAGAGTCAAATGTACAGTACATAAATAAAAATGTGTCAAAAATATTATTTTCAATCGGCAGATCAATGAGTTCACTAGAACCCCTGGCCTGCAGTATAGAGATGGAAGGAAAGTGCATCCCAAATGGCACCCTATTCCCTATATAGTGCCCTATGGGCCCTGACCAGAAGTAGTGCACTAAATAGGGAGTAGAGTGCCATTTGGAGACAAATAGAGAGTGTAGTGGGTGTATCTGGTCCTTACCACTGCCCCCTGTGTTCCCTGGGGTCCTGTGCTCTCTGAGGTGCATGTGCAGGCGTTGGGGAGGGACGGGCACTTGGACTCCTCTCTCTGATAACAGGGGAGGGAACAGACAAAGAGAAGTGGTGAGCTGAGATAACTAGAAGGAGTTGGGCTAAAACACAGACCCAGTCCTCTGTGAGTCTGCAGAGATACTGCTAAAGCTACAGGTAATCCTCTCAGCCAGTCTTATGCAAGCAGATTTACAGACTTACTGACTGTAAGTCTCTCCAGATAAGAGTGTCTGCTAAAGGACCGAAATGTAATGTAAATGTAAGCAGACGAAGGGTCAGGAGGTTACAGGATAATATGGCTTATTTTGATTGATTAGATGTTATTAGTTAGTACCAGTAGCACTGTATATCTCAAGGAAGACAAACTGATCAAGTACATGCTCACTACATAAGAGCAATATTTCAATAGAACAACTCTAATCAGGCAGATGTGTTGGCATGCAACAATCATGTAAACACTGGACAGCCTGTTATTGATTTATTATTGAAAGCCCTACCCAAAAGACATGAAACACATTAAAAAAACATTCTGGGTGTCCAACCAACAGTGATTGTGCAGCTCTGATTTGTTGAAACAGAGGTGTGTTCTTGGATATCTCTGGCGGGACTAAAGTGAGAAAGTCCAGATCAAACAGGGGCATTGTCTTGACAGCTTGGCATTGTTTTCTGTTGGATGTAGGTATTGTTGAAGGCCGTTCAAAGTTGTGATGACTTTACAGTCGATAGTCGTTGCTTCTCCGCCTACTGCCCGGGCTCTGGGGCCAATCAGTGTTTGAAGCTGCAGCAGGGCCATTTAAACACAATCATGCCATGCTTAGCTGCTCGTTGAGTGAAATATCCTAAGCTTTCTGTCTGCACATGATTTGACCATTGGGAATCAGATTTCTAGGGATGCAGTTTCACTTTTACTGCATCTGTTATACAAGTTATCAGGACAGCATTAGAATCCAAGACACGGCTTATAAAATACAGGCTTGTTTTCCCATTGTTCCTCCTCACGTGTTCAGGATGATGTAAGCATGTCCTAAAGCAGATGGATATGCATTTGTTTACTGCCGTGTTAAAAGATGAGACAAGCAAGATGTATTGGAAGCATGTGTCTAATACGCACATGTGCACACACACACAATTGGACTTGATCTCAGTCACGGACACTCATGCCAGGCCAAAAGCACACACACATACTCAGAGGCTCAACAGGTGTCAAGAGGACTATAGATTTGGGTCAGTGAAGATGCTTACAGACTGCTCAGAGCTTGTTTTGCAGCCTGTTAAATTGTACCACCTGCCTCTCCCCTCCAGCGAGGTCCAGGTGTAGGGTGAAGTTGCCCCTAGTCGCTGATCTGGGATTAGTTTAGCATTTTCTCCACTAATGGTTAAGGTTAGGATTGGGGGAGAGGAAGCTGATCCTAGATCTGTACCTTGGGGAAATTTCAGCAGAGGTCCACTGAGGCTCCTTTTACTCACCATAGATGGAAGGTCACAGCATCTGTCTCTGCTCGTCCAGCCAAGGGTGCACACTATATCAAACATCTGGAGCTGGAACTGTGGAACAGGAAAAAAAGGACATTTACATACTTCCTCCGGATCCCAAAACACAAAATAAGAAAACAAGGAGAACATGCAGACAGAGAGCCCGCAGATCATCAGATAAGTATAACTTAGGCACATTCCATTTGGGGTGCACTGTGTTGGAGGGAGTGAGCTTCAAAGCTTCCTCCTGTCATAACAACACTTAGATACACAGGGGCACTAAAACCGACATGCTAGTAGGCTTGTAGGTCCATATCCTTTGATGTTGTATGACAGTTCACTTACAGTTGCAGATTCTCCCTTGGAGCTGATGGACTTGGACATTTTGCCAAGAACTTGATAGCCATCCGTGGATGTGTTTCCAGACTCCTTAATCTCCTTGTCCGCCACCTCTTGGCAGTCGAGGTTCAGCTTGACATTGGTGGGGGAAACAAGGATGTGGAGCTGCAGAGAGAAAAGATTGAGAGTTGTTACATTCTTTGTCCAGGACATACTTTCGTCTAGGACCGTCTGCTATCTATCCTAAGATTGCAAATCATTGGGTTATCTGGGTTTGGCAACAGAGCACAGAAAGACACAGGGTGTATTTGTTCATTGATGTGTTGTTCATTGAATCTCTCCAAAAGAGATAGGCCAGAGTACAATAACGAGAGCAGCACACCAAAATTATTTCAATGTGTTCTGAGGATGTACAGTATCCTAAAAGTGCACTCAGGATAAGATAATCACCAAAATGGTGATTTCTCATTATTTCCATCGATGTCATCTCCATTCACTGTTAATTACATAATATTAGTCATATAGCATGTCATATCATCAGTAAGATTAATCGAGTGTGGTAGAACACAGTAGGAAATACCGGATCAGCTGTTTTGCCTACTGATTTACAGAGCACCGACATCCATTCATCTGTCTCACTTACTTGCGGTGATGGGGTTAAAGTGATGTGGTGTACACCAAGGATGAGTCTTTCCACCACTATGTTTCACAGAGTCAATGTACACACTATGTTGCTAGTCCTTACTCAGATCTCCCTCACCACATCTTCTGATGATGTTGTTTTGTGGTGCGACAGAAGAACTGCTCCCTTGAACTCTTTTGCTCTATTGCCATGCGTTTGGAGGCTAGCTGCTGTTCTGGGGAGTTCAACTGTAGCCCAGTAACCACATTCTTACTGAGCATGCAAAATGTTCCTGTACCAAGCTATGGAGTCAGCCCCAGAGGTTTGACAACCACACACTGTTTAATTCATTGTGGTCAACAAATGTACAGCTATGTTTAGCCGACCACTAGCAGAGGAAACTCATATGTCAAGATTCTTCTGGGAGAGTGTGCAGACAGACAGCGGAGCACGCTCAGCAATTTATGGCAATTGTGAGTCTATTTTGGATGGCAAGAGGGTAAATAAGGTAAAGGTACTGTGAGAAAGCAACTCGGCTGAAGGAAATTACATCATCATCAGCTCTCTAAAGTGAAGAAGAAATTCAGCACCTCTAGGAATGCTCTATGCAGCCTCAGACTGTCTCCAGTTTAATAACTCTGACTGAGCGATTCATAAAGAGCAATACAACCAAACACCTTGTCACCCATCAAAAATCAGACACACAAAACCTTCAACCCTAAGAAAATGGATACCAAGACGCTATTGTGACGAAAAGGCAAACCCTTGGCCGAGGTTTCCCTGTCTTGGTAAAAATGTGGCGTGCAGCAGGCAGCACAGTTAAAGATGGCATTCCCAGTGAGCTCACTGATGTGACGTCCACGTTACAGATGTTGGGGTTTCCCTTGACCTCTGGTCAGTCACTGGGACAGATTACACGGTTCCTCCCAATGCCAGACCTTCTACCATCATATGACCATGTCCTCTCTCGCTCTCTCTGACATGACGCTTACCATCGTCTAACACGTATTAGCCTTTTCATTCACAAGTCTTGGGTGTTCTCTATCCATTTGGACTACATATGGTTTGCGTTTTGCTCACTGACTCAAGCTTCCATGAAATCCATATGCCTTTATTTTAGTATTATTTGGTACAATATGCATTAAATGTTATTGTATTTTCCAAACACAAGACAATGGTTTTTGATAATGAATTAAACGGTTGATACGTTCAGCATGGTGAAAAGCAGAGTCCATACTGTCAGGGTATGTCAACACTCATTTATCATCTTTATGGACATTTAAGTTAATTCCTAACTACTATCAATCATGGTTTAAGAAAATGCTTTAGAGTTTGATTCCTGAGGGTCTGCTAAATCTACTGTATGCTTCCAGTAATCTCAGTTGAAAGAAAGGGTTACTGGCGAGAGAACAAAGCATTCAAACTGTCATCGGAAACAGGAAACTAGAGCTGGTTTAGACCAGGGGTTTTCAAACTGGGTTACAGACTGTCTGCATATTGTACCAAATAGGTACTGAAGGGGGTCCGCGATTTTTGTATATATATATTTTTTGCTAGCTGCAACATACAGTGCCTTACAAAAGTATTCATCCCCATTGGCGTTTTTCCTATTTTGTTGCATTACAACCTGTAATTTAAATGGATTTTTATTTGGATTTCATGTAATGGACATACACAAAATAGTCAAAATTGGTGAAGTGAAATCAAAAAAATAACTTGTTTCAAAAAATTCTAAAAAATAAATAACGGAAAGGTGGTGCGTGCATATGTATTCACCCCCTTTGCTATGAAGCCCTCAAATAAGATTTGGTGCAACCAATTACCTTCAGAAGTCATATAATTAGTTAAATAAAGTCCACCTGTGTGCAATCTAAGTGTCACATGATCTGTCACATGATCTCAGTACATATACACCTGTTCTGAAAGGCCCCAGAGTCTGCAACACCACTAAGCAAGGGGCATCACCAAGCAAGCGGCACCATGAAGACCAAGGAGCTCTCCAAACAGGTCAGGGACAAAGATGTGGAGAAGTACAGATCAGGGTTGGGTTATAAAAAAATATCTGAAACTTTGAATGCCTGTTGATTTTGTTCTAATGTTTGAGGATTTATTTTTGGAATTTCAGAAAATGAGCTTTACAACAGTAAGATTTTCTCTATGCCGCCAAGATACCTTTACCTGTCTAGCTAATAGACTGTGTTAGAGTTTACACTTCCTCTTCCAATGAACTGTGTGGGGAGGTCAAAATAATGAAACTGTCTACCAAATCTGTTCATTTTAAAATGTTGATTACTTCTACTTGCCATCATCATTCACCTGATAATAAAACAAGACGTGATATTTGTTTTCTGCTAAGATATGATGGGGGTTCCTGGGTCGTCGGTTTGCCTGGGCGGGGGTCCCTGGGCAAGAAAAGTTTGTAAACATGTGGTTTATACAGTAGTAGCAGTGAGGATTTTTTTTACTGGCTGATAGAATGGAATTGTATTTTAACTCAATAAACACACAGGAGGCTCCCAATTCTTTATTTAGAGCACATCTGTTAAACCCATTTTAGGGAGTTTTGTGTCATTGCCGGTAACTAAGACTTTTCAAATGCTGAATTAGCTATTTCCTGACTGCTTAGGTCGAGGTAAATCAACCTTGTGGTGAAGCAGTGCAACCCGGCTGTTTAAAAGCCCATAGCCCTCCTCACCACACAACACTTTCCTAAACCTGCCAGAGATGACTATGAAAACAAACCAGGACATCAATCAAATAAGGGAGTGAGAGTCTGGGTTCAAGCTAACCCGTCTAAATCATGTTTGTTTATGCTGCACATGTTGGCAGCAGGTAGAGAGGACTATGATTTATAAGTCACCAGCTCTGTAACTGACACAGTCATCTACCTCTTAAAAATACATGTGCATTCTACAAAGGAAAGTTTCAACCGCTATACTGACTGAGGGAAATTACAAGTGAAAAGCGCTTACAGTACTCAATCCCTACTCATTACTGTCTGTCTGTCACTGTGAGAAGTGTGGTTGAGATCCTGTCCCCAGTGGGAGCTGTAAATTGCCTAGGCTGCATTCCAAATGGCACCCTATTCCTTACGTAGAGCATTACTTTTGACCAGGGCCCTATGGGTCAAAATATATGTGTTTGGTAGTTGGTAGTGCACTATATATGGGAATAGGGTGCAGCCCTAGTCTTCTGTCATGTGCCATCTGGTGAAGGTGACATGGCTGGTGAGACAGACAGGCTTTACCAGTAGAATCAGCTCTATCTGGCACTGGATCTCACTCTGAGCCCAGCAGGACAACACTGGGACAGATACAGCATACATAACCATGCTGGAACACAAGGACAGATCCAGCATACATAACCATGCTGGAACACTGGGACAGATACAGCATACATAACCATGCTGGAACACAAGGACAGATCCAGCATACATAACCATGCTGGGAGGTAAACCACAGAACAGAGTCACCGCCCCTACAGCAACGGCGAGAATTCCCCTGCGGTCGGCTACCAGAGGCAACAGAGGCAAGGATTGCATCCAACATCCAGGCAGAGAAACTGCAGCAGAGCCAAAAATGGGATGGCGAGAGAGAAAGAGAGAAAGAGAGAGAGAGGAAGGCAGGCAGAAAAACCTCCCCCCAGCCTGGCATTCCACTGCCTCTCTGATGTAATTGTTTAATAGTTATAGCAGTGACCCAATATTTTCCAGGCTACCACGCCAGCAGCGACTAGCAGTACATTTTAATGGTCTCCGCAAAAGGACTTATAGATTCTAGTGAACGTTTGCGATAGGGTTGTTAAATGACTACGTCCACAGCCCCTATGAGCACACTGCTCTGACCTTAAGGTAGATGACGCATTCCAGTGGTTAGGAAACTCCAGTAAGTACCAGCGGGGAGTGCTTCCATATTGCTCTTAATACACAGAGTATACACAGACTGCCTATGGTTAATCTTTAGTGGTCTCCCTCCCTCCGGCTACAACTCACTTAATGCACTAATCCAAGAGATCAAATATGCCAATAGAGGCTGATTTCTCTGCCCCACTTAGTTTCTCTTGGAAACCAACAACCATCGAATTAGAGCCCAATGTGGAGTTGGAGCTGGACCAAACATGACCACTTCAGCTTAGCATGAACCAGTCATTTGATTAGCTTTAAAGTCCAAACAAACTGGTAAAGATCAATGGCCACTTCTATCACTTGATTACTTTGAGAGGATTTGATTACCATCAATAACGTCAATCTATGTATCATGTAACATTGGGGTTTATACAACTTACAGCCAAAGACCATCTGTTTGCATGAGCAGACACTGTTCTGCAGAACACATGTCTGTAGCTCTATCAGAGGTACACCTCCTGTAATATATAATGTATTAGGAATGCCAGGTATCCCTTCTCATTATCTGTGTATCCTCAGGACATGCAAGCTTACAGCAAGAACAAAGGAGCCAACTGTGATTGATGTACCATAACTCCAGTCCAGTTGCCAAGCCCGAATGTTATATAATCTAGCCATTAACTTCACTACACCCAGTATATTCCTCCAATCCCAACAGTCACGCAGACAGACAGTCAGGGTTTACCTTGTGGAAGCTTCCATGGAAGATTTTCTTCACTTGATCATTGTCGAATGTGACCCTCTGGATCTCCCCCCTCGTATCCTTGTTATAATATGAAATTGTTTGGCTGGAAGCTGAAAAGAGAAAAACAAGTTTGGAGAGAGAAAAGAAAGAGGTTACAGATAGCTCTCCAACGTCGCATTAGGACTTGGTGTCATGCAAAGCTCCTAAACTAGAAACAGGACTCCAATACCATTATCACCAATGGGCAGTTTATCATAAAGCACAAGCCGATATGCTTTGTGAAAGCTGCATCACAAACAACATGGTTGGGGCTTTATAAAGGCCAGCTGAACATAGCTTATACAGGATGCTGGAGCTGGAGGAGGGTGAGTGTGGTTACTGAGGGAGACCAAAGCAGCCCTGGCCTCTGGAGCCCATTATGATCCATTCACTGCTCCCATGAGAGAATATCAGACAGAACCACATTAATATATCTACAGCTGCTGGATATGATATCTCCTCCTCACAAAACACTACTTCCTCTTCCTCTATGGCTGTGTCACAAATGGCACCCTATTCCCTATGAAGTGTACTACTTTTGACCAGGGTCCATACGGCTCCGGTCAAAAGTAGTGCATTATGTAGGGAATAGGGGGTCATTTAGGATGCAGCCCCAGTAACCTCTTGTAACCCTTATTGTAACCCTCTATCCTCAGTCCTTCAAATCCCCAACCATTAAACCCAAGTCAAAGAAGAAGCGCTAGAGAGCCTTACGATCAATGGTGACCCCGACTTCAGGCTTGTTATCCTTGGTGGACACCTGCCAGATGTCAAAGGCCTCGGTGGGTGTGTCCGGGAGGAGACGGAACATCATGATGATAGTGTAGGAGTGAGGTAGTCCGTCTGGGTGGATCTCTCTGTTCAAACCCCCACACAACCCCAACAATAAGACTGACCATTAAAAAAATGACAAAATACACAATCAATTCACCATTAATATACATGTGTACAGTATTACTCTATGCCTATGAAGCACTGTGATGTGGCTGATGTTGTTCCATAGAGTCGAAAGCAGAGGTAAAACTCTGGTGTGGAAGGTTAAGATGACTGGAGATATTCAGTACTTCACAGGCCTACTGTGCGGCTGATAAATCTTAGAGATGTAGGAGATAGACAGTGTAGTTGGATGTCTCGGAGCTACATGGGCTGAGTGAACCCAGCAGTATGCCAGAACTTCAGATTGAGCTAGAACATTGTTTAAGGGCTGTCCATATTCTGACATGTTCAGACCTGTTGGGTAAGCCAATCACAAGCAAATAAACAGGACATCGTAAATTGATTGACCTAGTTTAGAGTGGAACGGGGTCTAACAGTTTGTCTGAACATAGTTGAGCAAGACGTGTCATCTCCAAGTGCCAAACCAACGTTAATACAGTTTTTACTGCATGGCAAAGGCCCACAAAAAGGTAACGTTTAAAAACAAGTCATTTCTTAACGGCTGCGTTCCCTACATTGACCTCCATCTCCTCAGTCTTCCTCGATTTGAGCGGAGACAAGTTTCAGAGACAGAGACTATCATTATAATCTGAACAAATAGTATTAGGAAATTCTATTACTTAAATTACAAAATGACGGTAACTTTTCCCAAATGTCCTAGTTTTACAGAAGATTCCTGGAATCTGGTATTACTGGAATTCCGTAACCCTAAACAGCATTGATGCCGTTATTCTGCAGACCAAATGCTACTGGAGATGAGGCTTTCCTTCAAAGGTCGATCAAGCCACGACACAGTCAGTCACAGCATATGGAATAATTAGGCACATGTAAACAAATCCTGCTCAACTAAGTATGGTTTTGAGATAATGTCTTCCAGCATGGTTGCCTAAGGGCAAGTTAATTATATGTAATTCACCATAGATCTACAGTGGATGCTGGCAGGCTTTGTGCTGCAACTAAATTATCCCTTAAATCCATTAGCTCACAAAAGCAGTGCAGACATACACTACAAATTAGTGGATTCGGCTATTTCAGCCACACCCGTTGCTGACAGGTGTATATAGCCATGCACATAGCCATGCAATCTCCATAGACAAACATTGGCAGTAGAATGGCCCGTATTGAAGAGATCAGTGACTTTTCATGTGGCACCGTCATAAGATGCCACCTTTCCAACAAGTCAGTTCATCACATTTCTGCCCTGCTAGAGCTGCCCCGGTCAACTGTAAGTGCTGTTATTGTGAAGTGGAAATGTCTAGGATGAACAATGGCTCAGACTCGAAGTGGTAGGCCACACAAGCTCACAGAACGGGACCGCCGAGTGCTGAAGCGTGTAGCGTGTAAAAATAGTCTGTTCTCGGTTGTACCACTCACTACTGAGTTCCAAACTGCCTCTGGAAGCAACGTCAGCAGAAGAACTGTTCGTCGGGAGCTTCATGAAATGGGTTTCTATGGCCGAGCAACCGCACACAAGCCTAAGATCACCATGAGCAATGCCAAGCGTCGGCTGGAGTGGTGTAAAACTCGCCGCCATTGGACTCGTTCTCTTGAGTGATGAATCACACTTCACCATCTGGCAGTCTGACGGCCAAATCTGGGCTTAGTGGATGCCAGGAGAATGCTACCTGCCCAAATGCATAGTGCCAACTGTAAAGTTTGGTGGAGGAGGAATAATGGTCTATGGCTGTTTTTATTGTTTCGAGCTAGGCCCCTTAGTTCCAGTGAAGGGAAATCTTAACGCTACAGCATACAATGACATTCTAGACAATTCGGTGCTTCCAACTTTGTGGCAACAGTTTGGGGAAGGCCCTTTCCTGTTTCAGCATGACAATGCCCCTGTGTACAAAGCTTTGATCCATTCAGAAATGGTTTGTCGAGATCGGTATGGAAGAACTTGCCTGGTCTGCACAGAGCCCTGACCTCAACCCCATCGAACACCTTTGGGATGAATTGGAATGCCGACTGCGAGCCAGGCCTAATCGCCCAACATCAATGCCCAACCTCACTAATGCTCTTGTGGCTGAATGGAAGCAAGTTCCCACAGCAATGTTCCAACATCTAGTGGAAAGCCTTCCCAGAAGAGTGGCGGCTGTTATAGCAGCAAAGGGGGGACCAACTCCATATTAATGCCCATGTTTTTGGAATGAGATGTTCGACGAGCAGGTGTCCACATACTTTTGGCCATGCAGTGTACAAACACAATCATTTACCATTCAAAGCCAGAGACAATGATAGAGTTGTAAAATTCCAGTAACTTTCACAAATTGCACAGGTTATCCAGAAATCCTGGTTGGAGGATTCTCGATTTCCTGATAATTCCCTCCTGATTCCGGGAATCCTCCAAACAGGATTTCTGGAAAACCTGGGGATTTTGGGAAATAAACAATGGTCTCTCAGACTCACGTGGTGGGCTGGGTCAGGAAGGAGTTCTTATGGAGTCTGTAGGCTGTGTAGCTGTTAAAGGAGCCAGGTTCCATAGACACTCCCTTGATATAACCATAGGTCTTCTCTGTCAGGTTGAATGCCTCCAGCATCCTGAAGCCTAGAGCACAAGGTAAAGAACTCATTTTAAGTTCTAGAACTTCTCAAAGTTCTAGAAGTTCCTCATTGACAACCAATGAGGAAATGATGCAGTTGGTTCTAATTTGGGATGTACATAAAGAATAATCTGAGCATTGTTACCAGGTGATGTGAATCCATTCAGGTAGATCAGGGGACAAGCTGTGAAGATAATATCAAAGATTAGCAACAATTCAATTTGTTTCTAGAATTGTATCATGGGCGATACATTTTATCATGGGCGATAAATGAATCGCTTACTGCTAAATACTATAAGTGGTATCCAAAATAACAAACAACAAAACAGCTTACATGATGTTGCTGTTTCGCAAATGAAGGTCACAAGGTTGTCTTGGATAGTTGCAAAGGCATCAAAGTCGTCCACAACGAAGATGTGTCTGTCGCTTGGCTTGCTGCCAATGTTCTGCAGCTCAGCAAAATCCACATCGGCAACACCAACCACAAACACACTGTAACCTAGAGGAGGAACACATCCATTCTCAGAAAACCAACTACAGTATATGCATGGGGTGATTCTGAAATGCTACAGATTGCTGATACCTCAATGACAACATTTACAAGCATTATGGGATATGATTGACAATGGGTTGACTGGAAGATTGCTGTGCAGAAAACGGAGTAACCCTTACCAGCATGCTGCAGTGCGGCAGCGTTTTTCTTAACCTCATCCTGAGAGCGACCATCTGTGACAGCTACCACAACCTTGGGGACATTCCTCCTCATTCCATTTTCTGGGGCGAACACCTTCTCCTTGACATGCCTCAGAGCAGCGCCTGATCATGAACAAAGAAATGTTGATTAATTTAATTTGAATTTAATGAATGTGATGTTAGACAACAATGTATATTCAAAGGATGGATATTTAAAGACTAAGCATGTTTAGACTGGCTCCAATTAAACATGTTGGTGTCCATTGTAAAGTAACTTTTACAACCAGTGACTAGTGCTGCATCCCAAATGGCATCCTATTCCCTTTATAGTACATTACTTTAGATCAGGGCCCGTAAGGCTCTGGTCAAAAGAAGTGCACTATATAGGGAATAGGGTGTCATTTGGGACACACCCTAGTTGGTGGGAGCTGGGTTTGGGGAGCCTCACCGGTCTTAGTGTTTCCTCCTCGGTACTGGATCAGCTGTAGAGCGGCGAGAGCGCTGCCCTTGTCCGAGTAAGATTTCAGCCTGAACTCTGTCTTTGCTTCGTCACTGTACTGCACGAACGACACCTGTTTCCAAAGTAAAAAGACATGAGCATTACAAGGAGTCAGAGATGGAAACTCGAGTCTGAGACTCAGACTCGAGTCGCGCTTAAGTCGACTTGCGACTTTACTTAGACTTGTGATCAATTGACTTGAGACTTGACTTGGACTCGTGAACAATGCAAGTCAGTACTGGGATACGTTTTTGTTGTGCATTCTGTCAGATAACATGGAACAGGCGGCATTGTAACACATTATAATAATAATAATAATATGCCATTTAGCAGACGCTTTTATCCAAAGCGACTTACAGTCATGCGTGCATATATTTTTGTGTATGGGTGGTCCCGGGGATCGAACCCACTACCTTGGCGTTACAAGCGCCGTGCTCTACCAGCTGAGCTACAGAGGACCACATTGTAATACAGAGGGCTGAAAAGCTTTCTAGAATGTCTCTGTCATTTCTACGTCACTGTAGTACTACAGCTAAACAATCGTAATCAGCAACAATGTCATCAGGTGGTGAGGCTTTCGTTATTACATTTGGTTACAAGAACCTGCAGTATAATGCCAGTTGCAAAAAACGAAATGCTGTTTGCAAAACTTGTGGATTTTTGGAGAATCCATGCAAAACACTTTCCAAGGCTCAAGCAGGTAGCAATGACAGTGTTGGCTGTCCCTGCCACCAGTGCCCCAGTGTAGAGAGTGTTTAGTCATGGAAGCCTCATCATGTGCCAGGCTCAGTGCAAGAACACCGACAAACTTGATCTTTCTGAAATGTAACCTCTCTGCAACAGAAATGTTCTCTGTCTTAGGGCACAGGACGTAATTTGCTACTTGTTACAGGAAATTGTATTTCTGTTGTTAAGTGTCCAGGTCAGTAAGTATATTTTAGGGATAAAGGTCATTACGTTTGATATATAGGACACTTTAGTACAGCAGTTATTGAACAGTTGTCAGTCATTTTAGTTTACATTCATACTTGTAATTTACCTTCCCTCACCTATAGATGTTCTGTTGTGTGACAGAATGAAGTGAAATATAGAGAATGTCTGCCACAAAATACCATGCACTTTAAAATGTTATGTTAGCTTTTTCTTCATATCCGGTACAATGACTTTTATTAACATTAACTGTCTACATTTTTAAAGGAAATTTATTTTGATTTAAATAGTGCCTGATGTGCTTTCTTTCATACAAGTATGGACTAATTAACAAGGGAGTCTCTTCAAATAATTTACAAGGTTTATACACCTAACCCACAGCAGGCAGAAAGCCATTGCCAAAAGGGACTTGAGACTTGACTTAGACTTGGCCCTAAAAGACTTGCGACTTGACTTGGACTCGACCTCAAAGACTTGTGAACATCTCTGCAAGGAGTTATAGTATGATTCTAAACAGTTCGCCAAGGTGACTAACAATTACAACATGCTTTTTCCACTATTTACAGCACTACACACCTGCATTCCTGTCGATCCGATGACGTCGAATGCTCCAATCATGCTGAAGATGAACTGCACCACTTTCCGGAAACTGTCTTCTCCGATACTCCACGAGCCGTCAATAAGGAACACCACATCTGCCTTGGCACCTTTGCACACTGAGGCAAAATAAAAAGAACTCAGTGAACTGCACTTAAAAGATTCCATGGCAGGCACCAGATTCTGGGCTGCCTGCAACACCAGGACCGATAACAGAGAATGGCATCATAATGAGAGTCGACAACCTCGAAAATAAAAACGTCTACAGGAATCTCACAAACAAAATCATTGAGAGAAAGAAATTACATAATGAAGCTATACATGGCAATTATTGGTTTAATTGATCACACTTTCCTGAAAAAACTAACAAAACAAGGAACATTTGGTCACCATAAAGGCTGGAAATGAACTGTTCTTTAATGGCTTTCTCTCTTAGCACAACAAAAGGAGTTGGCAAATCACGAGATAATGTCTGCCTGATGTGATAGAGCACTTTATTTTTTTTATCTCTCGCAATCCCCTTCCTCCAAGTCTGAATGCATAAATAAGTTTTACACAATTCCTTATCAAACAAACAGCTTCTTTGGAATTCTTCCTTTCTCAACACCTAGGTTAGTCATTAGTCAATGGGTGTGTTCCCATTGAAAACCCTGGAGGGTCTGTGTCGAGCATGTGGCGGCCATTACTTTAACACTGGCACCACTCTGATCTAGAATAAATACGTCTGCAGGTCTCTGCTTCTGCCAAATAGTAAGATTTTGAGTGCATTGCATGTTTTCTGAACCTGGCTTTTATGACTCTCAACTAATCGCACTAAAACACATTCAAATTAAAATGTCGATGACTTTGCAGTTGACAGCTAGTTTGGGCTCCAAGCAAGGCTTCAAATTTTCCATATAGCATTGGTGAATGTGGTGCCGTTTGGTGCTTTGGTACTATGGAGGTGATGGATACTGTATGTCGTAGTCATCATGGCGCCATTGGTTCTTACCTGCCCATGCAGGAGGAATGGTAGGAGGTGGTGGAGGAGTGGGGGGTAGCGTTGGGGCTTCAGTAGGTTTGACCACTTTGAGAAAGAGACAAAGTGTCAGTAAACATCAACAAAGAAATGACAAATTCGGATAGCACATTGGCACCACTTTTGTAAAAAGCTGAAGACTACTTCGGTAACTGCACTGACTGTAAGTCGCTCTGGATAGGAGTGTCTGCTAAATGACTCAAATGTAAATACTCACATGTTCTCTCTTTGGTACTGACTCCAGGGCCCTCGAGGTTAGGGGTCTGAACGAACACGGTGGCGCTGTAGAGAGCGTCAGGGGAGAGACCCTTGAAGCAGTACTGGCTCTGAGCTGCAGTGATGGTGATCTCCTGCTGACCTTTACTGGAGGCTACACACAGACAAAACAAAGAGAAATATGAAACATGTTGACATATGTTGAGAAGAGAAACATATTGACATGTGTTGACTGCCGAGGCTGCTGCCTGAAACGTTGTTCCTAATAAAAATCACGGGTCTTCTCTGAGTAAGCAAAGCAGAGTTAATGCCATTCAGCTGGGGCTATGACAGTTCTGCGGTAAAGCAATAATGTCAAAATACATGTAATATCAGCGATATCACGCTACACATGTAATTCAATATGAATTGTTTTGGGGAAAATGCAGAAAGTTGTGGTATTTTTGGTCAAATGAACTATGAGACCAGGACAATGGCCTTATAAGGGCAAATTATCCCCTCAATCACTTCTCCTGGGCTGACCCCTTTCTGCTGAAGGTTCTCATTGTCATTATAAATAGCTAAATCATTGTTTTAGAAGACCAAGATTCTTGCGCAGAGATGTATGCCATGATCCTCGCTCCTCAACCACTATTTGCATTCCACTTCAGTAACAAACAATTGGCATTCTAATACTGACTTGGAAGCTCAGCCTGTCTGTGCTGCATCTTTAAAAGGTTGCTAGCTTCTCAAACCTTGGGGACTGTTTACTTTCGGTGAGTGTTTTCTACAGCAGCTGTCTTTCTCACACAAGCAAAGCCTGCTTAAGTTTGGAAATGTGTCATGGGTAATGACTACCATGTCCATATTTAAATCCTTGCGATACTGCTGCCTGTTTTTAACAGTTTATACCCCGGGTCTACTGAAAAAAAATCTGAAAAAAAATAATGATTGTGCCGTTACACAATACATAGCCTAATAGTCTATCGCGTATTACGCACGGCAGATTTAATATATATATATTTTTTACAATTGAAGATGTCTTTGGTACGTAATTGTTCTAGCCTATAGGCTACTCCAAAATTAAACAAACTCTAGTAATCGCTTTTGAATATGAACTGTATTATTATGCATACTGGATGGGCTGGTTACCTTATACTAGGCTCCAAACGTTATATCTATGAGTCTGGGAGAGAACATATAGGCCTAGGCGAGGCTGTTGGTTCATTGATTGTGCAGGGGTGTTACAGAGTATTTTTAGCCTACAATTATAGTGAATCTTTATTTGATTTTGAATAGTCTAGTAATAGGGAAATGTTTATATTTTCATAATTAATAGGCTGACACATTACCTTTAGCTACAGTACCTGATGGTTGCCACTAAAAATATGATAATCCCAGCTTTCTACTACTACTATACTGAACAAAAATATAAACGCAACATGTAAAGTGTTGGTCCAATGTTTCATGAGCTGAAATAAAAGATCCCAGATATTTTCCATACACAAAAAGCTTATTATTCTCACATTTTGCGCACACATTTGTTTACATCTCTGTTAGTGAGCATTTATCCTTTGCCAAGATAATCCATCCACCTGACAGGTGTGGCATTTCAAGAAGCTGATTAAACAGCATGATCATTATACACCTTGTGCTGGGGACAATAAAAGGCCACTCTAAAATGTGCAGTTTTGTCACACAACACAATGCCACAGATGTCTCAAGTTTTGAGGGAGTGTGCAATTGGCATGCTAACTGCAGGAATGTCCACCAGAGATGTTGCCAGAGAATTTAATGTTCATTTCTCTACCATAAGCCGCCTCCAACGTCGTTTTAGAGAATTTGGCAGTACGTCCAACCTGCCTCACAACTGCAGACCAAATGTACAGTGGCTTGCGAAAGTATTCACCACCCTTGGCATTTTTCATATTTTGTTGCCTTACAACCTGGAATTACAATGGATTTTTGGGGGGTTTGTATAATTTGATTTACACAACATGCCTACCACTTTGAAGATGCAAAATATATTTTGGGGTGAAACAAACAAGAAATAAGACAAAAAAACAGTAAACTTGAGTGTGCATAACTAAGTCTCTGAATTTCCTTGAGTGACCCAGCCAGAGCACGGACTTCAACCCGATCTAACATCTCTGGAGAGACCTGAAAATAGCCGTGCAGCGACGCTCCCCATTCAACCTGACAGAGCTTGAGACGATCTGCAGAGAAGAATGGGAGAAACTCCCCAAATACAGGTGTGCCAAGCTTGTAGTGTCATAGCCAAGAAGACTCGAGGCTGTAATCGCTGCTAAAGGTGCTTCAACAAAGTACTGAGTAAAGGGTCTGACTACTTATATAAATGTGATATTTCGTTTTTTTGTTTTTTTATATATAAAAACCTATTTTTGCTTCGTCATTATGTGGTATTGTGTATAGATTGATGAGGAAAACAATTAACAATCAATTTTAGAATAAGGCTGTAACGTAACAAAATGTGGAAAAAGTCTGAATACTTGACATCATCAACCAATTAGTAGGCAATTAGTAGGCAATGCCTACTCATAATTGGTTAAAATCACATGATGCACACTGATGATGTCATTGGAAACACTTATCTTCCTCTATCTTTTTTTCCACAAAACATAGAAATGTGACATTTTCACATTTGTTATTGTTGGGGTGGTGCTGGAGATGAGGAATTTGAAGTTGAAACATTTAGAAATGTTCCTTTAAGCACATTGCTCCGCTGTAAAACCGGAGTAGCCTACCAGCATGATTGAAAAAGGAACCACGGGAAAGCGCAGCCTCCATACGCTTTTCGAGTGCATACGGATGATAATGGCCCATTCTAAATCAAAACGAATTTCACATATAAATAAAGCCAAGATTACATTGAGAATAGTCTGATGGGTGAGAATATTATCACTTGATGAGAGAACAGCTAGCGCAACCTGAGGCAAGGAACAGAGCGCAAGCTTTTTTTGCGACTTTTTCCAAATCATCAATATAGTCGCATCATGCAGCCCATATGTTTTAATTTCTAAGAAATGTTAAAGTTTGTATCATTCACAACTAAAGGTGCCAAAAATTATAATTTATGAGCATATCTTGTCTACTAAATGAACTAGCCTACAGCCTAGGCTGCCATTGGCATGGCACATAGCCAGATAACATACAGTAGGCTGACTCAGAATATGCTATTCTGTTCTTCTGAAATACATTTTCTTCATACCATAATGTTTCTTAAGACCTGCCGTAAAATATATAATGGATTGATTGTGATGGTGTATATTAAATGGATTTATTAGACTTAGAAAAAATGGAGATGTTCCAAATCAGCAGCTTGTATTCGTGGGGGCATGGATATGCTAAACATGTTTATGTTAATTAACGGTTAATTACCGTGAGACCGGCAGTTATTTGCATGACAGTTACCATCTGACAAAATGTCAATACTGCCACAGCCCTAGGTCTACGTGCGAACATTAATACAGATGGATTCAAAGGCGACAGTAATTAAAAGGATGTAATCTTTTCAGACAGAGAGAGAATTTAAACTTGGTGGTCAGATGCTTTCAGAACACACCACATCATGCATTTTCCTTCGAGAGATAAACACAGTGGAGGGCTGAGGATAAACAGTTGTGTGAATGTCTAGACCCAATCTCAACAGCCAGCACCGTACCATTCCAATGTTCTGAATAAAGAGGAGGGTGAGGCTACGATCAGTGGTGGATCTATAGCATATCTGACTAGTGACTGACTAACACCCACTACATCATGTGTTGATGCTCCTTCTGAAATCTCCTTTATTGTTTCAGGCATAAGAGGAAGCATAAACTCAATTATAATGCAGCAATTCTTCAGGGTAGAAATAGAGTCTCTCATGTATCAAAGCTTAAAGGTGCAATCTGAAATGAATGTTTGGCTGAGACTTACGGTCCAGAGGGTTGAGCTTGATCCTGTAGGAGGTGGCAGCCCTGTGAGGACTCCACTTGATGCAGAACTTGTCGAAGCCAACGTTGTAGGTCTCAATGTTGGTGACGTTCAGGTAGACTGTGGAGCAGAACATAAGAAGAAGTGTCTCAGACTGACTTCAAGACTGAGTCCCAAATGGCACCCTATTCCCTATATAGTGCACTACTACCGACCAGGGTACATAGGGCTCTGGTTCAAAAGTAATCCACTATATAGGGAGCCATTTGGGATGGTTGACATTGATGCTTCATAAAGATTATACTTGTGTTGATCAGATACATACGTGTTGTTCCTTGTCCTTCGAGGGCCCCGCTCATGCCAGCATCATACTGGGCAAACACTTTGACATCGTAGGTGGTGCCAGGGAGGAGGTTCTGGACAGTGTATGAAGTCACGTCACCCACAAACACGTCCAAGCTCTTACTCTGATCTTCTCCTGCAGGCAAAAACAACACAATCTCTACATAAACAACAGCAACACTACAACACAATCTCTACATTAACAACAACAACACTACAACACAATCTCTACATTAACAACAGCAACACTACAACACAATCTCTACTTTAACAACCGCAAAACTACAACACAATCTCTACATTAACAACAACAACACTACAACACAATCTCAACTTTACTCATGAGGAGAGGAGAAGAGCAGACCTATCTAAACCTGAAATCATCTCATTTGAAATGTAAAGATGGCCCTTAGATTTCATGCAAATTATTATGGATCATTACTTATTCATTGCTGTCAAACTTTGGCTTTGCACTGGGAACTTTGATGGGTAAAACACGGTATGACAAAACATGACATTGTGAAGTGCTGTAACTCAGGGTGTTATGGGTCCCTGCTCATGATTGCATGCACGTGGCCCAGAGTCTGACATCATCTCACCCGCAGGCGTGTAGACCAGCTTGTATCCGAGCACCGGAGACGGCGAAGGGTCCCAGGCAACACGGAAGCGGGTGTACCACTCGTCCGAGACGCGCAGGTTCCTGGGCTCCAGCAGGCCAACTGTAACCAAGGCAGAGCAACAGAGTGAGCAGAAACATGTCAACATTCAATCAGTCATGGCAATTACTCTCAACAACAAGTAGGGCCATGACACCATTTCCAGTCTAACTAGCCCCCAGTGCAGTAAGGCAGTACATTACCATAGCACACAGCCCGGCATGCTGCTAGACTACTGCTGTTTTTCCTCCTCCTCTGTTTATGAAGACTATTATGAGTAATACGTGTTTAGATTGGATAGATTTTTCCATGGTCTTGCTGAGGGAGCTGGGCAGTGGGTGGGTGGGTGGGTAGTCGGGTGCGGCATGAACTCCCCATTGGAGCGTTGCCCATCCAAACTACCTAGCTGGCACAATGGTGCCTCGGTCCAAGCCAAAACATAAAGTTTCTATTGTTTGTGTAACTCGGGGCTAATGTTCGCCAGTCGTCGAACTTTCCCAGTTGCTCTACTGTGAATTCCCAATCCTCCAAACTCTTCAAACTGAAACATGTTGGAATCGGTTGGCTATTTTGTATGGCTCTTGTAAGTATTTTCCACTCCTGTGCACAGGTCTCACTCCCAGCTCATCAGGCTTGGAAATTCTGTCCAGCTAGCTAGACCATTAGGTATACAGTATACCAGACTGAACACTTCCTGACCACTTTTCTAACCGCGTTACCTGTGCGTCCGGGCCCGTTCAGCGATCCCCCTGCTCCATCAGCATAGATGGCTTCCACAGTGATGTTGTAGGGAGTGTCAGGAAGCAGGTTCTGCAGGATGGCATTGTTTCTGTTGCCAGGAACAACGGTCTGTAAGGAAAAGCACCAGAAATAACTATCAGTTCATTCAAAAAATGGCTTCTCAACACACTTGACTTATTTGACATATTCCTTTCAGCTCCTAGTGGAGCAAAGTGCCTCAACACACAAAGGAACGTAATTGCTAATGGAAGCTAATCGTCGATGCTAGGCTAGTTCCTACATTACTGCAGCATAGAGAAAAAGGGTGTAATCAGGAGGCTATTAATGAACGTTTCCTGTCCTCTTTGAAAAAACATTGGACGATTAGCTCTAGTGACCTTTCATTTCAAACGCCGCATGCTAAAAGACTCCTTACATTTTTCTCTAGTTATGTAGCATTTGTTAACACAATAGTTACCTTGCTAGGGAGGGAGTAATGATGTGGTACAGCTGTGCTATCCTTAACTGGTGCGCCAGCTCACATGTTTAAATTAATTAATAATAGAATGTAATGTAACATAATGTTTCCATTGATAATATTGATCTTACTGAGCCTATAATTCATCTTACTAATCAGCAATTAACTGCTGGAGTTAACCAAACAGGCACCAACATATGCCTTTGTATGCCTTCAGTGCTTTGGCAGTAGTATCACGTTGAACAGAAGGTTAATGCAAGTGTATGGATGTGTATTTGATTTGCCACTTAGCTAAATATAAAATGAGACATGTTTAGGTCATGAACTCACTCATCCATTGAGTCAAACTCAAAGTCCTGTGTTACATGAAAGTCTGTTGAGAAAGACTTTGAACTCACAAACTCAGTGATGGGGTCTCCTGTGGTGGGGGCGTAGGCTATCTTGTACTGCTGCACAGGTCCCTCAGCGTGGTCCCAGCCGATGGTCAGTGTGTTGGTGGTGGCATCAAACACCCGCAGGTTCCTAGGTCCAACACGGGGCACTGCAACAGCAACAACACTGGGTTACACTCACACACATGCACCGAGCAACAGCGCACGCCACATGCACCTAGCAACCACCGCTACAACATGTGTTTGTTGTATATAGCTACGTGCATGTGTGTGCGGACGTACTTGAATGTAGACTACAGTATAAGCAAGTATGTGTGGAAGCACGAGTAATATCAATGTAAACAAGAGCCGCATGAGTCAGTAGTCCCAATGTATACAACAAAGTCCGTTTGATTGGATTCAAGTCTCACATGTTTTGCCGTCTCCCTTCACCGGTGGTCCCTCCCCGTCGGCGTACAGAGCCAGGACGCTTACCGAGTACGTCGTGTCGGGAATGAGCGAATCCAGGAACGCGTTGTTGATGTTACCCGGGACCAAGACCTTTGGAGAGGTCACAGGACATAGATCACAATGATGGCTTACCCGAGAGGAATCTTGGTTTGTGTTCCAAATGGCACCCTATTCCCTATTTAGAGCACTACTTTTGACCAGGGCCCATAGATGCACCCTCAAATGAGCTTCTTCAAGCATTACATACTGCTCTGGCACTGGTAATGTACATAATGAGCTCACTGTTAATCCCTGCTAGTGTCTTCTTGGAGGGAGCCTAGTGCAAAGGCTAACGTGAAGTACTAACAAAGTCCTGAAGAGGTTTAAAAAGCTAAACAAATGCATTCATTTTGCTTAAAAGTGATTGATAAACAGTTAGTGTTATGGAGTATCCGGCAAATGAAGACGACGTAACCAACAGCACGAGACCAGTGCTCTGTCATTGGACAGGCCTCAACGTGTATCTCACCCCTGTTTCTAACAACAGTGGAGACTAGTCTTGCCATATCATCAGGGTAATCACTATCACTACGCAGCCCATTATCTATTAGCATGTCTGAGGCATGGCCATTACATAATCTTTAAAGTAGTATACCCTCATCTACAGCTTATCAGGGGATTCAACTGAACATCTCTGTTGAAAGAGTGATGGACAAGACATGCAGGTAGCTGAAGTCTATAACACAGTATCTTTCCTGAAACCACTAAAAAGGCTGTCTTCCTTAGAAATGGAGCCACATTGAGATGTTTGCTTAGCTGACAAATGCTTTGGGGAAAAAACTCCCTTACCATTAGGCTTTTTTAAGGCCTACTGCTGCATCAAAGAACATTATAATCATAAAAACAGCCTCATTATCCTCCAACCAAGGCCTTATGCCCTCCAAAACTTCAAATGTAAGAATTTGCATCGATGTCTCTCACAGATGTGGATGTCCACATTTTCCAAACTCCTAGTGACACAGTAAAAGCTATTTGTAGGGCAATTAGCTGTATCTTTCTCCTGTAATCCAAGATATGTACATCGGTGCATAAAACCAATCCTGATATTCAGATAATTAAAAGCCAAAAAGTCTGGATTTCTGCATGAATTAAGACCAACCCCCCCCCCCAGGGTAGTCATCGTCTCAGTATAATGACAGCTTCTGGTTAACAGTGGAGAGAGATAGTTTGTATGTTCCAAATGGCACCCTATTCCCTATATAGTGCACTACATAGGGAATAGGGTGCTATTTGGGATGCATCCAGTAAACTTACCGTCTCTGCAGGTCTTTCTCCGGACAGAGGTGTGTAGATAACACGGTACTGCTGCACCTGGCCAGAGGCGGGCTCCCAGCGCACATTCAGGCTGTTGGTGGTGGGGTTGTACACCTGGACGTTCTTAGGAGGGGTGCGTGGAACTGGGGGTCACAGAGGGTCAGAGAAAGTCAAAAGGGGAGAGGGCAACTGTTGACTTCCCCTAACAAGTTTAAAAACAACTTTGATTTCACTCTACAATGCCTTATCAAGCTTTGAGTCCATTTAAAAGTAATTAAGTAAAAATACGACAAGAACATTTTAGAATTATTAGACTGCTAAGTTTCAAATAGGACGTAGCTCAGTAAAAAAAAAAAAAGACTTAAATGCTGAGGAACGCAAACTCCAGAAACCAAGTGATTTTATAGTGTCTATGTAGACAGCACATAGAGAGAAGCAACACAGTTTGGGTTTATGCAAAAACCTCTTAACTTCCCGTTTAAACTAAAACAGATGTGCATATTCCTCTGGCATTCAGCACTTTAGCCCAATAAAGCTAGATGTAGTAGGTAGACAGACCCAGCCACCTTATTCAGAAGCAAAGTAGAACCTATTTGTCCAACAGTGAGCTTCTTTCTATTCTGAACACTTGTACAAGTCCACATGCATATGGTGTCTTTAGGAAGATTACTCTGTCAAACATCTCTTCACATTTGGCCGGGGATCAGAGCACATCAGATATGAATCAATGATCATAAATCTGTGTCTGTCTAAAAGACTTGAAACTGACAAGGACTTAGTGAGTTCAAATAAAATGCTTGACTTCCATTGGACATTTTCATATTAGCCTTGCACAACGGAGTCTCTGGAACCTCCTGTGGAATCATTATGCACCATAAGCTCTGTATTACTGATATGCTCCGCTGGAATCACAGCTTTCCAATTAACTTCTCTGGGATGGATTTCTGCTGACTCAGCATGGCAAGCCATTTGAGCAGAAACAAAACCGATGCACACAACAGGGTATAAAAACTGCACAGACACAGGCAGGGCAACCCAACCAGCAATTATTATTATTATGGTGAGATAAGCTACCCCTTTGTTCCAGGAGGGGGTTGCAAATGCTATCTGGTTCGGGGATTGGAATAAAAAAAGATATATATTCCCACTCAGTTGTGTAAACGTTGACCTGAATAACAATGTTTCCCTATGAGGGTATCTATTATCCTGAGATCTATCTTGAGATCTGAGTCCAAACTCTGGAAAAACCAAACAGGCTCCGGATTTAAGATGCTACTGAATCAAACCAACTGAAAAGAGCATGTCTTAATCCCAATTAAAACAAAAACTGATTACTTGAGTTTCCTCAGTTGATAACTTACGTGTCTTTCCAGTCTCAGACTGGCGCAGGCCCTCTCCTTCGGGGTAGACGGGGACCACGGTGACGGTGTAGGGCGTGTCTGAGAGAAGGTTCCTCAGGACGGTAGCGGTGGTGCCACCAGACACTTGCTCCTGTTCACAGAGAGATGTTTGAGTTGCATTATCAATGTTTTTACCATAGATTGGTTTAATCCTACGGCATCCATATTAGGAAGTCGTCAGATTTTAGGTAAACAAATTCCTAATATGGATGCCATACTCAACTCAATTCTGGTTGGTCAAGAGATACCCTGTACAGTATCAGATGTTAAGGCACAGATAGTTGGTGGTCTTACCATGTCCTCGGCTCCGCCAGAGGCAGGGACATAGAAGAGACGGTACTGGCGCACGTTGCCCTCCGCTGGCTCCCAGCGCACCTTGAGGGAGCTAGTAGTCGGGTCGGTGACCTGCAGGTTCTTCACCCCGCCCAAAGCCTCTGACAAGTCACCAAACAACGAGTTTAGCATCAAATCACTTTTTCTATTTTGTAGCACATTTGTATTTTTCTCACTGTATTTTCCCGGCATTGTGTAGTTTGTTCAGTCATGACTTACTTGTCTTTCCATTTTCAGAATTTCTCTTCCCTTCAATATCGCCATACATAGGCACCAATGTCACTTTGTACTCTGTGTCTGGCACAAGGTTCCTTAGAACGGTGTTGGTTGACATCCCAGAAACTGCGGTCTGTGAAAAAGAGATTAACAAGAACGTAAAGAAAAACCACTCTACTAAAGACATAGCAAATTCAAGTATTCAATGTTTATAGTGCTCAAAATGCTCAAGTTAGAGAGTGTGCAGATATCGCTTTGATGCACTATGAAAGGAAGTGTTGTCTTTGTACCGTGAGTTCAGGCCCTCCTGCTAGCGGGGCATAGATGACAGTGTACTGGCGCACATCCCCCTCAGCTGGCTCCCAGCGGACTCTCAAGGAGTTGGTGGTGGGGTCAGTCACCTGCAGGTTCTTCACTCCACCCAGAGGCTCTGAGGAAGAAGTAACACATCAATATCACTCCAAGTAAATGGCACCAATGTCCTCAAGCTGTTACTGAGTCTGATATGGAAGCATATACAGTGGGGTCTGAAATTATTGACACCCTTGATAAAAATGAGCAGAAATGACTGTGTAAAATAAATAATTCAAATATTGAACTATATTGTGTGCTCCAAAAAAATTGGGAAAGTATATCATTTTATACTAATACAATTGGTCAGAGAAAGAGATTTTGTTAAACAAGTAATACTTTTTTATCTCAAAAAGGTAGAAGTCAAAATTATTGACACCTCTGTTTTCAACATCTTTCAATACCTCACCTTGAGTGGATAACGGCACTGAGCCTTTTTCTAAAATGTTTTTCTAGTTGGACAACATCTTAGACCATTCTTCCTTACAGAATCCTTCCAGATCCTTGATATCCTTTGTCTGCGCTTATGGACTGCCCTCTTCAATTCAAACCACAGGTTTTCAATCGGTTTCAATGGTTTTCAATGGGTTTCAAGAGACATTTACATTTACATTTTAGTCATTTAGCAGACGCTCTTATCCAGAGCGACTTACAGTTAGTGAGTGCATAAATTTTTCATACTGGCCCCCCGTGGGAAACAAACCCACAACCCTGGTGTTGCAAGCGCAATGCTCTACCAACTGAGCTACAGGGGACTGAGATGACAATTGCAGAATTTTGATTTTGTGACCAATTTACCATTCCTTTGTGAATTTTGATGTGTGTTTGGGGTTATGTTCTTACTGGAAGATCACTTGCCGTCATGTTTCAGCTTCCTGGCAGAGGCAACCAGGTTTTTGGCTCAAATATCCTGGTACTGGATAAAGTTCATGATGCTGTTGACCTTAACAAGGGCCCAACGACCAGTGGAGGCAAAATAGCCCCATAACATCCAAGATCCACCACCATATTTTACAGTAGGTATGGGGTTGTTTTCTGCTCCTGCATTGTCATTTCAATGCCAAACCCACCACTGGTGTGTGTGGCCAAAGACCTCTATTTCCATGCCCTTGTTAATGTCAACGGCATCATGAACTTTACCCATTACCAGGATATTTTAGCCAAAATCCTGGTTGCCTCTGCCAGGAGGCTGAAACTTGGCCACAGGTGGATCTTCCAGCAAGACAATAACCCCAAGCTCACATCAAAATCCACAAAGAAATGGTTAATTTGCCACATAATCTATATTTTGTAATGGCCATCTCAGTCTCCGGACCTGAAACCTATTGAAAACCTGTGGTTTGAATTGAAGAGGGCAGTCCATAAGCGCAGACGAAGAATATCAAGGATCTGGAAGGATTCTGTATGGAGGACTGGTCTAAGATCCCTCCCAATGTATTTTCCAACTCATAAAACATTTGAGAAAAAGTTGGCATTATTCTCTCAAGGCAAGGTATTTAAAGGTATTGAAAACAGGGGTGTCAATCATTTTAAATTCTAACTTTTTGAGAAAAATTAATATTACTTGTTAAACAAAATCTCGTTCTCTGAGCAACTGTACTTGTAAAAAATTATATAATTTCATCTTTGGTCATCTTTATCAAGTTTGTCAATAATTTCAGACCCCACTCTGTAGATGTCAAAAACTATGTATAAAAAAATTAAATAAGTTGACTTAAATGTTGACAGCTATATGCTTCAAAAGTGTTATAGTATGGGGTTTCTGAGCAAAAGAACGTTTTGAAATGCTTCACTCACTTGTTTTTCCCATCTCAGACTGCATTATGCCGTCCACGTCTGGGTAGACCGGGACAACAGACACGTTGTATTGGGTATCGGACTCCAGGTTACGCAGGAGAAGGTTGGTGGTGCCCCCTGAGACTTGCTCCTGTTCAGGGAAAGTGAAGATCAATGTTAGTACTGTATGACAATTACATTGTCTGATTATAGTGTAAACATGACTGAGTTGACAGTAAAATTTCTAAATAGATGAATAGGAGATATACCATTTGCTCCTTCCCATCTGGCTGGGCCACGTAGAAGACCTTGTAGTTGCGCACGTTACCGACAGCCGGGTCCCAGCGAACAGACAGACTGTTGATGGTGGGGTCGATGACCTTCAAGTTCTTCACTCCACCGTAAGGATCTGAGGCAGAGGAGACAATGTTATAGCATCACACTTACAGTACTGTACAAGCTGAACAAGTAGCAGACATTTAGAAAATGATCCCTTTCTTAGATGGTCTTTGAATCATTTCAACCCGTTCAGTTCAACTCACTTGTCTTTCCATTCTGAGACCTAGAGAGACCCTCCATCTCATGGTAGACAGGCACAACTGTCACAGTGTATTCAGTGTCTGGATTCAGTTCCTTCAGAACAGTGGTGGTCGTTGTTCCAGACACCTGGTCCTGTTCAAGAAAGAAGAAGAGAGAATATAAGTCAGAAACTGGGCTTACTTACACTTGAGCCATGTTGACTAGCTACTGGGGTAAACACCATCGGCTTATGTCACTTTAAATGGAAGGATGGGCTGATTGTAATGGATTTCACCCTCCACTGGAATATACCATTCTCAGTGCGTTAGTAGGGGTGTTGTGTTGGTGAGGCGACCCGGACGTACCACTTCCTGCTCCCCGCCTGCAGTTGGGATGTAGACGATGATGTACTCGCGCACGTTCCCCTCAGCTGCGTCCCAACGAACGTTCAGGGTGCTGGTGGTGGGTTCAATGACCTGCAGGTTCTTCACGAAGCCCAGCGGCTCTGAGCACCAAGAGGAAACAGGGCAGCTTAGCCATCATGTCCATTTGAAAACCATAATACACTTGTTGTACAGCTATGTTTTACTACTACTATATGCCTAAAGATTTGATGTCTGCAGATGAGCTAATTAAGCAATAAGGCCAGAGGGGGTGTGGTATATGGCCAATATACCACGGCTAAGGGCTGTTCTTATGCACGACGCAACGCGGAATGCCTGGATACAGCCCTTAGCCGTGGTAAATTGTCCATATACCACAAACCCCCGAGGTGCCTTATTGCTATTATAAACTGGTTACCAACGTAATTAGAGCAGTAAAAATAAATGTTTTGTCATACCCGGGGTATACGGTCTGATATACCACAGCTGTCAGCCAATCAGCATTCAAGGCTCGAACCACCATGTTTATAATATACAGTAATTCATGTCTTTCACTGTACAATTTGCCCGTAATTATCACTGGTCACTGAGAGCATCATGTGCAATAAGTTGTCGTTACTCACTTGTTGTTCCATCCTCGGTCTGGGTTTGACCATCTCCTTCCGAGTACACTGGCAGCACAGTGACTCTGTACTGTGTGTTGGGTGAGAGGCTCTTCAGAACTGTGGTGGTTGTGCTCTCTGAGACTTGCTCCTACAATGGAAAAATAGATGGTGTCACACCAACAGCAGCTCCAACAGACATACTGGAACACTATGGCTGCATCCCAAAAGACACCCTATTCCTTGCATAGTGCACTAATTTTGACCTGAGCCCTATGGGCCCTGGTCAAAAGTAGTGCACTATATAGGGAATAGGGTGCCATTTAGGATGCAGATAATATCTCATACACCAGATCCACAGGATGAGGCCCATGTACCACAATTGTGTGGTCTGTAAAACTACATGAACTGCTCCAGTTTCTCTCACCCTTCCGTGGAGTTTATTTTGACAGGTTTGATTTAGAGCGCAAGCTATGCGCCACACTGTTCAGGCCAATTCTAAACAGATCAACCAAAACAATGCATTAGAGGATCTTGTTCCACATAAACCGACCAAACCAAAAAGTCAATTGCATTAGAGTTGTGATCACAGAGCTGTTCACACTCTGTTAGCTCCTACACAGCCTGAACTCCATCACTGCTATGCTACAACGGCGTTAATACTCTGCTGCTGCCTCTCATAATGCTTAACACAGCAGGCTAACTGATAACGCTAAGTCCTCAATGCTAACTCCTCAACACTACTCCTCAAGCCGGAATGACGAAATCCCCACTCCACAAAGTATGCCGTGCAATGAAGCTGGATTCTTTCCACCCACAGGATTGGAAACCATTGTGTTAGGCTGACCTCATGGAGATTACACTGTCAACAAATTTAACATCACCGTATCAGTTGAGTTATAGGCTTATGGAGATAGGCAGTGTGGTTAGGAGTACAGTAGAGTACTCACAATGATCTCAAGGCCTCCTGCGACGGGAGTGTAGATTACTTTGTAGCCCTGCACGTTGCCGTCAGCTGCATCCCAGCTGGTGGTTAGGGTGGTGTGGGTAGGATTGGTGACCTGCAGATTGGTCACTCCACCCAAAGGCACTGGGAATAGAAATAACATGACTTTAAGTGTGGTATTATGATTCTGTGATTATTGGGGAAATTCTCTGTTTATATTTCCAATGTTCCCAACTCACTTTGCAAAATAAGCTGCATAGGATACCAGTTAATTTGATGTTGCTACTCACGTGTCTTTCCATTCTCCGACTGGCGTTTCCCCTCCCTGACAGGGTAGACAGGCAACACTGATATTGCGTAAGGTGTGTCAGGCTTGAGGTTTCTCAGAACAATGGTGGTGGTACTTCCAGGTACTTGCTCCTATTTACACGTAAAGAAAAAGTAATTACAGATTAAATGCTTTATCAAAGTTTAATTTGCTAAATGCTACTTATGAGGTCATAAGGTGAAAGAGACCCACCATTTCCTCTGGAGTTCCTCCAGCCACAGGGACGAAGAAGATCTTGTACTGGCGCACGGCCCCGTCTGCTGGGTCCCAGTCCACCTTCAGAGAGGTCATGGTGGGTTCAGTCACCTTCAGGTTCTTCACTCCACCCAATGGTCCTGGTGAGGAAAACATCATTAGAACCAAAACTATAGAAAACCTAGCCTATGTCCAGTATAACCCTCTTATCACATTAATAATCATCTTACATTACAAACTCACAGTTTACGGAAGCTTATTGCTGCCAAAGAAAGAAAGAAATGGCCGGACAAAGAAAATGTTCTTTGTGGCAGCAATGAGGTTCCGTACCTCCATACCGTAAAAGGAAAATATAAGAAGTGAATACAAATAATATATCATAGAGTGGGTACTAATGACAATTTCTGGGATTTATGGGATTTATGCTTGCTCTGGCATTTGAGGCGTTCTGCAAAAGCGGAAGTGTGTATTGGTCGCAATCGAGGTTCACGCATGGCGAAAGCTCGCTTGGATGTCAGCCAGTCTTACTTGTCTTTCCGGTCTCAGACTGCCTTCTGCCCTCTGTCTCTGTGAAGACAGGCACCAGTGAGACGGTGTAGAGGGTGTCTGGCTGGAGGCCTCTCAAGACAGTGCTTGTGGCAGTTGCAGCCACAGTTTCCTAAAAATTACACAAACACAACACAACTATTAATCTCTGCCCACTCCCAACATACCAACAATACATATGTTATATGGCAAGCAATGGGGAAACAACCATTTCTACACTGTCAGCTACAGTACTCATCCTACCATGGCCTCAGCAGCTCCCCCAGCAGCAGGTACATAGAACACTTTGTACTCTTTGACTTTTCCATCGGCTGGCTCCCAGCGCACGTTCAGGGTGGTCATTGTGGGGTTGATCACCTGCAGGTTCTTCACTCCACCCAGGGGCCCTTGGACACACCAAAGTTAAAGTTAAAATCCAGCAATGAAGAGCTACCCTCTACTGATGATACTCTGAAATATCATTATCTCCGTCCCTCTTTCCATGTCAGCCAGGCTTACTTGTCTTTCCATTCTCAGACATCTTCTTGCCATCTCCCACTTCGTAGACTGGCACGACTGAAACTGTGTAAATGGTGTCTGATGTGAGGCCCTTCAGGACTGTGTTGGTTCCAGCCACAGTCTCCTTTACATTATACAAACACAATACACGTATTACCATTTGCCCACTCCCAACTTAACAATAACTAATGTTATATAAATCACAAAGTATGACAAGCAACTATATTCAGTCAAACAGGAGTGTATGAGCATTATGAGAACTCATACCCTTGAAAGTAACCACACTTTCCACACTCAGTTACCAGTCCTACCATGCTTTCAGCTCCACCGGCAGCAGGTACATAGATGACTTTGTACTCTTTGACTTTCCCCTCGGCTGCGTCCCATTTCACATTCAGTGTGACCATGGTGGGGTTGGTCACCTGCAGGTTCTTTACTCCACCAAGAGGCTCTGGACACACCAACCAGGGCTTTAATAATATAACTTTATACTGATTGATAGTACTTATTACAGTGCCATCTGAAAGTACTATCTTATCTTATGGAGTTTGTATGTAGTAGAAATCCAGCAATAAAGAGTTATCCTCTCCATTGATGATACTAATAGCTTTTAAGGCCATTAGGCAGTCCCTGAAATAATATTGATTGAACTTGGTATTGCAAGGAATCTGTATAAAGTTCAAATACAGACTCAATGGAGAGTTATCCTCTGCATTGGTGGTTATTTATGGAATTACTCCATAAATCAGCTTTTAAGAAGGCCATTATCAGTCCCTGAAAAGATCACTGAATAAGTGATCTTTAGAAGATCTTTAGCGATCTTTAGACTTAGATGTCAGCCAGTCTTACTTGTCTTTCCGTTCTCAGACTGTTTCTGTCCATCTCCCACTTCGTAGACAGGCACCAGTGAGACGGTGTAGAGGGTGTCTGGCAGGAGGCCTTTCAGAATTGTGGTGGTGGCAGTGGCAGCCACAGTCTCCTTTACATTACACAAACACAACCCAACTATTAATGTCTGCCCACTACAAACATGCCAACTATACATGTTTTATATGGCATGCAATGGGGAAACAACCATTTCTTACAACACTGTCAGCTGCAGTACTAGTCCTAGTTAGTGATGGGGGGGGATCGCTACTTACATATCACAGAATAATTTTGGGACGATATTATATTGATATTTGACTCCAAGTACAGGGATTTATAAGCAAAGAGAAATAAGCAAAGAGAAATGACAGGTCATCATTACTTTAAGACGTGAAGTTCAGTCAATAGGGAAAATGTCAAGAAAGTTTCTTCAAGTGCAGTCGCAAAAAACATCAAGTGTTATAAAGAAACTGGCTCTCATGAGGACCGCCACAGGAAAGGAAGACCCAGAGTCACCTCTGCTGCAGAGGTTAAGTTCATTAGAGTTACCAGCCTCTGAAATTGCAGCCCAAATAAATGCTTCACAGAGTTCAAGTAACAGATACATCTCAACATCAACTGTTCAGAGGAGACTGCGTGAATCAGGCCTTCAAGGTCGAATTGCTGCAAAGAAACCACTACTAAAGGCACCAATAATAAGAAGAGACTTGATTGGGCCAAGAAACACGAGCAATGGACATTAGACCAGTGGAAATCTGTCCTTTGGTCTGACGAGTCCAAATGTGAGATTTTTGGTTCCAACCGCTGTGTCTTTGTGAGACGCAGAGCAGGTGAATGGATGATCTCTGCATGTGTGGTTCCCACCGTGAAGCATGGAGGAGGAGGTGTGATGGTGTGGGGGTGCTTTGCTGGTGACACTGTCTGTGATTTATTTAGAATTCAAGGCACACTTAACCAGCATGGCTACCACAGCATTCTGCAGCAATACGCCATCCCATCTGGTTTGCGCTTAGTGTGACGATCATTTGTTTTTCAACAGGACAATGACCCAACACACCTCCAAGCTGTGTAAGGTCTATTTGACCAAGAAGGAGAGTGATGGAGTGCTGCATCAGATGACCTGCCCTCAACACAATTGAGATGGTTTGGGATGAGTTGGACCACAGAGTGAAGGAAAAGCAGCCAACAGGTGCTCAGCATGTGTGGGAACTCCTTCAAGACTGTTGGAAAAGCATTCCAGGTGAAGCTGGTTAAGACAATGCCAAGAGTGTGCAAAGCTGTCATCAAGGCAAAGGGTGGCTACTTTGAAGAATCTAAAATCTAAAATATATTTTGATTTGTTTAACACTTTTTTGGTTACTACATGATTCCATATGTTTTATTTCATAGTTTTGATGTCTTCACTATTATTTTACAATGTAGAAAATAGTAAAAATAAAGAAAACCCCTTGAATGAGTAGGTGTGTCCAAACTTTGACTGGTACTGTATATAAATATGTTTTTGCTACTGTAGTTGGTTGTACCTGCTCCAGAAATCGATATTTTTCATCCTATAGCTTGTTTTCCATCTTATTTTTAAATAGTGATGTCACGCCCTGGCTCTGGGGACTCTTTTATGTTGAGCCAGGGTGTTAGTTTCTATGTTGTAGTTTCTATGTGTTTATTCTAGATCGTTTAGATCTATGTTGGCCAGGGTGGTTCCCGATCAGAGGCAGCTGTTGCTCGTTGTCTCTGATTGGGAACCATACTTAGGCAGCCTGTTTTGCACAGTTATTTGTGGGATCTTGTTCTGTAAAGGTTTGTGTTGGTGAACCTGTAGACTTCACGTATCGTTTTGTTATTGTATTAAGTACTCATTAAAAGATGTATGCATATCACGCTGCGCCTTGGTCTGCCTCTTATGACGATCGTGACAGAAGATCCCACCAAAGAAGGACCAAGCAGCGTGTTCAGGAGCAAACACCGGGAAAGGAACTGGAGAAGTTGGCAATGTCCCAGGTGGGCGAATGGTGGTCTTGGGAGGACATGTTCGCGGGCAAAGGGCCATGGGCAAAAGTTAAAGCCCTGGCGAGAGAGGAGGTACGGCGCCAACCGTGCCGTCGTCGGACAGGCGAGAGGCAACCCCCCCAAAAACAATTTTGGGGGCACACGGCATGGACGACGGGGCTGCTGGAGGCAGCTACAGGGCGAGTTTGTGGACTAGGAGGCCACCAGGTTACGGGGGCCATTGGTCATGAGGAGGAAGGAGAGTGTAGAGGCACAGCGAGAGGTACTGGGGTGTGTTACCAATCCGGTCCGGCCCGTTCCTGATCCCCGCACAAGGCCAGTGGTGTGTGTTCCCAGTACGGTCCGGCCTGTTCCTGTCCCTCGCACCAAACCTATGGTGCGCGTCGCCAGCCCGGTCCGGCCTGTTCCTGCTCCCCGCACCAAGCCTGTGGTGCGCGTCGCCAGCCCGGTCCGGCCTGTTCCTGCTCCCCGCACCAAGCCTGTGGTGCGCATCGCCAGCCCGGTCCGGCCTGTTCCTGTCCCTCGCACCAAGCCTGTGGTGCGCGTCGCCAGCCCGGCCCGGCCTGTTCCTGCCCCTCGCACCAAGCCAGTGGTGCGAGTCGTCAGCCCGGTCCGGCCCGTTCCCGCTCCCCGCACCAAGCCTGTGGTGCGCGTCGCCAGCCCGGCCCGGCCTGTTCCTGCCCCTCGCACCAAGCCAGTGGTGCGAGTCGTCAGCCCGGTCCGGCCCGTTCCCGCTCCCCACACCAAGCCAGTGGTGCGCGTCGTCAGTCCGGCACGGTCCGTGCCTGTTCCACCTGTGCCTGGTCCGGCACCGGTCAGCTGCTCCACGCCGGAGCCAGAGCAATCCGCTCCACCGGTGTTCAGTCCAGCTCCGGCCAGCAGGGCCAGACCACGAGGGCGAGAGAGAGAGAGTGGTGGTCACGCCCGGAGCCGGATCCGCCTCCGAGGCGGAATGCCCACCCGGCCCCTCCCCTGTTGGGTTTAGTTGGCGCGGTCGCAGTCCGCGCCTTTGGGGGGGGGTACTGTCACGCCCTGGCTCTGGGGACTCTTTTATGTTGAGCCAGGGTGTTAGTTTCTATGTTGTAGTTTCTATGTGTTTATTCTAGATCGTTTCGATCTATGTTGGCCAGGGTGGTTCCCGATCAGAGGCAGCTGTTGCTCGTTGTCTCTGATTGGGAACCATACTTAGGCAGCCTGTTTTGCACAGTTATTTGTGGGATCTTGTTCTGTATAGGTTTGTATTGGTGAACCTGTAGACTTCACGTATCGTTTTGTTATTGTATTAAGTACTCATTAAAAGATGTACGCATATCACGCTGCGCCTTGGTCTGCCTCTTATGACGATCGTGACAAGTGAGCCAACATGTTTTCAGCACTTTTATTTCCCTGACTGATCAAAACTAGTTTTCTCATGCTCTCTCTTGTCTCTCTGCAGTACACGTAGTGAGCAATATCTTTAGAACATCAAATCGCAGTATCAAATCGCAATACATATAGAATTGTGAGAATTGCAATACATATCGTATCGGCACCTAAGTGTTGTGATAATATCGTATCGTGAGGTCCCTGGCAATTCCCAGCCCTACCTACCATGGCCTCAGCAGCTCCCCCAGCAGCAGGTACATATAAGACTTTGTATTCTTTGACTTTCCCGTCAGCTGGCTCCCATTTCACGTTCAGGGTGGTCATGGTGGGATTGGTCACTTGCAAGTTTTTCACTCCACCCAGGGGCCCTGGATACGCCAAACAAGGCTTTAATAATATCACATTATACTGATTGATAGTACTTAGTAAAGTACTATCTTATCAAGTTTGTATGATGTTAAAATCCAGCAATAAAGAGTTATCCTCTCCATTGATGGTACTAATGGGTTTTAAGGCCATTAGGCAGTCCCTGAAATAATATACTGATTGAACTATAAAGTTAAAATACAGACTCAATGGAGAGTTATCCTCAGCATTGGTGGTTATTTATGGAATTACTCCATAAATCAGCTTTTAAGAAGGCCATTATCAGTCCCTGAAAAGATCACTGAATAAGTGATCTTTAGAAGATCTTTAACGATCTTTAGACTTAGATGTCAGGTAGTCTTACTTGTCTTTCCGTTCTCAGACTGTTTCTGTCCATCTCCCACTTCGTAGACAGGCACCATTGAAACGGTGTAGAGGGTGTCTGGCAGGAGGCCTTTCAGAATTGTGGTGGTGGCAGTGGCAGCCACAGTCTCCTTTACATTACACAAACACAACCCAACTATTAACGACTGCCCACTACCAGCATGCCAACAATTCATATGTTATATGGCAAGCAATGGGGAAACAACAATTTCTACACTGTCAGCTACAGTACTCATCCTACCATGGCCTCAGCAGCTCCCCCAGCAGCAGGTACATAGAACACTTTGTATTCTTTGACTTTCCCGTCAGCTGGCTCCCATTTCACGTTCAGGGTGGTCATGGTGGGATTGGTCACTTGCAAGTTTTTCACTCCACCCAGGGGCCCTGGATACGCCAAACAAGGCTTTAATAATATCACATTATACTGATTGAACTCGGTATTGCAAGGAGTCTGTATAAAGTTAAAATATAGACTCAATGGAGAGCTATCCTCTACATTGGTGGTTATTTATGGATTTATGGAATTACTCCATAAATCAGCTTTTAAGAAGGCCATTATCAGTCCCTGAAAAGATCACTGAATAAGTGATCTTTAGAAGATCTTTAACGATCTTTAGACTTAGATGTCAGCCAGTCTTACTTGTCTTTCCGTTCTCAGACTGTTTCTGTCCATCTCCCACTTCGTAGACAGGCACCAGTGAGACGGTGTAGAGGGTGTCTGGCAGGAGGCCTTTCAGAACCGTGGTGGTGGCAGTGGCAGCCACAATCTCCTTTACATTACAGAAACACAACCCAACCATTATCCTCTGCTCACTACCAACATGCCTATACAACCCTGTTTGACTGAAGATACTGAAGTTGTTTACCATATTTTGTGATTCATAAAACAAACAACTTCAAACAATACATTGATATGCTATTTCTTGTTTTTGGATGTGAATTGTTGGAGTATTTTCTACACAGTCAGCCAACAGTAAGCTGAGAGACTTCCTACCGGTCCTACCATGCCTACCATGCTCTCATCTCCACCGGCAGCAGGTACATAGATGACTTTGTATTCTTTCACTTTCCCGTCGGCCGCCTCCCATTTCACGTTCAGGGTGGTCATGGTGGGGTTGGTCACCTGCAGGTTCTTTACTCCACCAAGAGGCTCTGGATAAAACCAAACACGGCTTTAATATGGGGTTTCAAACATTATATTGTATATTGTTTGAACTGAAGTCAAAATCCTGTACAAAATAGTTATCTTCTCTATTGATTGTACTCTGAAATGATACATCTATTGGGAGAATGTTGTGGGTGTTCTCTGGGCTTTTAAACGTCTGGTGGTTCCAGAGTTCCTGTTGTCAGGTCCACTTACTGGTCTTCCCTTGGCCTGAGATGTCTTTGGCCTCTCCGCTGGGGTAAATGGCAGCCACGGTGACAGAGTAGGGAGTGTCAGGCATCAGCTTCTGGAGGACAACACTGTTCTTCTTCCCTCCTACCTGGGTCTGTTTGGGGGACAACATGTCAACAGTCAGAGGCGTCTCTATGTCTCTAAGAGGATATAACATCTCACTTCAAAGTTAAAAGAGCAATTCATTATAAAGGGGTGACAGGTGGATGACAAGTTACACTCCTTCAATGGTTAGAGCTTTCCTCGGCTCTGAGACAAAACGCCCTGAAGCTCACAAGCTAGCTACCTCGGCAGTTGAGGCCAAGCAGAGTTCTTCTACACTGTCACGGGGAAGCCATCCAAACATGACCAATGTAAACTCCAACTCTATCAAAGCAGCAATTGAGTTTCTCTATAATCAGCCAATACATTTCCCCTAATTTCAGTCTAATAGAAGCAAAAGCAGAGTTCCCCAAGGATTAATTATTTACCCGATGCCATTTGTGTGAACAGAGTTGCTCATTCAAACACTTTATAAGAGAAAACAATTGCCTTTCTTACTCTACTCTGTTCATAAACAAGTAGTATATAAAGGGAAGATTAATTGGTCTTGATGAACACTAGACATGGCCAATTATAAGCCAATTATGTTGCAACATCATGCTGATTAATGGGCACTACAGTAAGCAACAACTATTGAAAGCAAGAACCGCTAAAGCCATAGAGTGGAAGAGATACACTACAATTTCCTTTTGTATTATATCTGACATATCTATTTAGCAGATCACCTAGGTAACACATCCACTGTTTGTATTTTGACCTCACTAAACCATCATATCAGAGAAAGGCACTTGAGGATCCTCATATCACCCAAGTATGAATGTCATGCCTTATGTTAAATCAACAAGTCTACAGACCACAACAGCAGATGTCTCCATACTGTTTTAAGTGTACAGAGATACAGTACTATAATACCAACAATGTGCTATGATGGGATCAGATATACATGCAACAGCTCTGTCTCATAGTGTCATGTTGAGATCACGGTTTAGAGAACTGACCCATTGCTTGGGGTACCCTGTCATAACCTCTCAGAGACACTTAGAAAAATGTTTAACTAACCAAATTATTTTAATATAAGCACATTGTCAACTGAAAGACCCCAAAAAGATCCTAAAGGAATTCCCAAGCAATTTCTGTCACTGATCACAATTAAGTTATCCGTTAGGAATGTGGGCTTGGCTGCCAGATACAGTAAGTAAACAGACTGGATAGGAGGACAATGTCATAATCAAATGTCAAAATAACGATGTGCAGGAAGACAAAAGAGCCTGCTGTTACTACATTTACATTTTTGCAGTTTTGTCATTTAGTAGACGCTCTTATCCAGAGCGACTTACAGTAGTGAGTGCATACATTTCAGTACTGGTCCCCCGTGGGAATCGAACCCACAACCCTGGCATTGCAAGCACCATGCTCTGCCAACTGAGCCACACGGAACTACTACTTACTACTCTTGTCAGTGGGGGGTCCCAAGAGGAAAGGGATTTCATGTTACAATGAACCAATTCAGAAATGCTTCAGTACTTTACAAAATTACATATTGGTTTCTTTACCCTGTAAGCAGTCTATGGAAAATGTATGACAGAAATCCATTCTTTGGTTTAGTTTCCCTGGCACTATTTCCACATGCTAACGCTGTAGCATTTGTGGCACAAATCCCATTCAAGTCATGGGACCGCTATTAGCATATTTTGCTTGTCATGTCCAAATCATCCGAAAGAATCTCAAATGTATTGTTAAAAGTCACTTATAGATGATTTGAACATGATGTGCAATGGGATTTGTGCCACAAATGCTCAAACTTTAGCATGTGGAAACAGTGCCAGGGAAACTAAACCAAAGCATCGATTGCTGTCATCCCTTTTCCATAGACTGCTTACAGGTTAAGGAAACCAATATGTAATTTTGTAATTTGGCTGAACTATCCCTTTAATGTTTTGGGCTGTTTATCTGTTGGCCTAAAGAAGTACTGATGCACAGATATCCCTGGTTTCATCAAACTAGCTCAGGCACATTGGAGAAATTACACTGATAACAACTAACATCACCACTCACTTACAGGCCAGAAAACAAGAACAACCTACTCTATATTATAGGTGAGTAAACTGAGAGATATCATACCAAGAGGGCATAATTAATAAAGTTAAAGGATTTAGTGGTCAGGACATCATGGGTGGCCAATGCTTATGAGTTGCTCATAATACACTCTTAGTTATTGCAAAACAGAATGGGAATTATTAACAGTTTTCAAGAAACTACTGGAGGGTGTGTTGTACTTACGGAGAGAGCTTTGCCTCCTGCCACAGGTTGATAGGAGATCTTGTAGTTCTGGACGGGGCCTGGGGCGTGGTCCCACTTTACTGTCAGAGTGACCGTGGTCGCGTTGAACACCTGCAAGTTCTGCGGAGGTCCAGTGGGAGCTAGGAACACATTACAATCAATACACTGACCCAAGACAGTGGAGATGTATATAAAATGACTGCAGGGCATGACACAGCCTTTACCAATTCTCAATGATCACTTGGGGGTCATGACGCTGGATGAAGCAATGATGGTAATGATGGGGGGTGAGATGATGGGAACACATAATTTGGTGACGAGAACACATGATTTGGTGATGAAGTACACATAAGCGACCCAAATGGAGAGTGAAGCAGCCGGTAAGGCACATGCATTTCCAATGATGGGGACATTGATAAGGAATGACATTGTGACATGATGAGGCTTGACATTAAAGACACGAGGAATGACAACGTTACAACATGAAAAACGACATTAAATGACACGAGAAATGATATTATGACAAATGGTTGACAATGCGGTGTCTGTGGCGGAACATCTGGTCCCTGCGGGTCAATAGTCCCACTTTTGCATTTGCAGCTCTTTAAAGGAACATCAATGCACATGCATATTTTTTTTAAATAAAAGTGTGTTTTCCATCAACAACACTTTCATTATCGTTCGCATTACCATTATAATTATAGTCATGAATATTACAATGATAATGTCCTTCTCCGTTTCAAATAACATACCAGGTGTAGTCATCTTTAACACTGGAAAAAGAGAACGTTAAGAGAACAACAGGTTATTTTAATACGCTGTGGACCACATCTGTGGACCATAACTGTAAAACATGAATGTAATTGATAGGAGGATGAGAAATGAGAAGAAGAAGATAATGGTGGACCTACATGTGCGCTGGCTGCCAATCAGGTCCTCGCTCTCTGACTCGTCTGGGTAGATGGCTGTGACGGTGACATCATACAGGGTGTCCGGGTCCAGGTTCTCCAGATTATGGGACGTTTCATCACTGTTCAGGATAGCCTGGAGAGAGGGGGGGGGGGGGGGGGGAGTGAGAAAGAGAGAGAGAGAGTGAGAGAGAAAGTGTAAACGGTCACATTTCTCCACTCCATACAATCCTGTCCGCTCTATAGCAGTAGATAGTCCAGTCAACAATCACCATCGGCTAGCCACTAGATCAACGTACATATTGGAAGTTGTTCTCTCCCTTCTTGGTCCAGCCGATTCGGTAGAGGGCCACATCAGGGGCCCCGTGTTCCCAGGTGGCCTTGAATGAGGTCTGGGTCACCTCGGACAACTTCAGGTTCTGCGGCGCAGGAACAACATCTGTACACATGGACGGAGACGTGAGAGAGGGAGACGTGATTATTATGAGGATGTCCTGAGAGATGAGGCAAAGCCATTTCATCAGACGGGCTGCGAACCATGTGAGGAACATTTTAGCTGTGAGTCAATTTTTGGGATCAATGGCCAACAAATGGGTTTTTGCGTGTCTGTGTGGAAAACAACATTTCCTCAAATCATCTGTGATTAATGATGAAGAAGGCCCCATGCAGTGAGTGATAGCAGGCACACACAAACACGCAAAGTTTGTAGGCCCATATACAATTAACTAGACTAACACACACACACCCCCTCAGGGAACAGTGGCTTCATCTAGAAAGACAAATGACTGAGGAGAGGCTGAATCGAAGGAGGATCTGCAGACAACTCTCACCATCCAGACACACTCATATCTCTAATCTACTGCTCCTCAGCCAAATGATAAATCACACAAACGATTGTGTACCTGTAATGGCTTGTCCAAGCATTGGGTTTCCAACACCTTCGTCGTAAACTGGGGTGACAGCAACATCGTACTCAGATTGAGATATGAGGTTGGCAAGAGGCAGGGATGTTATATCGCCATTGACTTCAACCTGGCAGAAAAGGGGTATAAGGATTTTAGGATCAACAAACAATTAACAACCGTATTTTTGCTGAAGAACTAGCATGAACTACCACTACTAACATTAACATAAGCTATGATTTGTGATACTAGTATAGCATTAACATCCAAATCTTGACAACTGTAGAGTCCCATTTTGAATATTGACGTTAATAAACCAAAGTGAATTTCCTTTCTTCTCTACTATTTCTTTCCTTGTTATTTCTAAATGTCATCAGAGCATTTGAGAAAAGCCTTATGAATAATAGTACGTGTCCTTAGAAAAGTCCTAAGGCTATATGTGTAATTCCAGAGGATGTTTGATGGTAGGAAAAACCCTTGAAGTCAAAAAGCTTCCAGCAGAAATGCTGATAAATGTCTCTTTCAACTCAGTTTCCACTTCATACTTCAAGAAAAACTCAAGAAAAAGTTGTCCATAACAGCGATAGTTCTCCAATTGTAACGCGGAGGAAAAGTCTGTGGCAATCGGCAGGGCAGACCTTAGAACATAAATCCACAGAGAGAGGCTCCTTTGGAGACAGCAGCCTTCAGATGTTATCCATGAGGGGATCTGGTTGGATGTATCCAGTGGAGACCCATAGCTCATCCATCAGTCATTTATGGAGGTTCTTTTGGGGGTGTCCAAGGAGACACCTCCTTCAACTTCAATTGTGAGCTTCTTCACAGCTTGGCGGTCTCTTAAATGTAAGTGAGAAATGATGACGAGTGACACCCAGTGATATATCTCTGAGTCTGTGGCTGGGTGTTGGGGCCAGGGTCTTCTCTGACTGCCAGTAGGCTTCTTTCCCCACATCGACTTGTGCTGGCCTGCCCATGGAGTCAAGAGCCCAGTCTACTGAAAGGGCTGCTACTATAACACCCCCTGACTTCAGTGGCATTCCCTAAACAGCTAAGCTATCATAGAGAACGTTGAGTTCCTAACTAACACTTTTCCCTTGACCTCATGGTACCACTGTAGACCCTTGAGGACAGTATGTCGTGTGTCCCAAATGGCACCCTATTCCCTATTTAGTGTACTACTTTTGACCAGGGCCCATAGGGCTTAATAGGGAATAGGGTATTAACCATAAGTGTTATTTATTGCTGTAGCTAGAGATTGTGTTTCAAAACCGTTCAAATTGAAAGGAAGTAAAAAAATGTATATTAGCAACAGGCTGGGAGCCTGTTTAAATGTTTGGTGTTAGTTAGTGTTACCTCTTTGAGCTCTCCTTCCTCTGGCTTGTAGGTGATGATGTACTTGAGGACTTTCCCCGGGGAGGCATCCCAGTTGAGCTTCATGGCGCTATGGGTGACACCAGTGATCCTCAGCTTACCCGATGGTGGCAAGGGCACTGGGTAAGAGGAATGACAGAGAAAGAGATAGAGGGAGAAAAGAGAGAGTGTGTTTGAGGGGGCAGGGGAGTGAAAGTGAGAGAGAGTAGTCTATAGACTGTGGTCCTCTGTAGCTCAATTGGTAGAGCATGGCGCTTGTAACGCCAGGGTAGTGGGTTCGATCCCTGGGACCACCCATATGTAAAAATGTATGCACACATGACTGTAAGTCGCTTTGGATAAAAGCGTCTGTTAAATGGCATATTATTATTATATATTATAGACCTGCTCATCCCAGTCAAAGCTCTCCTCTATCCTGGCACCCCAATAGTGGAACAAGCTCCACCCTAACATCAGGACAGCAGATTCCCTGCCCATCTTCCGGAAATGTCGGAAAACCTACAACCACAGTTACCACCTAACTCTAGTATATTGACATCCACAACACAACCCAGCCACCCACATCACATCCAGCCTCTGTGTTTACGGCTGAGCCACACTAACAGATTACAAGCAGCGGTCACACAGGAGGGCCCTGGTCAAGAATAGTGCACTATTATAGGGATTAGGGTGCCATTTGGGATGCAATCAACGTCAGTGGTGTAAAGTACTTAAGTAGTTTTTGGGGGTATCTGTACTTTACTTTACTATTTATATTTTAGCCAACCTTTACTTCACTACATTCCAAAAGAAATAATGTACTTTTTACTCATTTTTTTTCCCCCTGGAACTGAAAAGTACTCATTACATTTTGACAAGGAAATGGTCCAATTCATGCACTTATCAAGAGAACATCCCTGGTCATCCCTACTGCCTTTGATCTGGCAGACTCACTAAACACAAATGCTTCGTTTTTAAATCGTGTTGGAGTGTGCCGCTGGCTCTCTGTAAATTAAAAAAAATGGTGCCATCTGGTTTGCTTAATATAAGGAATTTGAAATGATTTATACTTTTACTTTTGATACATAAGTATATTTTAGCAATTCCATTTATTTTTGATACTTAAGTATATTTAAAACCAAATACTTGTAAACTTTTACTCAAGTAGTATTTTACTGGGTAACTTTCACTTTTACTTGAGTGATTTTCTATTAAGGTATCTGTACTTTTACTCAAGTATGACAATTTAGTACTTTTTCCACCCCTGATCAACGTGTTAGCTTAAACTGACAAATAAAGGAAACCGTGGTGATCTCACACTACTATTGCGGTGTCCAAGGGGCGGGCGACAAAACAATAACCATGCTTTATGAGAGTGAGAAATATCTTCCACCGTGAAAATCAAATGGACTCATTTCAAAAAGTAACAACGTCCACTATTAAGTACAAATAGAGCAATGAAAGCGGTCAGTTCTGTGTATTTAACCATCATGTGAAATTATGTCAGTTTTCTTAAGACACTTTTAATGAGGCCAAGAATGAGAGAACGTTGGTTATTCTCCCCATAAGAAGCCTCCACTTGAGCATTTTCCAATGGGAAACCCTATGGGAAGTTGTTGTTTAACACTTTACTGCCACAATCAGATATACACCCAATTTATCCCTGGTTGTGTAAACAAGCCTGTTTAATACGCCTCCAAGAGCAACATAAATAACTTCCATCCATGTTCAACCCATTTAAAACAGCCTAATTAGCATGGAGGACAGGGGATGTAGTTACTTTTAGCATCGTATACCGTAATGAAACAAATGCGCTCCTACACCAGTGGAACTCTTTGGAGCTGAAGTGCTATCCCCACATTAAAGTTCCCTTTTAATCATCCTTGTCCCCCAAAGGGCAACCGACAGACGTCTTTGTGAAACTCATCTCATCTCACTTCCTGTGTATCACTGAGGCTCTGCTGAGTCATTCGACTTCCAAATAAGGCTATTGGATTAGCTGAACCGGGACACCTTTCCAGGAAGTGATTACTAGGTTTACTCTGGGTAATTGGGACGAGGTTGTATGAGGAAACGGAGGAAGAGGAATACAAAAGAGAGGAGAGGGAGCAGAACAGCTGCAACACTTACAGGTGGTTTCAGTGCCCTTCAGTGGCTCTTCGCTGGTCTCCTCTCCGGTCACAGAGAAGACGTTGATCACATACTCAGTCAGAGGGGTCAGCTTGGTCAGGACCACAGTGGTGACCGTCCCATCGACAATCATCTGAGGAGTGAAAAGGAACACGGTTGTTATGCAGGAAACCCCACCTCAAAATCCAAGTATATTCAACTGGAGGATGATCCAAAAAGCTGAGCAGAAAATAAACAGCAACCTCAAGTCACCCCTACGTGATGTAGTCTGCCCAGGAGTTTCAAATTCGTCATGGGATTATATTGGAATTACAGCAGGTCAAAAGCAAATGTTCCAACTAATACAGCACACATTTAGGAAACCCAAAACAAAACTAACATATTCTTGCACACATACTCTCTCTTCGAAATTTCAGAGAGCTATCCAAAAGAACGGAGCACATATCATCAAATTGAAAGTGAAATCTGATTTATTTGTGTGAATAAGCTTTTTGGGGTCCAATGCAAGCATTTGAAATGAGGGAGAATGGATGGATAGCCAATAATCTCTTTCCAGCAGGAGAAGTTATGTAACAAGTCTAAGCTGCAGGCCTATCTCAAACCTCCCCTTCAACACATGGCCTCTCATGAACCTTCCGAACACTTCCAGTGAGGCTTCCGGGCTATGCATTGCACTAAAACTGCCTTGATAAAGGTAGTGAACAACCTCCTCTGTGCTGGCCGGGCTTTTAGCAGTGCAGCCCCCCAACTCAGGAACTCCCTCCCTCTCCATGTCAGAACCTCACAATCCATACACATATTCAAGTCCACACTAAATAAACACATTTACATTTTAGTCATTTAGCAGACGCTCTTATCCAGAGCGACTTACAGTTAGTGAGTATTATTATTATTATTTTATTTTTTTCATACTGGCCCCCCGTGGGAATCGAACCCACAACCCTGGCGTTGCAAACGCCATGCTCTACCAACTGAGCTACATCCCTGCCGGCCATTCCCTCCCCTCACCCTGGACGACACTGGGCCAATTGTGCGCCTCCCCATGGGTCTCCCGGTCGCGGCCGTCTACGACAGAGCCTGGAAACACCTCTTCACACCTCTTCACACGGGCTTACCCAGATTCTCTGTTGTCTTAGCTTTTATCCTCTGTCTAGTTCACTTGCCTGGTTAATCTGTTATCATGTTTAGTGCTCTCCATGGTTAATCTGTTATCATGTTTAGTGCTCTCCATGGTTAATCTGTTATCATGTTTAGTGCTCTCCATGGTTAATCTGTTATCATGTTTAGTGCTCTCCATGGTTAATCTGTTATCATGTTTAGTGCTCTCCATGGTTAGTCTGTTATCATGTTTAGTGCTCTCCATGGTTAATCTGTTATCATGTTTAGTGCTCTCCATGGTTAGTCTGTTATCATGTTTAGTGTTCTCCATGGTTAATCTGTTATCATGTTTAGTGCTCTCCATGGTTAGTCTGTTATCATGTTTAGTGCTCTCCATGGTTAATCTGTTATCATGTTTAATGCTCTCCATGGTTAATCTGTTATCATGTTTAGTGCTCTCCATGGTTAATCTGTTATCATGTTTAGTGCTCTCCATGGTTAGTCTGTCCTTATATTTAGTGCTCTCCATGGTTAATCTGTTATCATGTTTAGTGCTCTCCATGGTTAGTCTGTCCTTATGTTTAGTGCTCTCCATGGTTAGTCTGTCCTTATGTTTAGTGCTCTCCATGGTTAGTCTGTCCTTATGTTTAGTGTACTTTTATATACTTATTTTAATGTGTGATTTTATTGCTTTTTATCCTGCTGATTTTCTTGTGTATGTAAAGTGACTTTGGGAGTCGTGAAAAGTGCTTAAAATAAAGTGCTGGTCTTAGGTTGTGGCTAGTGGAAAGTCTTTGGTCTCGCTTTCAGACAGGGCTCACTAGAACCACCCAAACCCTGATGAGGGTCAATGAAAGCACAAGGCATGGAATAGACCCAGTCCTGTATTTATAAGGACATAAGTGACAGAAGGTTAAGTGAAACTGAATGCAGGTCTGCCTCAGCCACTGTGGTCCACTTCTCAATGGTGAGTAGAGAGCCGAATGACTTGAGCTTTATCTGACTGAATCAGATCAACATGATGAAATGGATCGATGATAACTAGGTGTATTTAAGCAAACAATTCACTGTGGATAACACTCGATAACCGTGAAATCTCCAGTTAGGCAGCATAAAAGACAGTTCCTCCTTCAGAAACTCCTGGATAAACAGAGTAAAATGAGATCGCTGCCAAAGTGTCCCTGATCACCTCTGGCAAGATGAACCATAGAGGTCTGAGAGAGGAATTCAGAACAAAAGGAATAATACAGCCAATTCTCTGTTATACACGCCTCTGCATATTTATTTGGACAGTGAAGCAAAACATTTAATTTGGCTCTATACTCCAGCATTTTGGATTTCAATCAAATGTTTCATATTAGGTGACAGTACAGAAAGTCACCTTTTATTTGAGGGTATTTTCATAAATATCTGTTTTACTGTTTACAAATGAAATCACTTTATGTATCTAGTCCCCCCATTTGACGGTGTAATAAGTATTTGGACAAATTTATTTATTAAAGTAGTCAAAAGTTTAGTATTTGGTCCCATATTCCTAGCACGCAATGACTACATCAAGCTTGTGACTCTACAAATTAGTTGGATGCATTTGCAGTTTGTTTTGATTATGTTTCAGATTATGTTGTGTCCAATAAAAATGTATGGTAAACAATGTAGTGTGTCATTTTGGAGTAACTTTTATTGTAAATAAGAATATAATAAGTTTCTGAACACTTCTACATTAATGTGGACGCTACCATGATTACGGATAATCATGAATGAATCGTGAATAATGATGATTGAGCAAGTTACAGAGGCACAAAGATCATACCCCCAAGACATGCTAATTTCTCATCATTACCAATAAAAGGGGAGGCCAGATTTGTTTTTTGGGGGGGGGTTGATATTTACGCCTCTGTAACTTTCTCACATCACTGATACTGATAGACTTTATATGTATATACTGTATTCTAGTCATGGCTCATCCTATATAACTACTGCTGTACACACATTTTCTATTAATATAATGTCTATACACACCATTCACATACATACAGTGCTTGACTTGGACTGAAATAGGTGCCGGTACTCATGTTTGGTACTGTCTATATTTAGGTGCAGGAGCTCCACAATACTTTTGAGCTAACATTCTATAAGAGGAGCAGGAGTTCAGGCTGTAGAACATTTGCGGTGTCGGTACTCTGGTCCGGAAGCTAATTTCCTGCAATTCTATCCATTTTGCCATGGGGTTTTGCACTGCATGTTTGAATAGTGTATTCTCGACATAGCTCATTCTATTATTTCTACACCGCATATTTATTTATTTAATGGATTCTTGACATAGATCACTCTAATATACAGTATCTAATGCTGTACATACCATTCTTAGTACATATTGTGTAAATGAATCCGGTGTATATACATATAGATTGCATTTGGATTACTTTTACAGTGCTATTCGGTTATTAATTGGATTCGTTCCGACATTTCTTGATTTATTTTATACATTTGTATTATTATTACTATTATTGTGTACTTTAAAATTTTACTGCATTGTTAGGCGCTAGTAACATAAGCACTTCGCTGCACCCGCTACATCTGTTAAACTGTTTATGCGACCAATAAACTTGGATTTGATCAGATTTTGAGTGTATTTAAACCAGGTGTGAGAGCTGACGCTCTTCAGTTCAAATGCAATAAACTTGAAGAGGTGTGCTGAACTTGGAGAGATGAGCTGAACTTGGAGAGATGAGCTGAACTTGGAGAGATGAGCTGAACTTGGAGAGATGAGCTGAACTTGGAGAGGTGAGGTAAGTGAGATACAGTACTGTTGGCTATAGGCTTACCTGTTCGGTGATTCCTCCCGCCACGGCCGTGTAGTCGATGCGGTACTTTTCCACAGGACCTTCAGGCCCGGTCCAGGTAGCACGGAATGAGTGGTGGGTTACCTCGGAGGTCACCAGGTTAGTGGGCGGGTCTAGGCCCCCTGGACGAGAAGTGGCGGGAATGTGAGCAAACACATCAAATATTTCACACACTGAACACTCTCACAAATCTGTCCTGAACACCTTAGCCTCACTGACTGTTGGGGCTGTTTCTATATATCACAAAAGTATTCTTTAGGAAATAGTTTCCCTCCCCGTGTAGTAAATCACTATTGTGTTTCTTCCTAAATTTGATTTAAGGACAAGAGTGCGTCCAAAAAAACTAAAGTTTCCATCAAATGGGTGGACCTTATGTAACATAAGTCAAGAAACTCCATTTATCAAGTGTTTTAGGCAAACTTCGAGACAAAAAAAGTGTTGGCGTTCGATCTGCCTTTTTATTGGCTTTTCTCATCAATCATGCTGCTCTTATTGCTATTCTCCATCTTCAATGCTAATCCATTTATGCAACTGATGGGAGAGATCAGTACAGCATGTTCTGGGTGACAGACTCAATTGCATTTTAATGTCTGCTCTCCGCCATCTGATGCCATCTGTGCTGCTTTTGGCATCTTAGATTAGAAAGACCCCTAACTGCTGCATCAAGTAGAATACACAGCTTGACTCAGGAGAATAATTTTACAATAGCAACATTTTAAGTTGAGCATTGCTTCACAAATCCATGTTTCTCTCAGTGATTGTGAAAGAGTTAGATAATTAGAGAGAGCGAGAAAGAGAGAGAGAGAATTAAAGAGAGATGGCCTTACCTGGACCCTTCACACTGTTACAGAGGTTGATGGTGAGCTCATCCACTATGTCTAGCAGGAAGGAGAAATCATTCACATTGTACATGTGAATCTCATCTGGGTCTGAGGCAATGGACCTCAACTCATTCTCATCAGCGTTCTTCACACCTAAAAGCCACACAACACCACAATATTTACTTATGTGGGGTCTGGACAAAAATACTTTTTAACAGTCTGTTTTTCATACAGTCCAAGCGTTGAAAACCTGCTCATTGTAAAATGTCTGTTTTCACTTGACATGGTTACGACCTGACGATTAACTGAACCATGACAGATTTTGGGTTATACACTAGGAGGGTCACCCACCGATGGCGTAGAGCTCGATGTTCTCATCCCTCAGCACCTGGGAGTTGGTGATGATCTCGTCCTGCGACTTGCCATCAGTAATGAGCACACCGATCTTGCGCGAGTCCTTACGCAGTCCCACGTTGGTCTTGAAGTTGTTTGTGAGGATATAGTTCAAGGCCATACCTACAGAGATACATTATAGAGATTGTTTAGGGGCCCAGTCCAGTATATCACTTTACATAATTTCCACAAGTTGGAATAATGGTGTGAAATTGTGAAAATGATGATAATGCCATTTTAGTGTAAGAGCTGTTTGAAAAGACCGCCTGAAATTTCAGTCTGTTTTGATGGGATGGAGTTTTGGCCTTCCTGGTGACATCATCAGGCGGTAAATTAGTTAATAAACCAATAAGGAAGAGAGTTCCAAACCTCTCTGCCAATAACAGCTAGTCTTCAGTTTTCCCCTCCCCAATCAGACCACTCCCAGACAGTCCTAGCAAAATTCTTAGTTGAGAAATTGCTCTTTGCTAAGAAGCTATTTTTGTTTATTTTTGACCATTTTCAAGGAAAACAATCACACTGGGTACTTAATTGTTACCCAGAAATTATTTGATATTGAGATAAAAACATCTGCATTGGACCTTTATCATGATTAGGTTAAGTGAAGTTAATTTAAGTTAAGGTAAGTTAAGTTAGGTTAGGTTATTAAATCACATGACAGCTAGGAGTTATCCTTTAATTTGATGATACGTCACCTGTCATGGTGTTTCCCCCTTTGTAGGGCAGGTCGGCCACAGCTTTGAGCAGCCCATCACGGGTTGGGTGGGCATTCAGATGCCACTCAGTCTTGGGGTCTCCACTGTACTGAACCATACCTGGAGACACACACACAACACAGCATGAGACTCTATACCTACCTCCAATCAAAGTGATTGATCAGAACATAACATTGATTTCCAATTACGGCATCAAGTCCAGATCAAACTCAATTGAGTTGGGTGATGAACCTATGCCATCGTACACATTGCCAATGGAATTTGATTTTAAAAAAAGATTACCGATCATGACTCTCTCAGGGCCGATGTCAAAGACACCGACGATGCGAGCGATGAAGGCACGGATGGTTTTGAAGTTCAGACGGCCAATACTCCATGAGCCATCGACCAGCAGGATGATGTCAGCCTTGGCCTGGCTCTTACACTTGGCTTCTGTAAGGGGTGGAGGAGAGGGCCGTGAGAGGGAGGCCTGATACCATGGACACCCCTCTGATGTGTCCACTTAGTACAGTCCGTATAGTGTGATAGAAGAGAGGATGTGTGTAGGAAGGGACGAGGAGAGGGGTGCCAAAGAACAACAGAATAATAACTCAAACACTTTCAGACAGACACGCACACACCAAATACAGACTACATCAAGCAGGAGGCAGAAAGGCATTACAAATATCACAATAACTACACTGAAAAACTATACATACTATACAATAATGTTTCTACAATAAACAATCTTCAACGTTTTGCAGCAGTATTTTTCTCTTGCGGGAGGAGCAACTATTTTCTTTCCCCTGGGGGTCCCTCTTCTTTTTTTATCTTCTGTGTCAATCCTGTTGTATATCCAAAAGGCCTTTTGTGGCCAGGCACTTCGGGATGCTTGTGGGGTTTCCGTCATTGGGTTTGTCCCCTGCCCCTGAACAACAAGAGCAACCAGCTGACAGATTATATACGAGAGACTCCTCTCCTTGAGTTATTGCACATTCCTGCTATGCTCGCTACTTGACACCTGTGGGGGCGAAAGAGGGTTGCTCGCTCGTCCTGCAGCCGAGCAAAAGGACCCAGATGCACTGAGTCGTTCGGACATGGCGCTATGCAATCTGCCACTGTATCTGCAATTGAAAACAGGTTAGAAGAGAAAACAAATATTTACCCACTTTCTTTACTGCAGCATGGAGAAACAGGTGCTTGACGATGTGTTGGGGATCGCCCCTCGTAAAATGTGTATCTGGTTATATATGGAAGCAGTTTGTTTGAGTTACACAATGCGGGTAAACAAAACCCTTGTAAGCTCAATGTAAATCTATGAGACATTCCCCAACAAAACCACCTGTCATCAACTGAGACAGTAAGACACTGTAGAGGCGTCTGATAAAGCACAGATGGCACCGACTTTATTGTGTACAATGCATCAGGGGATACAGTGTCTTACATTAAGCAAATACATAAAGCAAATAGATGAATCTATCAATGTTGGCTGGCTAGTATGTGGTAATTTACAGGCGTGACTAGCTCTCCAGTTCGTCTATAGTGTAATTCTAGTTCTAATTGTCTCTACTACTGTTGCTCTTGATGCTTACAGTAAGTATCCAACAGACTCTACCATCCTCTGAGCCGGGGAGACTAAATTATTATTATTATTAAACACAAGGGCCAAACCACTGGTCAGTGGCCAGAGCTGAGGTAGTTTTAGTGTTAGCGGTGAGCACCCATTGTGTCTATGGTGTGTGCGTATGTGTGCGTGTAACGACTTAAGTCTGGTCATGGTGGATTGCAACGTCCCTCGCTCTACTCTGATCGGTGCGGTGGGCAGTGTGTCACTGTGTGTCAGTGTGTCTGCTCCCCATTACTGATAGGAATTTCGGCCCAGGGTCAGCAGCTCTCTAAGGGTCTTATATGAGAAACATTTTCCTAGCCGCATGGAGCTCTGCTCCGCGGCAGCCCGGGTGCACTGTGTACTCTCCTGGTTGTAAAACATCTCTAATTAAAAGCAGAGGAATGTTTTTCCATTACTCCATTAGAAATATTAACTTTTGCATGTCAAGAAGGATTAAGGAAGAAACAATATGGCTGCTGGGTCAAATGGGCAATATTTGTTTGTGGCAACAGATACACAAATAGGTTTGGCATGCTGAACGTTTGGGGTTGTGGGGGGAGTGTAAGTACTCATACACTGGAGGTCAAAACATATCACACATAATGTTAATCCTAAAAATATCATAATGTCTCACTTATCACCATGCGTGATAAGTATGAAAAGTATGGTACCATATGAAATGTGGTACCCTGGTTCGGTTTCCTGGAGCGTTTGTGAGAATTCTACAGAATATGTTTTGCTTTCACAAGACACGAAAATAATAGTTTCTCGGCGCGATTAGCAAGACGCACATTCTACATGACGTTAGCGAGCTAGCTTGTTTATAACGGGCAAAAAAGTTCCACCCGACTCGCGCTGCCGCGTCACAGTACCTGGTACTCTGGTCCTGGATCTTAGAACCGCTGCTCACGCAGGTCCAGGATTAGTTCCAGCCAGGGTTCGTTTGCGTTTCACACATGCTTTAAAGCGCGGATCAGGGTACCAAACGCTCCAGGATCCAGATCATTAGGAGATATGTGAAAGCGCCTTTAATATGATATGAGGCAGAAAAAAGGCCATTGGTGCCAAACAGCTATAAGTGATTAGTACTCATTAGAATCGATGGCAGTGTAATGTGGTGCTTTATTCCAATGTGCTTGTGATGTGGATTAGTTTAGACAGACACATAATTCCCTATAATGGGATAATTAGTGTCATACTGTATTTCTCGCAGTGGGAAAGCCGCTCCTCTGCTCTACTAATGCAGATGGGAACAGAGATGGGCTATGGCTGGGACACTGTGTCTGTGGTTTGGTCTGTGTGTCTATCCGAGTGGTTGTTCTATGGCTGCATCCCATATGGCGCCCTATTCCCTATATAGTGCACAGCTCTGGTCAAAATCTAGGAAATGAGGTGTCCCTTTAGGATGCAACAAATGTCTGTTTTTCGGTTACGTTATGGTATTGTAAGGTTTTACCGTTCCAAGGTTCCAAAGCGACTTCAGGTGCATCGGAGAGGGTAGTCTTCTCCTCTCCAGCTAGTGCAGCAGAATGGCCTCCATCAAACATTCCAAACACTGCTACAGAGTACTTTGTTCCGGCCCTGATGAGAGGGAGAGATGAGACTCAAATGACTGTCGTCAAAAGTAGTGCACTATATGGAATAGGGTGCTATTTGGGACGCAGCCAATGTCACAAGACACAAGATAATAACTTCCTGTCTCTCACCTGAGCTCCTCTAGCACCACAGTGTTGTCATAGGGCCCAACCAGCAGCTCTCCCAGGTCAATATCATTGCCACTGGGGTGGAATGTGACCTTGTAGCCACGCACATCTCCAGGGGCTGCGTCCCAGGAGACTCTGAAGCTGGTCTTGCCGGGGTCTGAGGTCTTCAGGTTTCTGGGAGCTTTGTAGGGTGACACTACAAGAGGACAAACAGAGCAAACATATCAGTTCAAACTCATGAAGAAAGATCGTAACTTCATCTTTGGCAAAGCTAGTCATTTTTCATTGAGATCAGCCAACCCACATTCCAGTCAGTTTCTCATTAGTCCATAATACAAGTCTTGAGTCCCAGCATGCGTCCCAAATGGCATCCTATGCCCTATATAGCGTACTACTTTTGACCAGAGCCATATGGGCACCCATCAACAGTAGTGCACTACAAAGGGAATAGGGTGCCATTCCAGTGTCTAAGAACCCAATGTCATGCCATGTGTTAGTTAGTGGTAAGATCTTTATATGTGTGTATTAACCAAGTGTCTGAGGTGTCCTTAGTGAAAGGACACCTGCCCCACTCCCACAGTGTTTGCCACTGCACCCTACTGTTTCTCATCTCATGGGGTTGAATTATGGACCAACGTACGTGTCGTTCCTACTCCTTGCCTTGCTTTTCCTTCTCCCCGCTTGTAGATGGGGTGCACCGTGATGTCATAAGTGGTCATGGGCGTCAGTCGCTTCAGCACAGTGGAGGTGGAGGTGCCAGGAACCTTGGCAAACATCTCTTTGCCGCCGTCGGTGGGTGCGTACGTCACCCGGTAGTTGATGACTTTACCCGGTGCCGCCATCCACGTTACCTTCATGCTTCGCTCTGTCTCATCGGACACAGTCAGAGCCTTAGCAGCAGCAGACACTGAGGACAGAGAGGAGGATGTTGAGAAAAAAAGTTTGACTCATATCCCCAAATCTGTTTATGTTAAAGGCCCAGTGAAGTCAAAAACATGATTTTCCTGTGTTGTATATATATTTCCACACTATGAGGTTGGAATAATACTGTGAAATTGTGAAAATTATGATAATGCCCTTTTAGTGTAAGAGCTGTTTGAAAAGTCCGCCTGAAATTTCAGCCTATTTTGGTGGTATGGAGTTTTGGACTGCCTAGCAACATCACCAGGCGGTATAAGTCAATAGACCAATAACAAAGAGAGTTTCAAACCGCTCTGCCAATAGGTAATATATCCCTCCCACTCTGACAGCTACCAGACAGTCCTAGCAAAATTCTTGCTTGAGAAATTGCTCTTTGCTAAGAAGCTATTTTTGTTTATTTTTTACCTTTTTAATTGAAAACAATCACAGTAAGGTACTTAATTGATACCCAGAAATGAATTGATATTTCGATAAAAACAGCTGCATTGGACCTTTAACTTTCCCTTTCCCCTATTGTGAATGAAGATAAGCTCCATAGACCATGTAATAAGGTGTATTCGTTCCACCATTTCTGCACGCAAGAAGTCAAACCAAAGGCAATCCTCCAAACAGTTAATGATCCCAGGAAAAAAAGTCAGACCACTAGCCTTCATTCGTTCACTGGGAGGATTGTTATTGGCGGAACAAAACATGACCTCCAACTTCCCAATGTGTTGATTGACCTGAATGGACCTGTGACCCTGTTACCGGAGATCCATTGGTTCCGCTGTGCGAGCGTAATGAGGTAAGCACGGATATGAAAAGGTGAGGTCTCCTGAGAATGTCTCAAGGTTGTTTTCTGTTCAAAATATGCTTGACTTGGCCTGCCAGAGTCAATAAACTAAATGGCTTTCCATATCTACAAGTGTCTAATCAAACCATCGCACTGGTTCCCCAAGTGTTTGAGGACATTTCCATCAATGTGATTTCCCATGTGTAGGATAGAGGGATGTGTGGTCGATTTGAGAGTGTGTCTAAATACTGCTCCCAGGCACACTAACAGGCAGCATACAGGACACATTACACCATGCGCCGACACATGTTCCCCTCTACAAAAGTGACGTTATCTTAGATTCTAGAACACATAATGCATAATAACTGTCACCACCTCTGCTTTCCACTGCAAACCACAGCTTAAAAGGGAGTCTTAGAAATGAACTTTTTCCAAAATACCCAACACCAAGACAAAAGAGTGACGATGATGAGCACTGGAATGGAATATTTTAATATTTTATCAATTTGTTAAATTCTTTCCCTCATAATCTTGGCACTGGCATAGTGGCATTGTATGACAATTAATGTGATGGCCCAGTAAGAGTTTCAAACTGTTCTACAGATCTACAAAACGCTTCATGGATACCTCCAAACCTCCACAACTAACACCACTTCAGTGACTCATTAATATGGTAATCCCTAGCAGTGATGAGACATTGAATGCATCCCAAATGACACCCTATCCCTACTTAGTGCACTACTTTTGACCAGAGCCATAAGGGCCTTGGTCAAAAGTAGTGCACTATATGGGGAACAGGGTGCAATTTGGGGTGCACCCATTGTGTCCACCTCTGACGTCTAACACTGAGACCTTTCCCTGGCCACAGACAGAGTGAACGGAGGATGATGTGTAATAAGTCTTACCATCGGTGGTCTCCTGTCCAGTCAGTGGGTCTCCATCTCCTCTGCCGTAGGCGGCCAGGACAGACACCTGGTAGAGGGTCTCAGGGGTCAGATCATCCAGGACAGTGTCGGTGACGTCTCCAGGGACCGTCTTCTCCCCTGACTCGTCACTGTACAAGGACTTCCAGCGGATCCTGTACATCTTAACGTTCCCAAGGGCAGCCGTCCAAGATGCCGCAAAGCTGGTGTCAGTCACGTCGCTGGTGACAAGGTCCTTGGGGGAGCCCAGTTCTGAAACAAACACGGAGGAAATGGATCAGATTTCTGGGTGAGGATTTGGGAGAGGATACACGATACAGTGGTTGGTTATTGATAGTCAATGAACGTTCCAACACTATCTGGATAGGCCCTTATGCACTTCTCAGTAGAGGAAGAGAACATGCTCAACTCTAAATCCTCTTGTGTAAACAAGTAAAAAGGGTGCTTAGAACCATAAACATTATGCACTTTTGCAAACAACATAGATATTCAGTGCCTTTGACAAATCCCCACACACCAGCTGTATCTAAGCATCCATTTTGTCTGACTGCATCTGGCCAATTGGATTACTCAAAATGGAAAATATTGAAACCTGTGCCCAGCGGACAGCATAGTTGCACAGCTAGTCACATCTATAAAGACATAAGAGCAGCAGACATATACACATCTGTCCCGAGAGACATCAAGAGGTCCAACTTCAGACAGAGTGACCACACAGTAATCTGTGAAGCAACTCAGTCGGAGGTTCAAAGATGGAGCCAGGTACCTGCGGTACTGGGTTCTGTTTGAACCCTGATGTCCTTCATTTCAGATGGCTTACCTAGGATTACAAACATGCCTCTCACTGCGACTGGACCTGTCACATATGGGCTGACTGATAAGAGACTCCCAATAGACTAAAGCTCAACAGTGCACATATGCTTCACATACTGGATGGATGGATGGATGGATGGATGGAGGGAGGGAGGGAGGACACTGACAGGAGCTATGGGTCTATGGTAGAGTATGGTCATGTTTTGTGATCTCACCACCGTTCCTAACTGATAAAGCAGACAAGGGAAGCCTGTTGACCATAACATATAGATTTGTTTCATTAAACAAGACCAAAACTAATTTCCTGTGCATATGGCTCATGTTACTGCAATAAGACACATGGAGCTTATGCTGCACAGAACCTGCAGTCTATAGGGACTTTAGAGATGACTGGGGTTTGTGAATGGCGGTGACAATCTGCATCTCCATTGTATTTGTTACATTGGGCGCATTCATTTTGCATCACTCTGTGCCACTGGCGCCCAATGAACACACCCTCATCCTCATTGGTCATGAGTTGAATAGAGGTAAAACATTGCATAGTAGTGTCTGTCTGTTTATGATAATAATGAAAAATGTCTGGTCAAGTGATCCAACTAAACAATATAACTACAATGTAACAGAGAGTAGCCATTAGACATACAATACTTAACTTTCTGCCAATGGACATATTGGGATTGTAATGGATAGTCCACTGCACAGTCAACTGATTATAGTGGACCACAGCCAGTATTACTCTCCAGATACAAGATGACATTTTCATGCAATCATCAAAAACTCTGTTCGGTTCATAGTGTGGTGGATCCGAGACAGACTCTCTTAATCATTTTAGGATAGCCCAGAGCAAGGACTACTGGTGGATATTTACTGGTAAGACACGTGACCAATCTGACCATGCCACCACAAGTACATCGAGCAGATTCTGACTTAAACCATTTACGTTTAGTTGTTTTCTCATCTTACCACTAAAGCCAAACAAGCTAACCGATAAATGCAAACGTCCGGTTCCCCATCAACTCAACATGTGAACATGTTTCCTCTTTCATATTGAAAAATAAACATATGGAAGTACTGTTATACTTCAGGGGGGAAAGAAAGATTTGGGGCTTTTTTCAGACACAAAATTGTAGGGGGAGAGATGTTAACTTTAAGCATGTGTTTAATTGTATAGATCAACAAGTAAGCTGTGTCTGATTTCAGGAAAAGTCTTTCCAACTGCCACGCCAAAAATAATCTATCAAACATAATATTCCTCTGAAGTAACCCATTCCAGTCCCGGCTAAATTCTCATTTCCTTAATTTTACTGGACATGTCCTGCCTCAGTCCACATGGGCAGGCTCTCCGTCTCCATCACAGAGGAACAGCAGCAGCAGCCGCCATTAGCTGGGACCTCTCCATGGACATTTTTTATCTGTGGACAAGCTCTCATTTTCAACGTCTGGAAGGGAGTCTGGAGGTTTTCTAAATATCAAGTCACAGGCGGCTCTCGCATGGAATCTGGCGCTCAGCGGCCCGGCCTGAAACCCACTCAACCCTATTTTTCCACAGCCCATTATGAGGCAAAACTGAACAAAACCACAGTAAATTCAACACCCACTCCTCTAGGCTTTGACACATGCTCACTCCCTCTCTCTTTCTTTTAAACACTACTTACCATTTCTCTCTAAAGAATATTTTCAGAATATGGCTGCCTGCATAACATTTAATAACAATGTTAAGCCACTCAAATGAATCAATTGTTGAAACGTAACAAAATATATACACTGTTCTACTTTATCTGCAATCACCGTAGCCGCCCAACATCAGGCGGGATTGATTTTGTTCAGGCCTTTGAAATTCTAAATAGCCTTGAAATATCAAGCACATTGCAATGTCCTACGCTCAAGACAAAACTCTATCCGGCGGAGAAATCTGCTGTGCATTTGTATCCAGCACTGATATTAAGCCAAAAGAGCCTAAAAGTTCAGTACCACAGTCAAAACAAGCTGTAGCTTTATGTTTGAAGTCTGAACCTTGTTTTCATGTTCTTTAGACCCTGGTCCAATAGAAGGGAGAGTGCAGGTCCTGAAGTGCAGTCTTCCCACTGCATGTTTGTCTTAATGACATCCCTAAGGGTCAGACAACAGCAGCTGGAATCCTTTATAAACTCGGACAAATGCCAGATAGGGGAGGGAGGAACCGTTCAGCTCATTGAGAGGGGGGATTCTAAGGTGCTATCTATCCTAAAAGAAGACAACTATACAACTACAGAGCCTGAGTCACAGTAAAAGTAGACCACCTCTTGACTTGGCCTGCAACCTCCTTTATGATCGTGGTTGATTTAATTTCCATGCTTCGCTTTGGTTCTTTTTGATTCCCGGCACAGTCTTGGCTCCTAATCATCACCACTCCCTGATGAAAGTGGATGGTGAGTGCTCAGTATGGAGGTGACCAGCGTCAACACAGCTTTGAAGTATTTTCACAGGTAACACTTTCCATATGCCTCCTCTGTCTTTAACATTCATTATCTCATCACTTTTCCTCTTTCATTTGTTTTGTTACAATTACTCTGTCCTCCTCCTACCACATCGAAAGATTCAATTAGAGGGGGGAAACGTGCAGTATTCTCAGGCGATTTACCGCCTCAGTGTGAGAATAAAAGGAATGTGAACTCCAAGTCAGAAGTAATTTTCCCCCAATAGGGACCAGAGCTGTGCTGGAGTGTGTTGCTGGCCAAACTGGACACTCCACAGAAACGGCCACCCCATAGGCAGGCCTAGGGTTCGGCCAAAATGGCACCCTACTTCCTATATAGTGCACTAGGGTGCCATTTGGGACGCAGTCCTGAGCAGGGCGTGGGTCCACTACCCCTTAAGGGTGTCCAGGCATAGGGCCTGACAAATAATCACAACATGGACTCCCCTGTTCAACATCACTCCAAATCCCCACTACCTCACTGGGACTAAAATTATTGTATTTCGCTCTGTTTATAAGGACTTGTTCGGTCCTAGCGCAGCTAGATACGTATTCATCAATGACTTGTTCATTACAGTACGTGCTTTCTACAATATTTCACTATTGGTCAGTTTTGTTTTAGGAATTCACACAACATTGTTACAGTGGGAGAACTTCCAACACACCAAATCCAGTAATTCCACTGTTTTCAGTTAAGGGTTGAAACATACCATAGGTTCTTCCCAGTGGTTGAGTTCCTAGCCTTCCAGCGGAGCCCAGCACAAAGTGTTCAGTGTGTGTCAGCTTGGCGGTGTGAGTGAAAGCAGAGAGAGTCCCAGATGCTGTGTCAGCGAACTAACTAACTCAGAGACTCTGCGACTCCTCCACGTCCCTCAGGAGAGAAGAAAGTCGGCCGGCAGGGGCTCGGGCCTCTCCCAGTCGGCCCAACCTCCATGACAGGCTCAGACACATTCTAGGACCATGGCCCATTCCCAGTCACACCAGCAGCACCAAGTCAAGGTCCAGTCAAATATGCACCACTGTCCAAAGCCTGGAGAAGGAAGGCTGGCTAACGTCAAGCTCTTGGCGTTGTTTTATTAATGTAAAAGGGAAGACAAAGTGGAAAAGACAAAAGGGATGAGATGTTCTCAGCATAAGACTCCTCTTTTGTTCCTTCCTACTGCATTGCATGTATGACTGTTGCAAAACAGTCTAACAGAGCCTAGTGATTCTGCTTTATGTCAGCTCTGATGCCACTTCAAAGTCCATTCCATTGACGGTGAGCCACAGTGGCTAGTAAAGAACTAGGTGAGCACCACTAGGTGGGATACAGTAGCTGTGTTATTGTGGCAGCGCTCCGGGGCAAACAGCTTGACCGCCAGCCACAACACAAGCACACAACATGATCTCCAGCCTCCAGAGGGATGGAGCTGAGCTGACTAAAACAGCTATAGGAAAACCAGATGGCTGACGCTAAAGCTGTCTCTCTCTTTCATTGCTGTCTGTCCAACCCAATTGGTCCCAGGGATTCGCACAGTGAAAAAGCTGAAATTCACTACTTCATTCATCTGCTTGCTCTGCCCTCATATTTAACCTCACATTGAAGTTGTATACTATTTTATTTTCAGGACAACCAGGGCTACAAGTAGAACACAACAGTTGCATTCATGAGTTTTATTGACAAATGTCAATTTTTAAAAAAGGTCTGCCAAGCAAAAACCTGATAAATAAATGAATTTATAAGAATGCTAAAAGTACAACAAAAAAAATTCTCTGGAAATGAATATTCAGCTAGTCAGTGACAACTATGTGGAGTTTGTGACAGCAACTATGTGAGCTTATTACAGTATTATAGATACTATGTCCTGGGATTTCCTATGATCTTCGTAGAAGAACCCCTTACCTTCTAACGACTTTTGTGTGGCTTGTGAACATTATATAGAGCGTATTCGAGTCTCAGCTTTTCATAGTGAGGTCATAATAGTTTGTAGTTCAAACCGTTCTGACTTTACAGACGTTTTTGTGAGAATAACTGTTTTTCGGGATCCGCCCTTGTCTCACAAACACCACTCTAGCTGCACTCCAATGTACCAATTTTAGGAACGCTCTGCTTTACCTTCCAGTGTGGTTCCTTTCCCCTCCAGAGGGTCTCCTAGGCCAGAGGAGTAGCGTGCGCTGACCGCCAGATCGTACTCAGTGCCAGGCTGCAGGTTCTTCAGGAGGGTGTTGGTGTTCCCTCCCTTCACCGACACCTCCTTCTTCTCGCCACCCGCCGAAGGACGGAAATTGATACGGTACTGGAGGACGCGGCCCGGTGCCGCCGCCCACGACAGCTTCATGGTGGACACGGTCTCGTCAAAGACCTGCAGGTCACGTGGAGATCCCAGTGCTGAAAGACAAGAGGCAGGAAAAGCTATGCTGTCAATGAGGAGCCAATCAAAGTTGAAGTCGTTGTGCACAGTGTAGGCTATGGCATTTGACCAATTAACTGAGGTGTCTGTCCAATATAGTATGATTATAGTCTGTTATTACACAAGACAGATTGGAAAGACCACAAGTCTTCATTAATGCAAATCTTAAGTCATATAATTACAGAAACCTTTAGATTTTTGGAAAGGCACATAGCACAATAAGGGCAACATTTTAAAGAAGATTGAGGAAAAAACATAAATCCATCTCTGAAACAGCTGGGTGGTGAAAGCCAGAGGCACAGGCTGGGATACGTTCTATCCATTTCATGGCTCTGGAAATAAACAGCTGCCTTATTTAAAGGAGCTGGAACGTCCACGGGCACTAACTGCTCTGAGAGCTAATAATCACTGAGAAGAATGTGGTTGCCGTGGTGAATAGGAGTAACTTTTTGTTTATTTCTGTCAGCCTCCCTTGCTCCTTTGGCTCCGGCGCTGTAAACTACAGCATTACTGGGCATTATTTCACCACATATCCCACACACACACACCTTTGGTATGCATCGAAAAAATCCCCCCCTTAGATTGCAACCCCTTTGTGATGTCTTCCCGCCAAAATATAATGACACAGTCATTTTGGATGGAATATTAGCTCAGTAGAACATGAAGTTAAAAAAAATAAACACTTTGTTAGAAACAAAAGGCAGGCATGTTCAGTTCACACCCCTGGAGGGATGGTATAAGAGAGTATGATTCCTAGCCTCAGTCCCCAGCATGAAAGGTCTCAAATAGCTTTCCTATAGCATAATTGGCTAAGACGTTGTCAAGCGGGCGGTGATCTTTGATTGCAAGAGGAGGCCTAGTTCGAGCACAGTGAGGGACAGGGATGTAAGCTATACTATTAAGCAAGCGCAGTGATGCCCGTAACATAAGCAGAGATCTAGTCACCTTCTTTGGTGGTGCCATCGATCTTCATCTCAGCACCAGTGCCTGACTGGTACTCTGCAGCCACCATCACACGGTACGTTGTTAAGGGGAAGAGCTCCGACAGCACGATGGTGGTCTCATCGCCGACGGTGGCTGTCTCTAGTGTTGTGCTGTCGCCCCTGACTGGTACATAGGTCAGACGGTACCGTACCACCGCCCCTGGCGCTGCCGCCCACGACACCCGGAAACTATCTGTCATTTCCTCGGAAACCCTCAGGTTACGCACTGGTCCTTGTTCTGCAACAAAGATGGTGGGGTTAGAGGTCAAAAGGAATTTAGAGGTCATACAAATATTAGAACAGAAGATAAGGCATTGGCATCAAATTCTTTATCTGTTGGTCTGATGGTACTGACCATCTAGTGTGGTCTCGAATCCATTCAGAGGGAAGCTGTCTCCTTGGGTATACTGGGCAAAGACGTTGACTTCGTAACGGGTGACGGGCGTGAGGTGAGGCAGCAGAGTGGTGAGCGTGTCCCCGGGCAAGGACATGGACACAAAGTCCCCATTGATGTCAGCAGCCGGTCTGAACTGGATCAGGTAGGACAGGACATTGAGGGCATCGGTGTCCCAAGTGGCTCTGAAGCTCCTGGCGGCCACCTCAGAGAAGGTTAACGACCTCGGTGGGAGTAAGCCTGGAGGCGATGGCAGATGACTACGCATTAGGTCACAACACTCAGGATGCGTCCCAAGTGGCACCGTATTCCCAGCATCCCTATATGCAACCCATAGGGTGGTCAAAAGTAGTGCACTGTATAGGGAATCAGGTGCCATTTGGGACGGAACCTCAATAATACTCAAACTTTATCTCTATTCCATTAGTGAAAATCTATGTATTGTTTTCTATGTGTACAGTACTCTATGTTGTCATAATATATTATATAAGGAATATATCATGAGTAATCAAACCTTGTGTGAGTTACACAATACACTGGCAGAGATTAACACCTTTCGGCCATGTAATGCAGAGCGACTAATATTTGGTATTATATTTCCACATGCAAGTCATCTTACTGCCCTGAGAGAGCAAGAGGTTTTACATCTTCTGCTAAACAGAAGATGATAACTTTGAAAAAGGGTATTGTGACACAGATGTAATTGCAAGCATTTTTTGCATACACTCGTAGGACTTTCTCTTCTACTTCTCAGGTCATTGACCAACAATGCCAAGGTAGAGTGGAGTCATTTTCAAGAGTTATTCTCTCAAATAGAAGCAGTTGATCAGAATTAGATTGACTAGATTTTAAAAAGGTGAAAAATTATGCCACAATTCATCAAATGACCCAAGTATACTGTATGATATTTCAAAACATGGTTATTTGTTCAAATTCAAGAAATCAAAAACGTAAAAACTGACTAATGTTTCGGATGTAAGTTACACATCGGAAAACTGTGCTCACTGCTTGCTGCCATATGGCGCTGTATGTAACTGTGCCAGATGTTAGCTTCACACTCATCTGGATATATAAAGTGTATCCCACCCTAGTGTAAATATATTGGTGTGTGAATCATCAACCTGATCTCATAGACTTGAAGTAACATAGTCAACGTAAATCCGGAACACTCAATTGAGTACGATATGTTATGTTTGGTATGGTTACATAAGACAGAAGTTTACGTGTAGGGTGGTTGTTCGGGGTGGATGCGTGGTTGCATAACGCGAACGTCTAGCAACCCAAAATGTGCGCGTTCGAATCTCATCACAAACAACTTTAACATTTTAGCTCATTAGCAACTTTGCAACTACTTGCTGACTTTTAGCTACTTTACAACTACTTAGCATGCTAGCTAACCTAACCTTAACCCTAACGCCTAGCCTAGCAAAAAAATTGGAATTCGTAGCATATCATACGTTTTGAAAATTCATAACATATTGTAAGAATTGCAATTCGTAACATATCATACGAATTGTAATTTATCACATATCATACTAATTGAAGTGTACCGGATTTACTTTTACTATGTAAATCAAAGAATGCTAGAATTTACTTTTGTATTGCAAACATACTTTATCTAAGACACTTCCATTATCATCTTAGACTTTGGTAATACTGGGTGCTGGGCCATTATCTCCATTGAGAATCTATGGCATACACAAATGTCCCCCATATTTCTTGTTTGCAAGACATTCTATTTGGCTAAGAAATTCCTTTACTTACTGTAGCCTAGCGGTTAGGAGAGTTGGGACAGTAGCCGAAAGGTCGCTGGTTTAAATCCCAGAGCCGACTAAGTGAAAAATATGTCGATGTGCCCTTGAGCAAGGCACTTAATCCTAATTGCTCCAGGGTCGCCGTCAATAATGGCTGATCGCTGGCTTAGACCCCACTCTCAGAGGGTGTCTCAGGTGGAGTGGGATGCAAAAAATGAATTTCCAATTCACACATGTACAGTTGAAGTCGGAAGTTTACATACATCTTAGCCAAATACATTTAAAATCAGTTTTTCACAATTCCTGACATTTAATCCTAGTAAAAATTCCCTGTTTTAGGTCAGTTAGGATCACCACTTTATTTCAGAATAATAGTAGAGAGAATGATTTATTTAAGCTTTTATTTCTTTCATCACATTCCCAGTGGGTCAGAAGTTTACATACACATTAGTATTTGGTAGCATTGCCTTTAAATTGTTTAACTTGGGTCAAATGTTTCGGGTAGCCTTCCACAAACTTCCCACAATAAGTTGGGTGAATTTTGGCCAATTCCTCCTGACAGAGCTGGTGTAACTGAGTCAGGTTTGTAGGCCTCCTTGCTCGCACACGCCTTTTCAGTTCTGCCCACACATTTTCTATAGGATTGAGGTCAGGGCTTTGTGATGGCCACTCCAATACCTTGACTTTGTTGTCCTTAAGCCATTTTGCCACAACTTTGGAAGTATGCTTGGGGTCATTGTCCATTTGGAAGACCCATTTGCGACCAAGCTTTATCTTCCTGACTGATGTCTTCAGATGTTGCTTCAATATATCCACATAATTTTCCTTTCTCATGATGCCATCTATTTTGTGAAGTGCACCAGTCCCTCCTACAGCAAAGCACCCCCACAGCATGATGCTGCCACCCCGTGCTTCATGGTTGGGATGGTGTTCTTCGGCTTGCAAGCAACCCCCTTTTTCCTCCAAACATAACAATGGTCATTATGGCCAAACAGCTCTATTTTTGTTTCATCAGAGCAGAGGACATTCTCCAAAAAGTACGATATTTTTCCCCATGTTCAGTTGCAAACCGTAGTCTGGCTTTTTTATGGCGGTTTTGGAGCAGTGGCTTCTTCCTTGCTGTGCGGCCTTTCAGGTTATGTCGATATAGGACTAGTTTTACTGTGGATATGGATACTTTTTTACCTGTTTCCTCCAGCATCTTCACAAGGTCCTTTGCTGTTGTTCTGGGATTGATTTGCACTTTACGCACCAAAGTACGTTGATCTCTAGGAGACAGAACGCGTCTCCTTCCTGAGCAGTATGACGGCTGCGTGGTCCCATGGTGTTTATACTTGCGTACTATTGATTGTACAGATGAACGTGGTACCTTCAGGCATTTGCAAATTGCTCCCAAGGATGAACCAGACTTGTGGAGGTCTACACATTTTTTTCTGAGATCTTGGCTGATTTATTTTGATTTTCCCATGATGTCAAGCAAAGAGGCACTAAGTTTGAAGTTAGGGCTTGAAATACATCCACAGGTACTCCCTATTGACTCAAATGATGTCAATTAGTCAATCAGAAGCTTCTACAGCCATTACATCATTTTCTGGAATTTTCCAAGCTGTTTAAAGGCACAGTAAACTTAGTGTATGTAAACTTTTGACCCACTGGAATTGTGATACAGTGAATTATAAGTGAAATAATCTGTCTGTAAACAATTGTTGTAAAAGTTAATTGTGTCATGCACAAAGTAGATGTCCTAACCGACTTGCCAAAACTATAGTTTGTTAACAAGAAATTTGTGGAGTGGTTGAAAAACGAGTTTTAATGACTCCAACCTAAGTGTATGTAAACTTCCGACTTCAACTGTACATGTGTGAAATACGACAAATGTAAGCACCCACCTAATTACTATTATTATTAACCATTAGCTTCACTTGAGTACAGTTGGCCTGGGTATACTGACTAACAGAAATGACTACATCATGCAGATATAGAGAGGGTACTACTCACTTTTCTTCTTGATGTTGAGGAGCTCCTGCTCGATCCTCAGGCAGATGGACTGGGTGAGCTCGTTGGAGATCCTCTGGAAGGCGTCAAAGTCCTCCACGGTGTACACATGGGTCTCCACGGGCTCGGTAGCAATGGCTTCCAGTTCGGACCTCACAGCGTCCTTCACACCCACGGCAAAGATCTCCACGTCTGCTTTCTTCAGCTTGGTGGCCGGGTCCTTGAAGGAGTCGGATGACTTCCCGTCTGTGATGAGGATAGTGATGCGGGGGACGTTCGGCCGTGATCCTCGGTTGGTCAAGAAGATCTTCTCCCTGACGTAGGTCATGGCCCTTCCGGTGTTGGTGGAGCCGCCGCGGTAGGGGAACGTTCGGACGGCATTGACCACAGCGCTCATGTCACGGTGGGTGTTCAGGTAGAACTCAGTGTGCGCGTCCCTACTGTACTGAACCAAGCTGATCTGAATCTTGTCCGGTCCGATGTCAAATGAGTTCACCAGCACCTCCAGGAAAGCTCTGACTTTAGCGAAGTTGGACAGTCCGATACTGTATGAGCCGTCGACCAGAATGACAACATCGGCTTGCACGTCTACTCCAAGAGAACATTCTAGAAGAGGACACAAAAACATCTGTCATGTAATGACAAAATCAGACACTGAATGATTATAACAATGACTGACATACAGCATGACTTTAAGATATTGTTGTAGAGTATACTCACCAAGGGACACTTTGACTGGCTCAGTCTTCTCCATGGCCATGATGGGCTCACTGGGGGTCAGGCCCTTGAGGGCAAACAGGCTGATCTGGTACTCTGTGTCTGGAGACAGGCCCGTAATCGTCACTGAGGTCTGGCTGGCGCCTACGTACAGCTCCTGACGCTTGCTGCCGGCCATCATGGGGATCAGCTGGAGCTTGTAACCTGACACATCTCCAAAGGAAGCATCCCACGTCACCCTCATAGACTTGGAGGCCACCTCCATGACTCTGAGGTTTGATGCTGGTTCAATAACTGTAAATAAACAACCCCAACAAAGAAATCACGACAGGAGTTTGTTAGGAAATTATCCTCCTCTCCCCAGCTGGAAATGTGTTGATCAACCCCCATTAATTCATGCATCTCTAATCATTTCTTCAAAGTTATCCATGCCACAACAACTTCCAACATTTGAGTCGTAAAACTGCATTTTACCTTCCTCTCCACTGACGAGCGAGTTGAGTTGATCGTCCACCCCCGAGCACACATGGGTAATGAGCTCTTTCTGCACATTTTTGATAAGGTCAAAGTTGAGGACGTTATAGACATGGGTCCTGTAGGGGGTTGAAGCCATTTGTTTTAGCTCGTCCTCATCTGCTCCTTTGATCCCTAAATTGGACAAATAGCAAAAAAGTTTTGTAAAATATATACGGTCTCTTATAAAAACTGGGGGAAATTTTCCATATCACCATTGTAATTCTGATCTCCCGACAGTTTCAGGTTTACTCATTCATAGTTAAGAGTCAAAACCAATAAAACCCCAACACTCCTTGTTAAAGTCAATGGCGGCACATGAAAATGATTCCGAATGTAGGAATTAATTGCTGCATAGTTTCTCAGGTTTGAGAGCTTATACTGAATAAAACAAGTGATCTATAAAGATATGAAATGAAGCAGGAGGTCTTTCCTTCTTTTCCACTTTTAAGAACAACCAGCTGGATTCACTACGGAATATATTAATTTTTCAAAAGGCCATGTCATAACTTCAGTTGGAAGAATGACAACATGGAAAAAATGTGTGAAACCCATTTAATACCATTCTAACTCGCAGGTTTCACGATCCTTTACTTTGTGATATGAATACTTCAACTTACTCTCATGACTATAGAATACATATAGACAGGATTAGCAGTATCAGTAAGACATAAACAGGATTAGATGATAGAAAGGTTGCCTGTAGTCACATACCCAAGGTGAAGATCTCCACCCCCATGTTCTTAAGTTGCTTGGCGATGTTCTCCACAGGGTCTTGAGACTTCCCGTCTGTGATAATCATGGCCACCTTGGGAAAGCCTTTCCTGGCACCGTTTGCCTCAGTAAATGTGTTTTTCAGCAAATAGTCCATGGCCTCACCTGTAACAATGTGGCATGACGTCCCTTTTGCTTATAACATTGTTAATTTGATTCACTCTACCAACCTCAGAGAGTTGTTAATGATGAACTACAGCTTTGTCAGTTAGTATTATGTTAATGATATGATTGTGTATTGTATAGCCAGGTACTGTACATGGGATGGGTAGGTACCTGTCATGGTGTTGCCACCCTTGTAAGGCAGTGTGTTGATGGCTCTGAGGAGTTCGCCCAATTTCATGTGCTGGTTGAGGTTAAACTCTGTCTTGGTATCAGTGCTGTACTGGACCACGCCCACCCTGGTCTTGTCCTCCCCAATCTCAAAGGCCCCCGCCATGGCAGAGATGAAGTTACGGATGTATTTAAAGTCTCTTCCAACGCTCCATGAACCATCAACTAGGAACACCAAATCTGCGATGGCACTGAATGAACACTCTGGGGGAGAAGGAGTGGTAGAGGAGAGGAGAGAAGGAGAGAAAAAAGAAAATGAAAAAAGTAGCATACACTGGAAAAATGGGAGAGGCAAATTACTTGACCTGAAGTCAAATTTTGTAGAGAGAAGCATGTCCTGTTTCCATATCTTTACAAGTCCCAGATAGCCGTATCATTGACCAAAGAAAACAATGTGAAGAGTACTGTTGGGCAAATATATACAGTGAAGAGTGAAAGCAGCCTCCAGGTGCAAACTTTGGTCCAGCGTTTAAACGTTATTGTATGAAGAAAACAAAGAAAACGACCCTCTTAACACTCGTATACTAGACAGGAACTATGGAATATCAATTCATATTTCTTATTGGCAAATGCAAATGCTCAGATAGGACCCTAAGGTGATAATGAAAGAATGCAATGAAAATGTTGATGTTATTGCCATCCCTTTTGACAGAATACCATTGTCACTACCAAAATCATCACAAAATCAGCACTGTATTCATCAGGCTATTCATCAAGACTTTTATTTGACAGGCTGGAGGGCATTCACCATCCTCACCCTTATAGTGGGTTATGACCAGTTGTGTGCCTGAAATCAGCAGCCACATCCAGCTCAAGTGGTTATACAAACTATTAGGGTGCTACTTTGAGATATAAGCCCTCATAGTGAATACAGTCTTTGGGAACACAACGCAAGGTACAGTGAAGGTACAGTGAGTGAATAGCTTTGGTCCAGGGGGTCACCTGGAGGGTATTTTCCAGGTCTGCCTTCTGGATAGGAATAACGTCTGAGAGGTTTTCCCAAGCAGCAGTAAACATGCATCATCTGGGGGAGGCCACAGTGCTCTTGTAAAGAGCTGTATCTGTAATGGTTTCCACTTCTCTCAGCCTTGCTGTCTCAGAGCCGGGCAGGCTATACTCTTCAGCTCCAGCACCAGAGGTCCTGCCCCCTGACACAGGTGTTAGCTCCACACCCCTGACCCCCACACTGAGCATGTGCAAACTTCTTTACTTGGCATGATTGACAGCCTGACTATGACAGGCAGCTTAGCAATATAATTATCAATATTTTCGAGATTTATATAGTAAAAAAAACTGATTTGGCTATACAATGGGGCATTGAACAGAATAATATGTGGAAACTCCCTCTACTGTGCTGTTGACTACACACGAATGGAAAGAGCCCAGGCACAATAAGAGAGAGAAAAAATACTATAGCCTATGAACAAACTGGAAAATGTTGTTAACTGTTTATTCTCAGAAAAGAAAATGCCAATGAGGCAATAGACTTACTGACTGAATCTGTGACCTGTGGTTTCCTGGGACCTCCTTGCGCTGTGCCACTTGATTGGACTGAAACACAAGCAATGAGACAAAAAACAATGTGAGTCAAAAAAACTAATAAATATATTTAACCTTACCCACAACACCTTAATGTGAAAGAATCAACTAGTAGCATGTGAAAAAGATGTGACTAAACATTCCAGAATTTATACATAAAGATATACTTTGTGTATATATTTGATGAGGTTGTCTCTAATAAGATCAAATCCACTAGCGGTCACAACGAGCAGACAGGCGAAGCCAGCTCCCAAATTATAATGGACTGATGCAATTAGTTCCGGCAGTTTTCACAGTAATCTCTAAAGACCCGGACTGGGCTGCTTAGGACTATAGCATCAGATCTAAGGACCGATGCCAAAGAGGCTTCCCCACCAAGCAGTTCATATTACATTACAGCATACTTTCATCACTGTTAGACTTGTGAGGGGGGTTGCCTCTGTGTTAGGGCCATGCATTTTCATTCCTCTTTCTATACATTTGGAATCATTCACCAGTAGACTAAATCCTCAAAAAGTTATACAGTTGCACCATTGAGAGGATCCGACCGCAAGGCGCTACAGAGGGTAGTGCGTACGGCCCAGTACATCACTGGGGCCGAGCTCCCTGCCATCCAGGACCACTATACCAGGCGGTGTCAGAGGAAAGCCCTAGAAATTGTCAAAGACTCCAGCCAATCAAGTCACGATCTGTTCTCTCTGCTACTTTACGACAAGTGGTACCGGAGCGCCATGTCTGGGACCAAAAGACTCCTGAACAGCTTCTACCCCAAAGCCATAAGACTGCTGAACAGTTAATTAAACGGCTACCTGGACTTTCTGCTTTTTACCCCCTACCTACCTGTCAATCAATCCCCTAACCAAACCTACATGTACATATTACCTCAATCAATCACCCCAACTACCTCGTACCCTAGTACACTAACTTGGTACTAGTACTCCTTGTATTTAGCCTGCATATAGCCTCGTTATTGTTATTTTATTGTGTTCATATTTTCTTTTTATCTTTGTTCATTTTCTTACTTTTTAACTGCATTGTTGGGAAAGGGCTCGTAAGTAAACATTTCACGGTAAAGTCAACACTTGTTTTATTCGGCGGATGGGACACATATAATTTGATTTGAAATAAGAGGCTGGGGGCGGGGCTGCGTCCCAAATGGCACCCTATTCAATATAAAGTGCACTACTTTTGACCAGGGCCCATAGGGCTCTGCTAAAAAATGGTGCACTGTGTAGGGAATAGGGTGTCATTTGGGACGCAGCCTCTGTGATAAGGGCCATGCAGTAATTCAGTGTCATTCCTCTCTCTAGTCTGAATCAATCACCAGTAGACTAAACAAGTGGCTGTGACCGTAAGTGACTCACTTCATTCACCAGTATAGTCTACATAAGATGTGATAGTAAGTGACTCACTTGTGAGCTGTCCTGAGATGGGCAAACTTTCCTCTGATCCAGAGTATGTGATGATTGTTACTACATAGTCCATGTCTGGAGTCAGATCTGTGATGGAGGTCTTAGTGGCAGTGGCGGGGAGGGATACATATTTTGTTGGTTCGTCTATGGAAATAATACAGTACCAAGTTAGGAATTAAGGGTTAGGGAAATTAACAATTCTGAATCTCAAAATAAAGCAATTTATGCCTTAACAATCTTAGGCATTGAGTGCATGAAATGTTTAATATGTGGATCCCATAATGAATTGGTGAAAACAGGAAATGTAGGTGTTTTGTCGTGTCAATGGCTGTGATTGCTTGTTGTAAACTACACAGGTAATGTTGCAGTAAAGGTAGTGAAGTTGAGAGAGATGGGCTGCAGCAAAACAGACCACCCACCTGTGTCTGAGGCCACTTGTATCTTGAATCCCTCTATTGGTGTTAGTGGCACATTCCATGTCATTTGTACAGTGTTCTCATTTAAAATCTTAAATCTCAAGTCTGAAGGTGGTTCAACTGCGAAAATAAAAAGTAGCAAATGTTAATTCCAGCATTTGCAAAATAAGTGTATTTATGATAAAACATAAGGTGTAGGTAACACATATCCCAACAATCAACACTTCAAGGTTGAAGTTATCCTATTCATTGTTGGGGCAAACAACAAGAGGTGACAACAAGGCAACATAACATTTGAGACGCGAGCAGTCATTTTGGAGAAAAATGACATTCGTTTGAGCTGTCCGACCATGTCTGTCCGACCACAGTCAACAACTCAAGCAGGAGAATGACAAAGGGTGGCAAAAAAATATCCAAGGGCACAATTATTTTGGTTTACATTGACTAACTAACATCTTGCATGCTGATAAGGTCATGCCTAAACTGAGTCAACCAACAAAAACATACACCATCCATAAAATTTGTGGAAAATTGATTTTACAATGGAGTCTTCTCATACCTTATATACCATGGTTGTGTAAAGGCCTACATGCAGTCATACATAGCCTTCAGTACATTGTTTATTTTGATTAATCCATGTGTATGACTCCCATCCATTGCAAACCTCTTAAAAGAATACACAATGCCATTTAAGACCATTGGGTACATCTTTTCCAACCCCTCTAGCACTAAGTAGTGAGAATCCACATTGACATTTTTTTATTAGAAAAACACAAATCAAATAGAAAAGCAAAACAAACCATAAATGTGATTGGTCACACTGAATGGACTGTCTGAAGATCATGCACATGTACATGAAAAGTTGTTTGTAACAACTTATGGAACCAGACAAAAGTTTCCATGTACAAGACGGACTAGAGAACATACTTTAGAAATATTTGTAAATGATATTCGTCTGTTGGGGGATGGGGTTAAGTAAATTAGGCTATTATGAGAAAACAGCATTAACAAGAATAAAGTCTTAAAGGGATGCCTTTGGCAGTGTAGGCTGTTATCTACTTCCCCAGAGTCCGATTAACCCATTGATACCATATGTATGTCTCCACGTGCAGTTTGAAGGAAGTTGCTAACTAGTGTTAGCGCAATTGCTAACTAGCATTAGCGCAATGACTGGAAGTATATGGTAACTGCTAGCATGCTAGTAGATTCGATAGACTTCCGGTCATTGCGCTAATGCTGGTTAGCATTGGCTTGAGAAACTACATCTAACTTCCTTCATACTGGATGCAGAGACATAAAAACGGTATCCATGAGTACCCTTTTAAGTAGCCTATATAGTAATAACAGAATGTCTAAAGATGTCTAAAATGACAAATACAGTAAATGATAAGACTACTGTATGTGTAGTGGTTTAAGATTAATGGTGATGAATCATGAACTATGCTTGTTGATTAACTATAACAACATAATGTGTCAGTGGATAGTGCAGTGGTGCATAGCAGGATAAGTATGGGGTTCTAATCTAAATAAAGGTTTTCTAAATAAGGGAAGCTGGTGGGGATCAAGAATATCATTCTAAAATATTGTTGAAAAGCCATGACTCAGGACAAATTGAATGCAAATTTGCACAGCAAATGACCTGAGCAAAGCTTGTCCAGTACAGGATATCAAAAATGAGAACCACCAACCTGGCAGATCAACTCAAGGGCCATGGTCTGCTCCTTCTCTGTTTCCAAATGGACCCATCAAAACCATACAATACTATCCACATTGTCCTTGTTTACGAAGCTCTTAATTAAAGCACACACACCACAAACAAGCACGCACGCACGTACACACACTCCACAAAGGCACGAACACGCGAACACACACACACACAAACCTCAATGATGAGCCTCTTTCTCTTTGTTTCTGGTTTCTCCAAGTAGTTCAAGATTTGGTCCGTGAGCATCCTGGTCTCAACATCTCAAGCCATTCAACAAGGAACATACCAATGTGTGTGTGTGGGGGGGGGGGGGGTGGGTTGCTACTATGACCTCTGTTTGTGACCTCTAGTTCTGGCCATCAAGGTCCTAGTGTGTAGGCTACAGTCTCCTAAAAAGAGAGGCCTTCTCTTAAAAAATAAGGGGTCCATATGATATGCTAACAGAATATTTTACATCTTATAGCCTGATTGAATGGGAAGAAGGCAGCTCTGTAATCTGTCATCTATAAAAATGGTCATGGGAGCTTCTGAAGAATGTTCTTTCTCAGTTTCTGGAAAATAATTTTAGAGACGCTCATATTTTGTCTTTCTGTTCCATCAGAGAGAAAAAGAACACGAGAAGGAAAATTGGCCTCAAGCCCCCTTTTTCTCCAAATGAAAGTGGAGACAATTGAGTTCTCGGTTAATTTTGATTGAATCTCTCATAGTACTATAATAGCTCATCTATTACATCCCTTACGGGCAAAACGTGTTACTTCTGTCACTTAATTTTTTACCTAGCTCCTTTATTATTACCTAGTTCCTTAACTTCTTTTTTGAACAGCTGAAATTCTTCCCTTCACCAGAGAGTTGGGCCTGCTAGAGAAACTAGGTAATGATGAAAAAAATATCAAGCAAGTGCCCCTCCTAGCGCAAGAAAGACTTCACTACAACTATCATGCTTAGGGAGTTGCCCCTTCACTAATTTCCAGACTAGCCTACTACACTATTAGAAAAAAAGGTGCTATCTAGAACCAAAAAGGGTTATTCGGCTGTCCCCATTGGAGAACCCTTTGAAGAACCCCTTTTGGTTCCAGGTAGAACCCTTTTGGGTTCAATGCAGAACCCTTTCCACAGAGGGTTCTACATGGAACCCAAACAAGTTCTACCTGGAACCAAAAAGGGTTCTCCTATGGGGACAGCCGCAGAACCCTTTTGGAACCCTTTTTTCTAAGAGTGTATGATTGGGCCAGTTCCACTTTGAACTTTTTGATTAAAAATGTCGATTTGAAACAGATTTTACATGAAAAAATATAATTGTGCATTCCATAAACTGTTTCAATAGCCTAGGCTACTCGAAAGTTGAAAATGTGATTTTTGGAAGTATAGGGGTTGTCACTAGTTACCACAGCCGCAAAGTCAGAATTGGCTATATTGTAAAAATTCATGAAAACATAAATGTGCTTTTTGGTCTTAATTTAAGGTTAGAGTTAGGCATAAGGTTATCAGTGTGGTTATGGTTAAGGTTAGATTTCAAATCAGATTTTAAGAAGATACATTTTAGAAATAGGCAGGATTTAGTGATAATTAAGACTTTGTGGCGGTGGTTACTAGTGACGACCAAGTAATATGTTAGCCTACCTACCCTAGGCTACTTGTTTGAGTTAATTCAACCTGTCACAATTAATAGAAAATTGGATCAAAAGACAAATGAAATAGCCAACCTATTGAAACACAACAAAAAGACAAGAACCCATAGGCCTACCGATGAAATAGGCCTATAGGCAAAGGCCTACATGAGATACAAGTACTGTAGACATTTTATTTCAGCAAACATTTATTCATAAAATAAAACTTTATTGGTGAAAGTATTGCAATTTCACCATGAGGAGCTAGAAAACGGATACTATTAGCTACACAGAGAGAGGGTGGGGGGAGGGGGGGGCTGCACATTTTTCATTCGGATCAGATGTGTTTAATTAACAGTAGGAACATTGGAGGGGAGGAAGGAGGACAGGACAGCAGGTGAGGGGTAACTTTACCTTGGGCCTCGACGGAGGATAGTAGCACTGCAAGGAAGGCAGCCGCTGCCAGAGACAGCCTTATCTTCATTTTGACTCTCTCTCTCTGGCTCAGCAGAACATGAATGAGGCTACAAAAGGCACAGCCAATTACACACGGATCTCAGCAATGCTCCATCATTCCACACACAGTCTACCTTTAATGACCACAAGCAACATTTACATTTGACATTTTAGTCATTTAGCAGACGCTCTTATCCAGAGCGACTTAGAGTAGTGAGTGCATACATTTTTGTACCTTTTCGCAGATGTCCTATAATCCAATAGCATACTCTTATACATACAATGGGTATTATAGTGGGTATAATAAGTATTCAACCCCCTTGGATTTTTTGTTGTGTGGTAAAGCGGGTTTGAATTGGATTTAGTTGTGATTTTTTGTCATTGATCTACACAAAATACTCCGCAATGTCAAAGTGAAAGGAAAATTCTACAAATGTTAACAAATGAATAAAGATGAAATAGCTAAAATATAGTTGTTGCAAAAAGTATTCACCCCTTTTTTAGGCAAGCAAATTAGTTCATGAGTAAAATTTGCTTTAGCAAATCACATAAGTTACATGGACTCACTCTGTGTGAAATAATGCTTCAACCTGCTTGAAAATCTATGGCAAGACTTGAAATTGCTGTCTAGCTATGATCCCCAACACTTTGACAGAGCTTGAAGAAAATAATGGGAATATATTGCACTATCCAGGTGTTTTATTAATTTTTTTATTTTTATTTTTTCTCACTTTGACATTATGGAGTATTTTGTGTAGATCAATGACAAAAAAAATCACAATAAATACATTTCAATGCCACCTTGTATGGCAACAGAATGTGAAAAAATCCAAGCGAGGTGAATACTTATGATACCCACTCTCAACGAGTGTCATAATAGTTCATTCAAAGACAAAAGCAAGACCATTGAACATCTAACTGCATTGTCTTGATAAATTAACATATTGTTCCATCTTAAATACCATTAAAATATTCTCAAAAACTCACAATCAACTTTCAATGCGGTTTAAATGTACAGCTGCAAATGGAAAATAGTCCCTTGTAGGGTCTACACTTTTTTATGGAATAAGCGAGCCTGCTGTAGTAGCTGATCAAAAAGGGTGTACTGCGCCTCACTAGCAAGACTCAAAAGAAATAACTTTCACAAACCCTATGAAAACACAATGCATAGCATTCCGTGGTCTCCCAACACAAAATCCAAATAAAAGGTACAAAGGCGCCAGAATGCAGGTGCGCCAGATGCAGGCTATATTTTACTGGCCATCACTCTGCTACTGATAGAGCAATCGATTCTAAAAACTTGGCCGTCTTTATCCAGCATTGCATGTTAATCTAAGTGTTATAGCGAAAACAATATATGCTACCAAGTTATCAATATTTTGTTTCTTCTCAAATTAAATTCTACTTTACATCACATACATTATTACACGAAGAAGCAGTCAAATATTCCAACACGCACAGCATTTACGACATGGTTGTTGGGCTATAATTATGGGCTATACTTAATTTCAAACCAACATGACACCGTGATGATAAAGCAAATGAACAATAGGCAAATGCTAAAATACTTGCTCAGAGCCCAATCTTGGGATAACCTAGCCTACTTCCCTGGTCTCCAGATGACCACAACTAACCTTACTCTCCCCATCTTCCTCTCAGATAGCCTAAGCAGTAGTCCAATCCATATTCAATTAATTAAATACTGACCTGTGGAAATGATGATGTGTTTTCACTCGTCTCAGAATATAAAAAAGTCAAGCCTCTTTGGATATGCCTCTTCTGCGTAATGATGGATAAAAGTTTCACTTGAGGAGAATCAAGTAGCCTAAACGCAGACGAAAACTCAGTGCTCCTCTTGCGGAGGTCCCAGATAAGAAGCCTTTTTCCAAGTGGGAAGACTCTTCACAATCTGCTACTTAATAGGGGGCTGTTCCCAACTCTCCCTTTACATCATATGCTCTTACGACAGTCAGCAAGCATGGAACCCTGCCATGGATTGACACATGCAGCTTCTCAAAGTGTGGGGATATACTTTTGGAAACTTAGCATAGTTTTCTGCATTCCTTTGCAATGATGCCCCTCTATGTGTTGTATCCACAAGTCCACTCCACATTAAATGACTAGCCGTTTCTTGGGGGGGGGGGGGGGGGGGGACGACGACAATGGAACAATGGAAAAATCTTCAACAGCCCAATAGCATTTATTAAGTGACCAAGTTTAAGAGTCAGTAACCATGTCCTTTTAATTTAATGGGCTTTATGTCAGTAGATAAATATGTATAAACTTATTGTTATGTTTTTGAAGTATTTAATAGGTCTTTGGATTTAACTCAGAAAATGTCAATAAATTCTTAACAGTCCAATCAGAATTATACAGGCAAGGCACGGGGAAAGGGTGATGCTTTCTGTCCTGATTCCGTCTTCTCTTTGAAATAAAAAGTGAATTGATAGGCATAACTGAATTAACAAGGCCTAGGCCAAGATAAAACAAAACTTTTGTCCTGCCTCTCAAAAATAGGCTATTGGAGTAGTCTAATCCACCCTGATCTATGAAATAGGTAGAGATTATAGCCCTACAGATCATTTGGAAGAATAACTTTCCAACTGAACATTTTGTTGATAATTGACATGTTAATGAAATGAAAAGAGATGGTCACGTGTGAACTTTTTAAGATGACAGAATTCAGTTTCCTGACCATAGACCTATCATAATGTGAGACCCAATCCATTCCCTTGAAGACATAGCCCTCTAGTGACTCAAGAAGCAAAATGCTAATGAAAAAAAAATCCTGCAGCGCTTGTTCCTTGGGCAAATAAGTTAATTAAAAAACATGTTATTTACATTTCATGAGTAAAATGTCTGATGATAAAAATTGACACTTTATCTGCTATTCACTCTGTAAAGTGCGCATAGCCTATCAAATCACCAACACTATTTTTTTAAAACAATATACAGCATATTGCATCTCATGACATTTTCCCATGATATAGTCCTGATTTCTGTAGGCTAGAGCTCAAGGGACATTCCAAAATAGGAGCATCATTTTCTGTTTGTAGATATACTCATTTCTTTACAAAGTATCATGATGAAAACATTAAGACTGCCCTTGGCCTAATGTAGCCTACTAATCTTAGATTGGCTTTAAAGGAGCCAGACTGTGCAAAGCAGGGAAAGCGTAGTCACATGTAGGATATAAATGCAATTGTATTACAACTAAAGCAAATACCAGTGTTTTTCCATTGTAATGTTAAAATAAACCATGAAATTGGAGCATAATGCTTCTCTTTGATGCTGTTTATAATAAGATGAGTGTGTGTATCCATTCAGGAAATTTCAAAGACAAGATTCATTTCTATTTACAGCACGGGTAATAATTCCCATCATGAGAATGTAATTAGTAACAAACCAGACTAACAACATTGTTAACACCTTTCTTACTCTGCCTGCGTTGATGATATGAACACTTACCAGACATCCAGATGTAGGCTACCACCAACATTCCTCTATACAAACTATTGTGAGCATTGTTTTATTCAGTTTAGTTGAAAGGACAAGAGAGACCAACACAAACGTCAGCCATGCCCAGTAGATCACCTGCTGGGTTTCAACGAACGGTGGCGATACATGTGGAACCGTTGGCACATTAACAGAAAATGACAACTAAATGTTCTGTGGTCAGAGGCGAAAGGATGGCCGCCCGCTGCACACTGCCGGCGTTTGTTATGGTGTGTCCCGTCCATAAAATATACATTTACACACATACAAAAAGAAGGACAAAGACCACTTGGTAATGAGAGGCATATTTAATCATCCTCAGTTATAATAAATAAATATTGATCCCATGAACATGAAACAAAAGCTATTATGACATGACAAATCAACCCCCTGATGACAGAGACAACTTTTTACAACTAACAAGGTGTCATGTAGAACAGGTGAGTCAGTCCTTCTTCTTGGGGAAAGCTGCACAAACCAGTTCATATACGACATATGCAGATCCTGCAATAACATATAAAACATAATTACTAATTAAATACAGTGTTATTACAAAAGGTATTGAGCAACTTAGAGTGGTAATGCACAACCAAACCATACCAAGATCTTGTGTCTACATGGATAAAACATTTTTTTGCCATTGAGTCCATCTGTACTCACCTAGAATAGTGAGTGCCATTGTTGTTCTGTACAGGATAGCATCGCTGACGCCCCCTTTCAAATGAATTGGAATCCCATTGTCCTCCTGGTGAAGAAACACATGCTGTATCAAACTTATTTCATGCACAGCAACATGCAGTATAAGCATCCTGCTTCCTTTAAGCCCACCGAAGCTGTAGTATTCTCTGAGTGGACATTGACTTATTCCTTTCAGCTCCTAGTGGAGCAAAGGGCCTGAACAGTGCATCTACAGCAAACTCTGTTCTGGGTGGTTGAGTGGTCATTATTACCCCCAAAATTGACCATTCTAGTTAGCCACAGAATGCAACACGTTGCCATTACGATTTTCATTATTGACAGCAAGATCTGCAATGCACCCTGTTTTAGAAAGCATTTACAGCAGCGCAGTTTGCACAATCAGTTATTGAAAAGCAGTCAATGATGAGGCAGTGGCATCACCCTCCCTTGATCATGTGCCAGTGGTAATCACTAATCAGAGTCAGACATGGGTTTCTCATCTCATGCCATTTTCTATGTCACGAATGGTACACTATTCCCTATTTAGTGAACTACTTTTGACCAGGGCCCATTCTTTTACACACCACATGCAAAGAAGTAACTCCAACCCAGTGAGCTGTCTTTCAGACATACTTATCTGTCAACTCTATGCATCTCAGGCTTCATCATGTGAAGAGAAACTACAGGAGCATACATGTGGACATGTCACCAGTCATCAAAACACAAATATCACATTGTCAGCATTGATTTCGAACTACATTTTCCATGACAGTGAACTGAAATCACGTTAATGTTTAGCTTGAAATATACATTTTAAGTGTGTTTCTATCTGAGCCATGTAAACTGCCAATTACCTGGAAATGCTTCTGTTTATGTGGGACCTTGTTCTCCACCTGCCTGCGCGCGCTGCTGCTCAGCGTCCGCCGCGACACCTGCTGGAGAGCCTGTCACATAACGGAAAAGAGGCATACATTTCTAAACCGCTCAGCAACGCTGCAGTTTCACAGGTTAGGATATATTTTAAGATGAACGCTGGCTTGGAATAGGCCGCTGTCTATCTGAATTTTCAACAAGTTAGCCAAAAGGCTCGAACGTATGCTATAACGTTAGCGAAGCTACCAGCACTCAACGCAAGTCTGATGGGATATGTCCTCCCATGACCGCTAAAGGCTCGTGATGCTGGCTTCTCTTGATCTTTTAGAATGCATAAAAACAGGCAGACCGATGGCATGGAATACAATTATTGCTAAAAACTCCACTCAAAACTTACTTGAATGTGTCGGTACATCTCTCCACTTCAACAGTCGTCGTACAAGGACACCGGAAGACCGCGCTTCCGCTATTTTCTTCTTCTTTGAAAGGATTTAGTGACGCTTCACGATTACTTCTGCATGCTGCCAAATAATGGGCACTGGCCTGTACTTGGAGAGTAGCCAACCAATGAGCTACCGTTCGCTCTATTTCTGGGCTATAAAAACACTGCCAACACTTGTCTCAAGATTCTCACAAATGATTTGTTTGTATACGTATTCACTTTTCCCATTTTGCAACAACAAAGGTACATCAAAACATTTCTAAATAAAAGCAGGTGGCTAAACACAATTATGAGTTGTCCAGACATGATTTTATTTGTCAAGCAACAGACATAGAATCTCCAGGTAAGAAATCAATGGCAACTCTAAAGTGCAAAATATATTTCACCAATTTGTAGCAGTCTTAGTTAGAAAACAAATATGGCCGTTTTTCCATAGACTAACATGAACAGTAGCCTGGTCCCAGATCTGTTTGTGCTCTTCCCTACTCCATTGCCATTGTCAAGCCAAACATGTTTGGCATGACAATTCCATAAGGAGTTGGCAAGACAGCAGAGATACTGGCACCTGGGCTACATGAATAGAGCTTTGGTCCCTGAAAACCATGAAATTGACTATTTTTCGTTGTGTAATGTTACACAGCTAACCAGCATTACTGTATATTCATTACTGTATATACAGTGCCTTGCAAAAGTATTCATCCCCATTGGCGTTTTTCCTATTTTGTTGCATTACAACCTGTAATTTAAATTGATTTTTATTTGGATTTCATGTAATGGACATACACAAAATAGTCCAAATTGGTGAAGTGAAATAAAAATAATTACTGCTTTTTAAAAATTCAAAAAAATAAATAACGGAAAAGTGGTGCGTGCATTTGTATTCACCCCCTTTGCTATGAAGCCCCTAAATAAGATCTGGTGCAACCAATTACCTTCAGAAGTCACATAATTAGTTAAATAAAGTTAACCTGTGTGCAATCTAAGTGTCACATGATCTCAGTATATATATATATATATATATATATATATATATATATATATACACATATACACACCTGTTCTGAAAGGCCCCAGAGTCTGCAACACCACCAAGCAAGCGGCACCATGAAGACCAAGGAGCTCTCCAAACAGGTCAGGAACAAAGTTGTGGAGAAGTACAGATCCGGGTTAGGTTATAAAAAAATATCTGAAACTTTGAACATCCCACGGAGCACCATTAAATCCATTTTTACAAAATTGAAAGTATATGGCACCACAACAAATCTGCCAAGAGAGGGCCGCCCACCAAAACTCACAGCCCAGGCAAGGAGGGCATTAATCAGAGAGGCAACAAAGGGACCAAACATAACCCTGAAGGAGCTGCAAAGCTCCACAGCGGAGATTGGAGTATCTGTCCATAGGACCACTTTAAGCCATACACTCCACAGAGCTGGGCTTTACAGAAGAGTGGCCAGAAAAATGCCATTGCTTAAAGAAAAAAATAAGCAAACACATTTGGTGTTCGCCAAAAGGCATGTGGGAGACTCCCCAAACATATGGAAGAAGGTACTCTGGTCAGATGAGACTAAAATTTAGCTTTTTGGCCATCAAGGAAACCCCTATGTCTGGCGCAAACCCAACACCTCTCATCACCCCGAGAACACCATCCCCATTTGGTGGCAGCATCATGCTGTGGGGATGTTTTTCATCGGCAGGGACTGGGAAAACTGGTCAGAATTTAAGGAATGATGGATGGCGCTAAATAAAGGGAAATTCTTGAGGGAAACCTGTTTCAGTCTTCCAGAGATTTTTGAGACTGGGAAGGAGGTTCACCTTCCAGCAGGACAATGACCCTAAGCATACTGCTAAAGCAACACTCGAGTGGTTTAAGGGGAAACATTTAAATGTCTTCGAATGGCCTAGTCAAAGCCCAGACCTCAATCCAATTGAGAATCTGTGGTATGACTTAAAGATTGCTGTACACCAGCGGAACCCATCCAACTTGAAGGAGCTGGAGCAGTTTCGCCTTGAAGAAAAATCCCAGTGGCTAGATGTGCCAAGCTTATAGAGACATACCCCAAGAGACTTGCAGCTGTAAATGCTGCAAAAGGTGGCTCTACAAAGTATTGACTTTGGGGGGTGAATAGTTATGCACGCTCAAGTTCTGTTTTTTTGTCTTACTTCTTGTTTGTTTCACAATAAAACATATTTTGCATCTTCAAAGTGGTAGGCATGTTGGGTAAATCAAATGATACAAACCCCCAAAAAATCAATTTTAAATCCAGGTTGTAAGGCAACAAAATAGGAAAAATACCAAGGGGGGTGAATACTTTTGCAAGCCACTGTACTGAGAATAGAAGTACATACATTGCAATCAATCCATAATACTTGACCTGAAAATGAGTGCACATCCTTGTGCAATCTATAGACCCCTATCTGCAGTGTAAACACACCAGAAAAATGTGACTCAAACTACTGTACTGTAACACACAACATACTTCTAAGAAAAAGTCTACAGCCTTGACTCTTGAAGCAATTCTAACCTAAAGGACAGTTCAGATTTGCTTGACTGTATTGAAACATTCTTTTAAATAATTTATTAATATAGAAGTAAACATCTATGACTGACATACACATATTTCTACATTAAAACTTATCTGCACTAGAATTTTCACATCGATGTAGCGTCATTCAATTTCAACTTACTGCCAATACAACGACTTCACAGCAAAACCGCCTACATAACTGCATAGCTTTCTGACCATGAAAAATAAATACGAGAGAACTTCTACTTTATCGGAACTCTCACCTGACATCTTTCCTCTTCCAATCCTTGCACAGCACTTTTGACAAGCAGGCCATTCTTACATATAGTACATAAGCCAGACACAAGGGTACCACCAGAGCTTGTAATTCACCTCTGGTTATGCACGCTTCCTCTGCTAGCCAGCATGCAACATACATACAGGACATCTTTAGTTAGAGATATCAGCACTGTTGTTGCGGCTGCCATATTTGTGGTGGATGATGAGGAGGACCACCCCCAGGAAGAAGCAGACGGAGCCCACAGTGATGTAGGCGATGCCCAGGAAAGGGTTCTTGCCCCCCATCCAGGAGATGGTGCTCAGGATCACACGCTTCCTCCCCTCAAAGCTACGAACAGGATAGTCTGGGATCAACTCATTAAGGAAGATTTTTTTTAAATGTTCAACTTCAGACCCATTTAACATTTGACTAACCAAAGAACTCTTTAGCAACAAAGATCTTAGGGTATCATAAAAAAAAACATGTGGACTCATTATGAATATGTTAGTCTACATTAGTGGAAACGACGAAGAAAGCCAGCATTCATCGGCATCCAGCAGGTGGTACCTATTGTTATAGCAAGTGAAGGAACGGCCCCCTACTGCGCACGGCTGAACATCGACCTGGTCTGTCTGACCTATTATGACAATGACTGATTTGAAAAATGAATATTAACATCACAAGCTATCATTCCACAAACCCAAACTTCCAGTAAAGCTGTATCATTTGAACAGCTGCCTGTGAAAGGATACTGTAGGTGACTTCCAGGGTGTAGTTGCCCCGGGGAAGAGTCGGCGTCATGTTGTTCTTCTTCTGGATAATACGGTACAGCTTACGGAAGGTGGGGAGGGCAGCTGTGCGCATCCACACAATAAAGTCCTCATTGATGAAGCCATTATTTTCAGCGTCTGTGTCCAGCTCATAGACAGGCTTGCGCCAGTTGATCGGCTTGGTTGTTCCTATGGGAGGAAATGACAGTGAGTTTCCTAGGAAAAGACAGTGAGACTCCTTATCAACTTCAATGGTAACAATTCTGCTGAATGCTTGCTCACCTTGGAAAGCACTTGTGAGGTTGGGGTTGCCTCCTGGGTTCCTGAACTTCACATGCTTGTCTGTCCACCAAGCGATGCCCTTCTTCATCAGAGGAATTTGGATTCTTGTGCCATTAGGGTCAATGTAATACAGCTCCAAAGTGTCTGTGAGGATAGAGATCATGACTAAACAGAGCTGCTCTTATTGCAATCCTTGTAATTATGATCTAAAAAGGACAGAACTGTCTTACCATTAAACATGCTGTTGGCGATGGCACCACATGGCGCAATGGGCATTTTTTCATTGCGAGCGTAGGGCTCACACTCCTTACTAGGGTTCTGTGGACATTGCAAGCAGACAGGTAATGTTACATGTAGGTCATTGCACAGAACATGACATCTTGACAATTTGATGGATATGCCAAATAACTGAACATATAAAGTTGATGATGATCAGTCAAAAGTCATTGCAGATATTCAGGAATGCAGTGTCAAAATGTTATATTTGTACTGAACCCCTGTTCATAATACGTACCATTAGAGAGGTGGGGTCTCCATTCAGTTGGCTGTCATCCCTGGACTTGACATAGCGCCGGTGATTTTGGTAGAAGTTGGACAGGCCATAATACATAAAGACATTGCTCTGTTGAGACAAAATACTATTACATGTTTATGATGATCTATTTTCAATTGAAGGGTACCTGTATTTATGGGTTGCATGTTTCATCACAATATTGTTTTGAACGTTCGTTTTGGACTGGTGTCCGACTGAGCATTCTACTCAATGCATCGTCAATGAGCGCTGATGAAGATTTCATCAAAAGCGCATTACAGTGGCTTGGAAATAGAATTACATTCAAAAGGAGACATAACTAGTATGAAAACCTTTTGTCATCATTTTGATGTCGCCAGATTGACTTTATATGCAGTATAACGTTAGCTAGCTAGCTAAGATTAAGGTGAGGCTACCGGATTTAGCTAGCTAACGTTAGCATTGCGAACTATTCTTGACGAACTTTGCTAGCTAATGACTACATTGTCCTCTGTCTAAAGTCAATTTGACGACATGATAATGATGGCAAAGTTGTTTCCTACTAAATATTTGGACTACTTTAACAATGTCATCGTATTTCCAGGAACTATAGTGTAATTTAGACGAAATAGTAGTTAGCCTCCGTCCAGAATGACTGGGTTTTTCACCACTTTAGGGCACCACTATGGCGTCGCCGGTAGAGGGCGGCTTGAGAAAGTTCATAACAACTGCATGACGCGACCAAGTGACCGAGGTGCAACCTATGAATACAGCACAAACTGAGTGAATTTGAGACATCATGCTTTAGACTTACTTCAAAAGGCTGTTCCAGAGAGAAGGGCAATGCACAGGTGCATGGTCTTGTGCTGTTCCAACTAAAGTTCTGGGAGCAGTCGAAGCATGGGCTGGACATGTCAGTCCCAGTATAATCAATCTGTAATGAAATGTGAACATCCAAACATAATTTCCAAATAGCTAGCAATCTGCTGCCTCTCAGGGGGACTGATGAGGTCCATTAACATTATTTCAATGGTGCACCTGGCATCAAATCCATAATAACCTTGGTAGGACTTGTTCAAGTTTATATTTTTTATTGATACCAATCATGAAAAACTGTGGTAGAAGCATATATACAAGTAAATCGTAAATATTATGAGGCTAAAAATGGTAAAGGTTCAAACAAGGAAATGTGTCAAATAAAAAAGTAGCTGGGGTCCCCAAAGTTTTGCTCCATGAAGTAATCTGACTATGTGTATGCCGCCATCTTGTCTATTTCAAGTCTTCTCTCATTGATTGAGACAGGTGGGTCCACCCCAAAGTGCAATATGTCATGATGACAGATGACTAAAAATGTAAATGTAAAATCTGTCTCGATCAATGAGAGAAGATTTTAAATAGACAAGATGGAGGCATACACACTGTTGGATTACTTCATGGAGCAAACATTTTTTTTATTTTAATAATGACGCATTTTCCAAAACTCAAATGGACCCCTTGCAACTGGAAACAGGGAAAATATGCTTACTTTCTTTATGAAACACAATTTTCCACCACCATGCTAGAGTGGCTAATGCTTAGGAATGCTAGTCCCGGATGTTGCGCATAGTGTTCAGCCAATCAGGTTGCAGCAGTCTGTTGCAATGAATCTCTACACTTAACAAGCAAGTATAGTGTAGAGAATCATTGTACCATCAAACCGCTGTGAAATAATATTTTCAATAACCAAAAATATTGTATTTTCAGCAGTTTGAAGCTGGTGTACAAAACCAAAAGTAAGATGCAAAATCTAAACTTAAGAACGGGAAGCATAGAAATAGCGCACATAGAACATATCTACTGCTTCTTAAAAACTTGCTTTCAATGAGAATGACAGATCTACAACATACATTTCTGTGTGAATTTGGTCAGGTCACCCAAAAGTTACATATTGCAGCTTTAAATTAAGACAAAAAAGCACATTTTTGTTTATGATTTTGTTTAATTATAGCCAATTTTAACTTTGTGGCTGTGGTAACCGCCTGAGAACCAGTCTCTTTAGCTAACATTCCACTCCTTGTTACTGCCAAACAGACTGGCCTTTCTGCCATTTTCAGATATGAACATTCTATAATAATGAGCTTGAGGAGAACAGAGGAAACCAGTCTGTCAAAAGTCTAAATTCTCAACCTGCATACTGCAATTCCAACCAGAAAACATCCATGCTTTGATTTTAAAGTGGAACTGACAGCATTTTAGCAACATTAAATCTTATAAAAATCTGTTCATATACACCCCAAGGAAGAATATGACACCTTTTTTTTTTTTTTTACCGGCAAGAGAGCACTTAGATATGGTCATTTTCACATTGTCATAAATTCAGAATGTTTGGGAATTACTTATAGTAAGGCATTTGTGAGAATTCTATAGTAATATAGAGTGGGAAAGTGGCCTTACGTTTGCAAAATTAATAGACACTGCAGTAAATAAAACATCAGTCTTGTCCAGGGCCGGAATCTACGCAGACCAGTGATATTAGCCAATCAGAGCTTCAGTAGGTCAATATGCAAATAAGCCATTTGCTACACGGACCTCATTCACTTTGAACTGGACTGTGTGTTTACAGGCAATAGCAACAGCGCGACTTTAGATCATTAGAATGTATTCGCCAAAAGCCACCTGAATGGATTTCTGCAAATATGTAAATACCAAGGGAGTCCTCTTACATTTGGGAACTTAACAGTCCTATTGATTATAAAAACATGAAAAGGTAGGCTCTCTCCCTTAGTTGCCTATGCACATCAACAACAAGATCAACAACTAATGCTAGCCAGAGTGAGATAAGCTAAAATCTAAAGAGGGAACATTAGATAAACTCTCAAACTCTTTCAACTAGTTCACCGTCAAAATTGTACTGAAACGATGGGGAATGGTAGCCTGCTCGTCCTTCTGCAGCTTGCCTGCCAATGCATTCTTTGCCCAACCCACGTTTTACAACTGAATGGGAACTTGCCTGCCTGCCTGACCATTTGATCAATGCCAAATACATTTGATTAACAACTAAGAGATATGCTAACTAAGGATAGCAGTCATTCAATTTCAGCATACAGTGAGGGAAAAAAATATTTGATACCCTGCTGATTTTGTACGTTTGCCCACTGACAAAGAAATGATCAGTCTATAATTTTAATGGGAGGTTTATTTGAACAGTGAGAGACAGAATAACAACAACAAAATCCAGAAAAACGCATGTCAAAAATGTTATAAATTGATTTGCATTTTAATGAGGGAAATAAGTATTTGACCCCCTCTCAATCAGAAAGGTTTCTGGCTCCCAGGTGTCTTTTATACAGGTAACGAGCTGAGATTAGGAGCACACTCTTAAAGGGAGTGCTCCTAATCTCAGTTTGTTACCTGTATAAAAAAGACACCGGTCCACAGAAGCAATCAATCAATCAGATTCCAAACTCTCCACCATGGCCAAGACCAAAGAGCTCTCCAAGGATGTCAGGGACGAGATTGTAGACCTACACAAGGCTGAAATGGGCTACAAGACTGTCGCCAAGCAGCTTGGTGAAAAGGTGACAACAGTTGGTGCGATTATTCGCAAATGGAAGAAACACAAAATAACTGTCAATCTCCCTCGGCCTGGGGCTCCATGCAAGATCTCACCTCGTGGAGTTGCAATGATCATGAGAACGGTGAGGAATCAGCCCAGAACTACACGGGAGGATCTTGTCAATGATCTCAAGGCAGCTGGGACCATAGTCACCAAGAAAACAATTGGTAACACACTACGCCGTGAAGGACTGAAATCCTGCAGCGCCCGCATGGTCCCCCTGCTCAAGAAAGCACATATACAGGGCCGTCTGAAGTTTGCCAATGAACATCTGAATGATTCAGAGGAGAACTGGGTGAAAGTGTGGTCAGATGAGACCAAAATCGAGCTCTTTGGCATCAACTCATCTCACTGTGATTGGAGAAGGAGGAATGCTGCCTATGACCCCAAGGTCTCCTGAGTGGCGCAATGGTCTAAGGCACTAGAGATCCTGGTTCGAATCCAGGGTCTGTCGCAGCCGGCCGCGACCGGGAGACTCATGGGCGGCGCACAATTGGCCCAGCGTCGTCCAGGGTAGGGGAGGGAATGGCCGGCAGGGATGTAGCTCAGTTGATAGAGCATGGCGTTTGCAACGCCAGGGTTGTGGGTTCGTTTCCCACGGGGGGCCAGTATAAAATATATATATATATATGTATTCACTAACTGTAAGTCGCTCTGGATAAGAGCGTCTGCTAAATGACTAAAATGTAAATGTCAATGTAAACACCATCCTCACCGTCAAACATGGAGGTGGAAACATTATGCTTTGGGGGTGTTTTTCTGCTAAGGTGACAGGACAACTTCACTGCATCAAAGGGACGATGGACGGGGTCATGTACCGTCAAATCTTGGGTGAGAACCTCCTTCCCTCAGCCAGGGCATTGAAAATGGGTCGTGGATGGGTATTCCAGCATGACAATGACCCAAAACACACGGCCATGGCAACAAAGGAGTGGCTCAAGAAGAAGCACATTAAGGTCCTGGAGTGGCCTAGCCAGTCTCCACAGACCTTAATCCCATAGAAAATCTGTGGAGGGAGCTGAAGGTTCGAGTTGCCAAACGTCAGCCTCAAAACCTTATTGACTTGGAGAAGATCTGCAAAGAGGAGTGGAACAAAATCCCTCCTGAGATTTGTGGAAACCTGGTGGCCAACTACAAGAAACGTCTGACCTCTGTGATTGCCCACAAGGGTTTTGCCACCAAGTACTAAGTCATGTTTTGTAGAGGGGTCAAATACTTATTTCCCTCATTAAAATGCAAATCAATTTATAACATTTTTGACATGCGTTTTTCTGGATTTTTTTGTTGTTATTCTGTCTCTCACTGTTCAAATAAACCTACCATTAAAATTATAGACTGATCATGTCTTTGTCAGTGGGCAACCGTACAAAATCAGCAGGGGATCAAATACTTTTTTCCCTCACTGTAGCTAGCAAAGCAATTCACATTTCTTGCTAGCTAACTGAATGACACCTGTATCTTTATCCGTAGCCACCGAAAAAACATATGAGGGGAAAAAGTCGGTCACTCACCCACTCTTCCAATGACATCCTCCCAGCAGCTAGCTAGCTAACGTTAGTCCCCATGTTTTTAGCTTGCTAAATAAATAGCTAGCTACATAAATAGATACACTAGCCCGGGGTGTTAAACTCAATCAGCGCACGGCCATATTGAAAAGACACACTGAATTCGCGGGCCAGACATAGCCTATTTGTTTTTACAAAAAAACGTGCAACTGCAACTAAAACTGGCCATTGATTTATTAGAAAAATATGGCCCTTTATAATGTCCACGTATGTACATAGGATGCTGTATATAGCATTTTAGCATATTAAAACAAAATAAATTATAATATTTGTCCAGCCTTTGCTGCTATGCTTGCAGATGTGCATAATATGCTGCGACCCTAATAAAAAAGTATTTAATAATTCCCAAAAACAAAAACTTAGCAATAGTTTTGTTGTAACATTTAAACTTAAAACATGTTTTACATTTTTTTTGCACTGCATGGATCACTGGTGCAGTTGAATGCAGCATTGCTGCTCAAATGTTGCTGTAATAGGCCTACATGTTTTGTTGCAGGTTTAGTTTTTTGGTTATTGATTGTCAAGCTTTAAATATTGAAGCCACACTGCAACATTTTAGTAGCCTAGCTAGGACTGCATTTGTCTGTACACTTTCCCTCCACTGCATGCTGTAAACAGGACTCACGAAAGCAGTGCAATGGAAGTTGAATTCACCTATGTGAGCGCATCAGGCTGTAATTTCATAAAGTAGATGACTCAACTGTTGGCTCATTTATGCTCCATTGTGTGTCCTATTCGGCCCGCGGGCCTTGTGTTTGACACGTGCGCTAGCCCATTAGCCACGTTATGACTGACTTGTGATCATTGCCCTTGTTAGTCTGATTGTAATAACTTTCCCAGACTTATTTTAAATCGTCCGTTTTTGTTCAAAATATTGAGTCATTGAAACTGAAACAGTACATCTCGAATGGGTGGAGGCAGCAAACAATTTTATTTTTATTTTTTATTTCACCTTTATTTAACCAGGTAAGCCAATTGAGAACAAGTTCTCATTTACAACTGCGACCTGGCCAAGATAAAGCAAAGCAGTGCGATAAAAACAACAACACAGAGTTACATATGGGGTAAAAAAAACATAAAGTCAAAAAAAACAACTGAAAATATATATACAGTGTGTGCAAATGTAGCAAGTTATGGAGGTAAGGCAATAAATAGGCTATAGTGCAAAATAATTACAATTAGTATTAACACTGGAATGCTAGATGTAAAAGAGATGATGTGCAAATAGAGATACTGGGGTGTAAAAGAGCAAAATAAATAACAATATAGGGACGAGGTAGTTGGGTGGGCTAATTTCAGATGGGCTGTGTACAGGTGCAGTGATCGGTAAGGTGCTCTGACAACTGATGCTTAAAGTTAGTGAGGGAGATAAGAGTCTCCAGCTTCAGAGATTTTTGCAATTCGTTCCAGTCATTGGCAGCAGAGAACTGGAAGGAATGGCGGCCAAAGGAGGTGTTGGCTTTGGGAATGACCAGTGAGATATACCTGCTGGAGCGCAGACTACGGGTGGGTGCTGCTATGGTGACCAATGAGCTAAGATAAGGCGGGGATTTGCCTAGCAGTGATTTATAGATGGCCTGGAGCCAGTGGGTTTGACGACGAACATGTAGTGAGGACCAGCCAACAAGAGCGTACAGGTCACAGTGGTGGGTAGTGTATGGGGCTTTGGAGACAAAACGGATGGCACTGTGATAGACTACATCCAATTTGCTGAGTAGAGTGTTGGAGGCTATTTTGTAAATGACATCGCCGAAGTCAAGGATCGGTAGGATAGTCAGTTTTACGAGGGCATGTTTGGCAGCATGAGTGAAGGAGGCTTTGTTGCGAAATAGGAAGCCGATTCTAGATTTAACTTTGGATTGGAGATTCTTAATGTGAGTCTGGAAGGAGAGTTTACAGTCTAACCAGACACCTAGGTATTTGTAGTTGTCCACATACTCTAGGTCAGACCCGTCGAGAGTGGTGATTCTAGTCGGGTGGGCGGGTGCCAGCAGCGTTCGATTGAAGAGCATGCATTTAGTTTTACTAGTGTTTAAGAGCAGTTGGAGGCTACTGAAGGAGTGTTGTATGGCATTGAAGCTCGTTTGGAGGTTTGTTAACACAGTGTCCAATGAAGGGCCAGATGTATACAAAATGGTGTCGTCTGCGTAGAGGTGGATCTGAGAGTCACCAGCAGCAAGAGCGACATCATTGATATACACGGAGAAAAGAGTCGGCCCAAGAATTGAACCCTGTGGCACCCCCATAGAGACTGCCATAGGTCCAGACAACAGGCCCTCCGATTTGACACATTGAACTCTATCTGAGAAGTAGTTGGTGAACCAGGCGAGGCAGTCATTTGAGAAACCAAGGCTATTTAGTCTGCCAATAAGAATGCGGTGGTTGACAGAGTCGAAAGCCTTGGCCAGGTCGATGAAGACGGCTGCACAGTACTGTCTATTATCGATCGCGGTTATAATATCATTTAGGACCTTGAGCGTGGCTGAAGTGCACCCATGACTAGCTCGGAAACCGGATTGCATAGCGGAGAAGGTACGGTGGGATTCGAAATGGTCGGTGATCTGTTTGTTAACTTGGCTTTCAAATACTTTCGAAAGGCAGGGCAGGATGGATATAGGTCTGTAACAGTTTGGATCTAGAGTGTCACCCCCTTTGAAGAGGGGGATGACCGCGGCAGCTTTCCAATCTCTGGGGATCTCAGACGTTACGAAAGAGAGGTTGAACAGGCTAGTAATAGGGGTTGCGACAATTTCGGCAGCTAGTTTTAGAAAGAAAGGGTCCAGATTGTCTAGCCCAGCTGATTTGTAGGGGTCCAGATTTTGCAGCTCTTTCAGAACATCATCTGTCTGAATTTGTGTGAAGGAGAATCGGGGGGGGCATGGGCAAGTTGCAGCAGAGGGTGCAGAGTTGGTGGCCGGGGTACTGGTATCCAGGTGGAAAGCATGGCCAGCCGTAGCAAAATGCTTGTTGAAATTCTCGATTATTGTAGATTTATCGGTGGTGATAGTGTTTCCTAGCCTCAGTGCAGTGGGCAGCTGGGATGAAGTGCTCTTATTCTCCATGGACTTTACAGTGCCCCAAAACTTTTTGGAGTTAGTGCTACAGGATGCAAATTTCTGTTTGAAAAAGTTAGCCTTTGCTTTCCTGACTGCTTGTGTATATTGGTTCCTAACTTCCCTGAAAAGTTGCATATCGCGGGGGCTATTTGATACTAATGCAGTACGCCACAGGATGTTTTTGTGCTGGTCAAGGGCAGTCAAGTCTGAGGAGAACCAGGGGCTATATCTGTTCTTAGTTCTGTATTTTTTGAATGGGGCATGTTTATTTAAGATTGAGAGGAAATTACTTTTAAAGAACAACCAGGCATCCTCTACTGACGGAATGAGATCTATATCCATCCAGGATACCTGGGCCAGGTCAATTAGGAAGGCTAGCTGTGATTTAGAACCTGATAGCAATATTTATATTGGACAACCAAGAAATGTATTGGTGAATTATATTAATCATGCATGTAACTGCATCCATCTATTCTGCCAACAACAATGCCTTAACAACAATGCCTTACTCTATATAATGGAATTTTGAATCAAACATAATCTATTTTTAAAACCTCTTATAAAAGTTGGTTTTGAAGCATATACTGAGATTTTGATATTTGACTGATATGATTGTCTGTTTCATATCTGCAAAGTAGTTAAAACGCTGTCAGTTCCACTTTAAGCATCAAAATACAACAACTTGCCTATTTAATAGCTGAATGTTTGTTTTTGAGGCTTCATATGTCATGGAAAATATTACTTGAATGTTATTTCCAACAACCAATGTGCAACTCCGCCGCAAATCAAACTGCACGTTGAGACTGCCGAAAGGCCAGTCACTTTGGCAATAGCAAGCAGTGGAATGTTAGCTAAAGACTGGTACCCAGACTAGTGGTAACTAGTGACAACCAACCCCCTTACCTCGAACTCCTTGATGTTGTTGGACGTGACGTAGAGTCCGATCCCAATAGGGATGAAGATGAGACCGATAACGAAGAAAGCTGGGAGAACTGTGCCAGCTGTCAGAATGGGTTGCCAAGCAGGTAATCGTTGTTGTTTAAACGCTGTGTTTTCGGGCTTTTTATTCTTGATGGTCCCACCACCAGATACGGCGACGTGACCGTCTTCCTCCTTCGCGTTGTAGCTCGACGCCATCATGGCCTCTGACCGAAAACAACAACCAGTGCAATGGCAGCTATTTTAGCTAGTCTCCCTTAAGCTGAAGAAGGTAACAGTTTAGCTGAGACAAGTCTTAGAAAACGCTCTGATAAATAAGGTATACCTGTGCTAGTTTTCTATAGGTTATTTTTCCATATATAACTATTTTTTTTACGAAAGATGGATTGCTCGACGTTACAACCAGCCAAGTCAGGAAGTTTTTTCAAACTTGCGTACCGCGAAGCGAAAATACGTGATTGCATCATCAAATATGATAAACGTTTTTTTGTGGCAAATATTATATCAGTCAAACTATAGCTAATATGTGATTCAATTCAGGAGATGAATTCAGTCAGTGAATGACAATTATTTTATCCTTTATTCTCTTATTTGTTTTTCCCAATAAATTGATACTGAATATTTTCCTGACCTGAATAGACCAAAACCATGTATCTGTCTAGTAGGAGATCAAATTATGAACTCTCAAATAATGACAAACCATTTGAATTTTCAGGTTTATTGTTGCAAACAAATAACCAGCTGATATAGCATACATGTGTCATCCTTTGACAACTGTGCCTGATTATCTGGATTGATATCATAAATTAACATTTATGGCATACTGCAGAGTTCCCCAACTGGCAGACCGCCAGCCGAATTTGGGGATTTATTTGGCCCCATTAAGTTTTTATTTGATTTATTATTGTTGGGCATAAAATACTGTAAAAACACCAGCAAATCAGCTCCAAGTGATTTTAATTTTGGAAATCTGTTCCAAAGTATTCCCACACATAATATAAAGATACACTCCAGCCAGTTTATTAGGTAGTACCTGGCCAGACCCCCCTTTGCCTCCAGAACAGCCTGAATTCTTCGGGGCATTCTACAAGGTGTCTGAAAAGTTCCACAGGGATGTTGGTCCATGCTGACCCGATGGCATCGCGCAGTTACTGCAGATTGGACCGCGGTACATTCATGCTGCCAACCGCCCGTTTCATCTCATCCTAAAAATGCTCTATTGGGTTGAGGTCTGGGGGCTCAAGTAAGTTGAACTCGCTGTCATGAGTGGTGCAGTGGTCTAAGGCACTGTGCCACTAGAGAGCCTGGTTCGAATCCAGGCTCTGTTGTAGCCGGCCGCGACCGGGAGACCCATGGGGCAGCGCACAATTGGCCCAGCGTCGTCCAGGGTAGGGGAGGGAATGGCCGGCAGGGATGTAGCTCAGTTGGTAGAGCATGGCGTTTGCAACGCCAGGGTTGTGGGTTTGATTCCCACAAGGGGCCAGTATGAAAAAAAAAAATGTATGCACTCACTAACTGTAAGTCGCTCTGGATAAGAGCGTCTGCTAAAATGTAATGATCCAGGCAAAGTTTTTCCACTCCTCAATTATCCAGGGTTGGTGATCGTGTGCCCACTGGAGCCGCTTCTTCTTGTTTTTAGCTGATAGGAGTGGAAGCCGATGGTCTTCTGCTGCAATGACCAGGATCCATGACCAAGATTCGTGAGTTGTGCATTCCGAGATCCCGTGTTGCACACCACTGTTGTACTGCGCCATTATTTGTCTGTTTGTGTTAGCTTGCACGATTCTTGCCATTCTCCTTCGACCTCTCTAATCAACAAGCTGTTTTCACCGCTGACTGGATGTTTTTTGTTTGTCGCACCATTCTCGGTAAACCCTAGACACTATCGTGCGTGAAAAGCACAGGAGGGCGGCCATTTCTGAGATACAGGAATACCAGGAATAGTATAAAGTAATCCTTCTTCCCCCACCCCCCATTTAAAAAAAGGTGGTTGTCCCACTGGCTATTGTTAAGTTGCGTCAATTCAAATCTGGTATAGGAACAAAAAGAGGTCAATACACGTCTTCTAAAATAGACTAGTATTTTAATTAATGCAAACACTTGAATGGTAAATATGATGTTCGTATATACGGGCCCACTGAAAAACCACACAGGGCAGTCAGAGAACTAACTGTCCCAACCCAAAATTATTATTTTAATACTCTGACAGAGATAGTTCCTGCTCCAAGCAGGCCTATCAGAGTAGAGACTGAGCGTGGTTTAGACTTACTCAGCCTATCGTTGGCGCACAGGCTGGTCCCAGCCCCTTGGCGCTTCACTGTTGCCAGGCATTAGTTGTTATCTTCACAACTTGTCTCGAGTCAGCAACCCCAGACACAGTTCTCTTCTTCATGTTGCAGTACTTTGTCCTTGAGCGGTTTAAACAAAGAGGCAGTTTTTGTGTCTGTGTGAATCACAAGTCTGTCTCAGCCTACCCCCTAACGGTTCCTCACATTAATCACAGCTTGTTATGTTATACAATCTATATCAGTACAGCACAAACCTATTATGTTTAATCATTAATGTATTCTTTCTAAGCTAGGCATCACATCTAGTTATAAGAAAATAGATCCCCACACTATCATAAATTGAATGCACCAATTTGTAAGTCGCTCTGGATAAGAGCGTCTGCTAAATTATGTAAATGTAATACTAGATCCGGCGCTTAGGTCACTCGTTTTGCCCATTCGAACATTTTAATCGATTAGCCATGCTTTGGACGTGCGTAAAACCCCTTACATGATGTAGGCTACATGTGTACATGCCCATCATGAAACGAGAGATGATAACTTCTGTGAATACCGGTGAACCTCGTATTTAGAAGTTATTTTCCTGTAACAATTGTTTGTTTTCCATTTCATATTTTTAAAACCCAAGCCCTCCGTAGGCTACCCTTGCTCTAGGCCTACTATAACGAAGTCTGGTTCAACAGCAATGCGCCATCTTTTTTTTTATGCTGGCGATTTTATGATATCATTCCATTTTACATGTATTTATTGTTGTTGAATTTTTTTTACAGATTCCTTGTTTTTCGTTGAATTTTATTAAAACCAAACTTATTAGAATGATTCACTGTCCTGGTTTTACAGTGGGGAAAAAAAGTATTTAGTCAGCCACCAATTGTGCAAGTTCTCCCACTCAAAAAGATGAGAGAGGCCTGTAATTTTCATCATAGGTACACGTCAACTATGACAGACAAATTGAGAGAAAAAAATCCAGAAAATCACATTGTAGGATTTTTAATGAATTTATTTGCAAATTATGGTGGAAAATAAGTATTTGGTCACCTACAAACAAGCAAGATTTCTGGCTCTCACAGACCTGTAACTTCTTCTTTAAGAGGCTCCTCTGTCCTCCACTCGTTACCTGTATTAATGGCACCTGTTTGAACTTGTTATCAGTATAAAAGACACCTGTCCACAACCTCAAACAGTTACACTCCAAACTCCACTATGGCCAAGACCAAAGAGCTGTCAAAGGACACCAGAAACAAAATTGTAGACCTGCACCAGGCTGGGAAGACTGAATCTGCAATAGGTAAGCAGCTTGGTTTGAAGAAATCAACTGTGGGAGCAATTATTAGGAAATGGAAGACATACAAGACCACTGATAATCTCCCTCGATCTGGGGCTCCACGCAAGATCTCACCCCGTGGGGTCAAAATGATCACAAGAACGGTGAGCAAAAATCCCAGAACCACACGGGGGGACCTAGTGAATGACCTGCAGAGAGCTGGGACCAAAGAAACAAAGCCTACCATCAGTAACACACTACGCCGCCAGGGACTCAAATCCTGCAGTGCCAGACGTGTCCCCCTGCTTAAGCCAGTACATGTCCAGGCCCGTCTGAAGTTTACTAGAGTGCATTTGGATGATCCAGAAGAGGATTGGGAGAATGTCGTATGGTCAGATGAAACCAAAATATAACTTTTTGGTAAAAACTCAACTCGTCGTGTTTGGAGGACAAAGAATGCTGAGTTTGCATCCAAAGAACACCATACCTACTGTGAAGCATGGGGGTGGAAACATCATGCTTTGGGGCTGTTTTTCTGCAAAGGGACCAGGACGACTGATCCGTGTAAAGGAAAGAATGAATGGGGCCATGTATCGTGAGATTTTGAGTGAAAACCTCCTTCCATCAGCAAAGGCATTGAAGATGAAACGTGGCTGGGTCTTTCAGCATGACAATGATCCCAAACACACCGCCCGGGCAACGAAGGAGTGGGGTAAGAAGCATTTCAAGGTCCTGGAGTGGCCTAGCCAGTCTCCAGATCTCAACCCCATAGAAAATCTTTGGAGGGAGTTGAAAGTCCGTGTTGCCCAGTGACAGCCCCAAAACATCACTGCTCTAGAGGAGATCTGCATGGAGGAATGGGCCAAAATACCAGCAACAGTGTGTGAAAACCTTGTGAAGACTTACAGAAAACGTTTGACCTGTGTCATTGCCAACAAAGGGTATATAACAAAGTATTGAGAAACTTTTGTTATTGACCAAATACTTCCACCATAATTTGCAAATAAATTCATAAAAAATCCTACAATGTGATTTTCTGGAGAAAAAAAATCTCATTTTGTCTGTCATAGTTGACGTGTACCTATGATGAAAATTACAGGCCTCTCTCATCTTTTTAAGTGGGAGAACTTGCACAATTGGTGGCTGACTAAATACTTTTTTCCCCCACTGTATGGTGAGAGCGTCCATTGCACGCATGCAGTGCAACTTCTGGAGAAGTGTGAATGCAATCTTTAAGATGGTTCCAATATGTATATAAAATATATTTTGGAGCAGTATAACGGTGAGTGGACGTTCTCCCTTTTTCTTTATATCGGGTCTTTGTCCAGCTACAAAAGTTTGGATGTGTGTAAAACCCTCCTTAGTCTGCGTTGTTTTAAAATTATATGCCCCCGTGAAGCAATTATGGTGCCTGTAATAGTTTTTAGACATAGCCAATTTAAAACAAGTTGTTGTTCCGTTTTGTTTTTCACTTTTTTTAGGCCTTAACAATAATGCATTTAAACTTGCTTATTGACAACGTTTGGCATGTCCATGCTCAGCCATAATGCAATTTACAGTAGGCCTAGCCCCTATATCAGTGAGAATGCTATGTACACTACCGGTGAAAAGCTTTGGAACACCTACTCATTCAAGGGTTTTTCTTTATTTTTACTATTTTCTACATTGTAGAATAATACTGAAGACATCAAAACTATGAAATAACACATATGGAATCATGTAGTAACCAAAAAAGTGTTAAACAAATCAAAATATATTTGAGATTTGAGATTCTTCAAATAGCCACCCTTTGCCTTGATGACAGCTTTGCACACTCTTGGCATTCTCTCAACCAGCTTCATGAGGTAGTCACATGGAATGCATTTCAATTAACAG